AGGGACGATGATGGATCTTTGGATGATAAAACTGCAGAAGATCATGGGAAGACGGATGTGAGTGGCCTTGAGACTGAGGAAGATATAGCTTCATCGCCTGAACTTGACGAAATGAAGGGCGAAAATAAGCTTGGTAATGATGAAAAGCTTTCTCCAGCAGGCAATGGCGAAGAGGCTATTGGTTTGGCTGTTGCAGCTTCTTCTGCAAATGAAGAGTTCGAAACAGTGTTGTCTATTGATGAGGATTTGGTTGTGCGTGAGATGAATTCCTACTCTTCCCAGAATGACTTGAGTGCTGAAATTGAAAGTGGAAGAAGCATCTCAAGTAATATGCAATCGGTTGCTGTGGCTGAAGAAACCCTGGTAGTCGATAAGCCTGGCGCTGCACCCGATTCACTGAACAGTAACATTGGTGAAGTTATGGATTTGTCTGCCTTGAAGTTTGAAGAAAATTCCATTTCCTTGACTTCCTCCCGATCTGTGGTTGATGAAGTTGTGGAGCCTAATGCTGCACTTGTTTCTGACAGTTCACAAAGTGAGAACCTTGACCAGAGTGAAACTGTACCGTTAAAAACAGAGAATACTGCTTCAACTGTAGATGTGAATTACTTGCAAGAAAACGTGTCTCCTGAAACATCTTTGCCTTCATCATCTCCTTCCACAAATGAGCTTGAGGGAATTTTAACTGAGCCGGATGAAAGTAGATTGTTTAGTGAATCACAAGTGCCCTTGAGTTCTTTCTCATCGGTGGGCATACCTGCTCCATCTGCAGTTTCTGAGGCTCTCCGGGTGCCACCTGGCAAGCTTTTGGTTCCTGCTGCTATTGATCAAGGTCAGGGTCAAGCACTTGCAGCCCTGCAAGTTCTGAAGGTACCACTTTGTTGTAGGTTTTTGTGTCTATATCATGAAGCTTGACTATACAGACTATGCAAGCAAGACAGACTTTTTATTGAAGCTTTTTGTTCCAGGTTATTGAGGCTGATGCTCAACCTGGTGATTTATGCTCACGCCGTGAATATGCTCGCTGGTTGATTTCTGCAAGTGGTCTTTCAAGGTGAATCGTTTTTCTTGTTAATGGAATATGGCTCCTATCGAAACTTTAGAATATCGGGATTGACTTTTTTTTACTCGTTGTTGAAGAAACCCTGTATCAAAAGTATATCCCGCCATGTACATAGAGAAAGTTACTGAACTGGCATTTGATGATGTTACTCCTGATGATCCCGACTTTGCATCCATTCAAGGTGAGAGAACTGTAATTCCGGATTTTGTGCCCTGTAAATATGATTGATGAAGCTCTTTCGCCTTGTGGTCCCTAAATAAGTTAAGTATTTCAGGTTTGGCTGAAGCAGGACTTATCTCAAGCAAGCTGTCAAGCCGTGATTTGAAGTCTGCCTCAGTGGAAGAGGAAGAAGAGCCATCTTATTTCTCTCCTGAAAGGTGATTGTCTGAGCCTTTTGTGGGAACTTATCATGAGTATTTAATTTTTCAGTAAAGCAGTTATCCTCTACTAGTGTATGCTCATTGGCGCTTATAATGCAGCCCTTTATCACGTCAGGATCTTGTAAGTTGGAAGGTGGCCTTGGAGAAGAGACAACTTCCAGAAGCTGATAAAAAGGTTGTCTGACGTTAAAATTTCGCCTCTTTTGACTTCTGATGCACTTCAGGCAGAGTCTCGTAAATCTGTTTGTCTGATGCAGTCTTTTTTTGGAGTGAGTCTGATACATTGTCATGTGCAGATCTTGTATCAAGTCTCTGGTTTCAGAGACATCGATAGAATTCATCCAGATGCATGGCCGGCACTAGTAGCCGACTTATCAGCAGGAGACCAAGGAATAATCTCTCTTGCTTTTGGTCAGTCTTCATCTTCCATCTCCCTTCTTTTACATCTCTCTCTTGTTCGTCTTGGATGGATCATCATCACCTTCCATCTCTCTCTTTCTCTCCCTTGTTAATCCTGAATAAATCATCACGACCTTCTTCCTCTCTCTCTCTCTCTCTCTTTCTTCAAAGGTTGCACAAGGCTCTTTCAACCAGATAAACCTGTTACAAAGGCTCAAGCTGCCATAGCTCTCGCACTCGGTGAAGCTTCCGACATAGTTAGCGAGGAGCTCGCTCGCATTGAAGCAGAATCCATGGCGGAAAATGCAGTGTCTGCCCATAATGCCATAGTAGCTGAAGTCGAACAGGACATCAATGCTAGCTTTGAGAAGGAGCTCTCCATAGAGAGGGAAAAGATTAATGCTGTGGAGAGAATGGCTGAAGAGGCAAAGAGTGAATTAGCTAAGCTAAAGGCTCAGAGGGAGGAAGACAATATTTCTCTAATAAAGGAGCGTGCTGCTATCGAATCGGAAATGGAGGTTCTAACAAGAATCAGGCGTGAGATGGAGGAGCAATTGGAAAACCTTTTGACGGATAAGGTGGCGATATCGTATGAAAAGGAAAGGATCAGCAAGCTTCAGAAACAGGCAGAGGAGGAAAAGCAGGAGGTTTCCCGTCTCCAGTATGAGTTGGAAGTTGAGCGGAAAGCCTTATCCATGGCTAGGTAATGCTTCCAGATTTCTCTGCTCAAAAGTCCATATCGGATGACTAATGACTATCCCCCTATGAAAAATATATGCTCGAGAAATACTTGCATTTACGAGAATGCATCGTGTCAATGCACAACTTTATATCTTTCTGAAAACACACTGATTTGTAATAATCAACTCATTCTCAAAACATACATTCTAACAGTCAAATTGATACCATTCTCTTGTCTAACATTTCAGGGCTTGGGCAGAGGACGAGGCTAAGCGAGCAAGGGACCAAGCAAAAGCCCTCGAAGAAGCCCGTGACCGGTGGGAGAAACAAGGGATCAAAGTAGTCGTCGACAGCGACCTCCAGGAAGAAGAGACCTCTCCTGCCGGAACATGGGTATCCGCCTCCGAGCAATTCTCCGTCGAAGAAACCCTCGCCCGAGCAGAAACATTGACCGACAAGCTGAAGCTCCTGTCCGCTAGAGTGACCGGAAAATCAAAAGAAATCATCAACACCATCGTGCAGAAGATCCTGGCCTTCATTTCAGCTCTCAGAGAGTGGGCTTCGAGGACTGGAGCTCGAGCCGAACAAGCTAAAGAAGATGCTGTCTCGAAGGTAACAGAGTTCAGCACTACAGTGAAGGAAAAGGCAGCTGGCTCCCTCGAGGAGATGCAGCAAGGCACTGCAGAGTTTGGATCGACGGTGAAGGAAGGGGCGAAACGAGTAGCCGGCGACTGCAAGGAAGGAGTAGAGAAGCTGACACAGAGGTTCGTGAAGTCATCGTGAAATATACAGAACTCCACAGGTATCGCCATGTTTCTCCACCATTTTCCCCATATTTTGACTAGAGAATAAATTTTTTCCATCGGCTGCTGAGGAATCGGCCGGAACTGTATAATTGTCTTTACCATCATTGATCATGATCATCATCTCACCCAGGGTGGTGGTTTGTTAACATGGCAACCAAAACAGAGAGTGCAGAACTGTAGAGCTTCATGTTCAATGCTCATACAATAAACTTCAGCTTTTACTTGTCAAATTAATAGTTTTTTTTTTTAGGAAAACCAATAAATAGAGTTATGATAATTAGTCAGGCAAATAGGCTGCTAACGTCGTCGTTTTCACTGTCCACGACGTCGCTTCGCATTCACATTTCCTTTTTTTCCTTTTTTATTCGGACTAGGAAAACGGAGCAAGCTGTTTCTTTTTTTTGGTGATAAACAGAGCGCATAGGGGCGCCCTAACCCTTAATCATTAATAGAACGGGGTGTTTGAACCCCTAACACATCGAACAAGAGCCAGTATCTCAGGCTAGGTCCTGGGTCATCCACAATATGACATCCAACAGGCAAAGAATGACCAACAGAGGCCATGAAATCAGCAACATAGTTGCTCTCACGGAACACATGACTAATCTTGACGTCCCAATCTTGATCAAGCAGACGCCGGATCGCTGCAGCCAGTGTGCTGTGCGGGTGGTTTGCGCGTTCGTTCTGTATAATCAACTCAGCCGTCTTCGAGTCCGTTTGCACCCAGACATTCCTCACTCCCAACTCCCAGGCAATGTGAAGCCCATGCACGATGCCAGATAACTCAGCATGTGTAATAGATCCACCCCCTAGGTTGACCGAGAACCCCTTCATGAACTGTCCGCTGCTATCCCTGATCACTCCCCCTGCCGAGGCGCTGCCCGAGGCTAATACCATGGAGCCGTCCGTGTTCAACGCAACCCACCCTGGTGGTGGCTTCTGCCAATTAATGAGGCTCGTGGACTTCCGCTGCTGCTGCTCTACTACCTTCTGAGCTTTCCCCATAGCTAGGCTACTTTGCCGTGCCATCCTCTCCGCTTGTCGAGCCAAAATTATAGGCGATGCTAGTGTCTTCTCAAACACCAACTTGTTCCTGTTCTTCCAGAGCTTCCAAGAAAAGATGGCGAACAGATTAGCATCAATGATATCACTCCGGCCGGCAAGGTAGTACAGTGCCCACTTAGTAAGATCCTCTTCAAAAAACCGAGTGTCCGGCTCCTCCCGCAAGACCTCCGACCAAGCCATTCTCGCATATGGACAATCCCTGATCACGTGCAACGTCGTCTCTGGCCCTCCACCACATACCGGACACACCGCATCTTGCGTTAAATGTCGTCTGCAGCGTTCTGCGTTAGTGAGCAGCCGCTGGCCCTCCACCAAGCTGTTTCTATAAATAAATAGAAGAATTCCAGCAAAAAAAAAAATATCAACGGAGCAAGCCGGCTCTCTGTCTGTTTTTCTCCCGAGCTACGGCCAGCTCCACCCAGTACAACTTTCCATTTGTTTTTCACCCACTCGCGTGCATAAGCACCACGCGATGGTTAGTAAAAATTGCTTCTTCTTCTTCGTGTTGGTGGGAATCTGGAGCTGTCTCGCAGACTACTAACCTTGCGCGCGAGACAGCTCCAGATCAACCTAGGGGCTAAAGGAAGGGCAGGCGAATAAGGATCTCTACTCGAGGAGATCGTCGTCGTCTCCCAATATGCTGATCGTCGGCTGCAGGGTCGCCATTGCTGCCGTTGCCGAGAGAGAGAGATTGGGGATCAAAGCAGATAGTCGAGAGTTGACTCTGACACAGAGAAATATATATAGGGTTTTGCATTACAACCGCCACTGGCCCAACCGAAGTTGGAGTTTGAAGGGTGCTACTTTTCGTGGCCGAACTAGGGTTTTGAGTAGTGGAATAGCTAGAAATTTTGCTAAGATGAGTCCGGTGTAGAAAATGATACCATAACTTTGTATAATATTTTACAAAAATTCATGACCGAATTTTCATATTATCAAAATATATTCATCATCTAAACTAGCAAGGATGTAGCTTTCATTATAACCAACCTAAAATCATTCATGCTTTCATCACGCTTCCAATTACAATGTGTGCATTCTTCACCTAGTTATTGCAAAAAAAATGTCATTTCTAGCACTTGCAGTCGGTACAAGTACCAACAATGCCAATTTCATAAGCTGATACATCAATGGAAACACTCAAAGTTTTTTTAGTCTACTGAAATATATTGTTGTTGGAACATTTAATCCAAACTTATTGGAAAAGTATGGAGACATGTTTACTTCACATTTGACTTAGCCAGCTATAATATTTGGTAGACTACTAGCTAAAGCTGTTTAGTGAAATATATAGCAAATTTCCAGCTTCCACTCGCAGCTGGAACTGATAATAGAACTTATATTTATAACATAAATCTTCAATAAGATAAACAAAATTCAATTGAATGTACAAAACTTCGATTCCTCATTTTTTTTACGATGCTGATTGTCCGCTCGGTTGAATCCAACAACTGAAGCTTCCATTATAGGCACCCCGCAATTCCTCGTAATTTGGAATCGGAGCAGGCCAGACAGCAACCCTAGGCTGGAACACACAGAAGTCCAGCGCACAATCTCTCTGATAAGCGAATAACCCCAGCTCCTTCTTCTTCAAATCGCAGGAAATGATCGCCGTCTTGCCACCAACAGAACTCAGCAGAAACACAACTTCCGGCTTCTCTACATGCATCCCGACCGCGCTATGTACGTCGAGCTTCGACCCTCTAAACACACGACTGTCACAAATCAACTTCTTCAGCGACACTCTATTGTACCTTCTCCTCCACCCAACTCCTCCTCCTGCTAATCTCCACACGCTCAAATAATCATCTTCCTTGTACATCTTTTCCCGCAGAATCATGTGCAAAACACCTCGCGAGACCCAAATGGTGGATGAAGATTCCAAATGATTAGCACTAATTAAAGCTGGTGGTAATGATATATGATAAATATCATCATCTTCGTCGTCGAGTAGGCCGAAAGGATTCCACCCAACAAGCAATCCTCTGTGACGATTCTTCCAATAAAACTTCCCATTCCAAGAAACCGCAACGTCCCATGACGACGAAGAGATCAGCGATCCCTCGACAGGTGGTTTGCTCCAGCTCCGAGATATAGAATAGAACACGTCCAGCTCCGAGTACCAGTCGGACATGATCACGACGCAGAATTCAGATGCTACTTCTTTTCCGTCGTCGAGAATCCTCCTCGGCTGCTGATCGCGGCGAACTAATATTCGCGCGATCGATTTAGCCGACCTTTCGGGGGCTAGAGGCAGGGCGACCCACTGCTGCGTAAACGGATTGCAGACCAAGTACGACCTTCGCAGCTCGCGATGGTTGTTCCCGCTCCAATCCTCGAACGCGAGGAGGAGCAGGTCCTCGGCGCAATCCAGGACGATTGCGCCGAAGGGGATTTCTTCGGGGACAGGGAGGAAGCTCCAGATCGGTCCCCGGACGCCCGAGGGGATCAGAAGAGGCGGCTCCGCGGCGACGGAGGAAGACCGGGAAACGAAACGGCGGGAGAAGTAGGGAGTGGAGATGAGTGAGTTCCATCGCTTGCAGACGGATCTTGTGTCGCCGACGCGGCTAAGAATTTCTATCAGGAGATCTTCGCCTCCCTGCAATTTGCTGATTGGGGAAGGGGACGGCGGCCTTGTAATAATGAGGTCTGTCCAGCGGAAAATCCTGGTCGCCATTGCTGCTGTTGGCAGAAGAACTTGGCGACACCAAAAGGAGAGGGCCGGAAGCAAGACGGGAAAACAAACCCTAATCCTTAAAATTATTTTTGGTTTGCCTTTTCTTCGTAATTGAAATGGCAAAATCACCCGATAAATTACATCCTTAACCTAATTATTATATGCAAATTTTACGCTCCTTGAATTACAAACGATAAATATGAAATAAACTATGAAAATTACTAAAAAGAATAACAAAGCATCTCAAGAGGGTTCGACCTTATGGGGAAGAAAAAAAAAAAAAAACGAAAGCAAACATAGTATTTCTTTCTTCAACCCTAATTCAATGTACAGTTTTTTGTTTGGCTGTACACAGTGCTCATCAATCCTAAGCTTTTTTTACTGTTTGATTCTTGTCACTTCACAACATTCTTCAGTGGGACTAAGCTTATAATCTATGTATAATACGTGATTAAAAACTTAGGGGTCGTTTGCTTCATGGATTTAAAAATGAGGGCTTTGTAATTTAAAAACCCAAGGATTTATCAAGGATTTGAGGCATCATGGATTTGTAACAATCCTTTGTTTGTTGGGATGTTTTTATCATGGATTTAAAGGTGTGGGATTTACTACTTGAAGTCAAAAATTACATTACTGCCCTTTTCTATATGTTTGACATGTTTATGATATGTACACAAGGAAAAAACTTCAAAATTACCTTACTATCATTTTCTATATGTTTGACATGTTTATGATATGTACACAAAACAAGGACAATACATACTAATAAGCATAATGTTGCCACATGGACAATAATAATAAACGAGAAAATTCCGTTTTAACTTTTAATGTAACATAATCAATTACCAATTCTTTGTCCTCCTTTTCAAAAGTAACATATAACAACATATATTAGAATCGGGAGAACAAAGAATTACACGTTCCATGAAAAGGTCAAAGAAAACTAGAACACAAGAAATGATATAAAAAATCTAACTCATGTTTGCACATTAATTGAACGTTTATATTATTCATTTATTGTTAATTATAATGAATAATAGTTAAATTTGAGGGCAACCTTGGAATATTAAAAGTGCATGAGGGTATATGGGTAAAATCTCATCAAGGATTTATGCCATATTCCAAATCCCACATCAACATGTGGGATTTATAAATCCGTGGGGTCCACGGATTTGGACCCTTAAAATCCGTGGGCCCCACGGATTTTGATCTCCAAAAAATGTGCAAGCAAACAACGAATTGTACCTAAATCCTTGATAGTTGATTTTTTGGTACCAAATCCATGTACCAAATCCTTGAAGCAAACGACCCCTTATACTACTTCTCAGAGGCTATAACTCATGTTGTGAAAGCACATTTACATCACATTCGGAGGTTGCTTTTTTTTTTTTTGGTGAAGGAGGTTGCTTTTAATCTCACCAGTAGTAATAAAACTGGAATGCTAAATGTCGTCATAAAATTATTATTTGTTGTCCTACGTTTTAATACACAAGTTACGTAATTGTCCAAAATTAAATTTTAAATTTTAACTCAAACAAACACCACCACTAAACAAGATCGTGATAATCAATCTCGCGACGTCTATCTGCCTCGTTCGCGTGACCAACTTCAATGTCGGGTGCCTCCTCCTCCACAGGTACGTGCGGAAGATCACGATCTTGTTTTCCTCGACGCGGAGTCGTATTCACATCAAACACACGCGTCCCACCGGGTGTGCCAAATTGTTTCGACGCGAAAACCAAATACCACCGCTGAAATTGATTATCACCGGCGTCGTTAATCTCGCGACGTCGGCGTTATCTAAAACCAAATTATTTTTAGGTATCAACACCGCTGAAATTGATTATCACCGGCGTCGTTAATCTCGCGACGTCGGCGTTATCTAAAACCAAATTATTTTTAGGTATCAACACCGCTAAAATTGATTATCACCGGCGTCGTTAATCTCGCGACGTCGGGCGATATCTAAAACCAAATTATTTTTAGGTGTAAACACACCCACGAAATAATCCTCAGCTACGACAATGCCGCGGCGCACATCCCCTTCCATCCTTCACCGTCAGCTCTCTCCTTCACCGTAAGAAATTTTGCGGAAACAGATTCTGATCCCCTCTCGACTTCTCCCTGACTAAGCTGCTTTGTTCTTGTAATATACATCGTGTTTTAGCAGTTATGTGTTCCCTTCGGTCTGTTCTTTTCTTGTATTATGTTAAAGATTCATTATGGGGTTTCATGAATGTTGCTCCTAGAGTTTTGTTGGTGAAGAATATATGGTGCAGCACTGTCTCGGATAGATAGGGAAGTTCATCTTCTCCTGGCAGTAAGAGGTAGCGAAACTGGTTTTGGTTTTTGGAAAACAATTTTTTTTTAAGGATTTTATATGGATTATTCGTGGGTATCTGTTATCCGTCTCGTACGGATAATGAGTATTCATTAACACATACGAATTTAAAATGTAGAATATATTTTCTTCTCCAAATAGGACTGAAACAATCCCGTCCAGTTGCCAACCCCTAAATTCTTGTCCCTCAAATTGCAACAAATTATAGTCGTCTTACCACGAATTTTAATTCTGGAAAATACAATTCACAGCCTCTCACTCATTGCTGCTATGTTGGGCCCAGCTTAATGGACTGTTTGCATTTACCATCGGTAGTGGCCCAATCAAATATAGAGTTCGGAGGGTGGTAGTCTTCCTGGGCCGATTTTGAAGGCCCGTTTGGGTCTTCTCAGTCTGGGAACACGTCGGGATCTCTGACTTCCCTGTGCCTCAGGCAGCCGAGTTTCAGTTCCCCCAAAGCTCTCGTCCAATGCAAAAATGGCGACCAACAATTACCGCCCGAAAAAACACGAATTCTCTCCCCCTCCCCATCCCCCATCAGCAAAATCGGAGACGATCTCCTGATCGAACTCCTCATTCGTCTCCCGGACACAAAATCCGCCTTCCGATCCAAACCCGTCTGCAAGCAATGGAACTCCCTCGTCTCCACTCCCTACTTCGCTCGCCGTTTCGTTTCCCGCCACATCGCCGGCGAATCCGGACCCATCGCGCTTCCGGCTCCCTCAAACATCCCGGATCTGGTCTCGACTTTTCTTCCCCTGCCTGCCGCCGAGGCCCGTTTCCGTTTCGACGTTCTTGACTGCTTCAGGGACTTGCTCTTACTCGGGTTCAACGCGAGCCGGAGCGACAACAGCAGCGAGCTGGGGCGAACGTTATTCCTCTGCAATCCATTCACCAAGCGATGGGTCGCCCTGCCTTTAGCCCCTCGGAGGTGGTTCAGGTACGACACGTTGATGTAACGAATGGGTCTTTATGGACAATTATAGAAGTTGGGTGATGAGGTTGGAAGAGAAGATTAGGGAGTCGTTTGGTTATTTTCCATTCATGTATAAAGATGAACCGCGATGACCGTTGTAACTATCTTTTACAGAAATAACAACTTTACTCTTTCCCTCTCTCTCTCTCTCTCTCTCTCCTCTTCTCTGTTCTTCTGCAAATCTCTTCTGCAATTCCTCTTCTAATCCGATAATCTCTTTCGCCAAGAGTCCTCTTCTTCCCCAGGGCGTGACAAGGTGGTATCAGAGCCATCTCTTGGCCAATCATGATGAGCACTCGAGGTTCCATTGACGAGCGCTTGACCAGTCTCATGGCGTCTACGTCGCAAGCACAAGGTGAATTGGATGACAAGATCGCGGATGTTCGGAGTTTGGTGACGTCTCAAGCTACTCAGTTCCAAGATATCGTCACTCGATCGGAAGGTCATTCTCAGCAGTTCGTGAATCTTACTACTCGATTGGATTCCATGGAGGCTAGTTCGGCGACGCGATTGGCTGAATTGGAAGATCGTCTCAACACTCGTTTTGGTAATTTCACTGTCGAGATCCGGGAAATGCTTCAGCTGATGGTTAATCAGAGGCCACCTGGCCCCATTGCCGGTGCGGCGGCGCCGCTGGGTGATCGGAATGGCGGTCGCGGCATTCTTCCTTTACCTAATCTCGGTCTTCGGGGGGCCGACCCTGCCGTGGCGCAGGCACCTAGGGTTCATGCTCAGTTTCCTGTTGTTGGTGAACGGGAGCACGTTCCAGCTCCGGGCCCTGGTAACAATCCTTCACTCCCTCGTTTGGATTTTCCGACCTTTAATGGCGAAGATCCTCGCGAATGGACTCGGAAATGTGAAAAACTATTTGAGATTTATGGGATTCCTAATGAGCAGCGGGTGAATTTAGCGGTGATCTATTTCCAGCGCCGAGCGGATTTGTGGTTCGAAGGATGGAAGATTGGCCGAAGGGAGCTGAATTGGGATGAGTTTGTGGCTGCTCTGTGTCAACGTTTTGGGAATCGTTCTTATGGCGGTGTGGTGGCTGAGTTTAACAAGCTCCGCCAGACTGGTTCTTTAGCCGCATATCAGGAGAAGTTCGAGGAATTAAGATCCTTAATGGCGCGTTTCAATCCTGCTCTGGACGAAATCTACTTCATCAGCAGTTTTATCAGTGGCTTGGAGGACGAGTTGCGTCCTGTAATCCAGATGTGGAAACCTCCAACCTTGGCGGATGCTTTTCAGTTGGCTCAGTTGGAGGAGGAGTCCAATTTGGCGCGCCAGAAGAAATGGCGGGGTTCCAATCGTCCGATGATGGTTCCCAGCAGCTCCAATTCTACTCCAACTCGTCGCTGGGAAGGGCCTCCTGCCCGTTCGCCGGGGCCGGCTAAGACTCCGGTGATACCTCAGAAAGCAAATGGTACCAGAGGTTTGTGCTTTAAGTGTGGGGATAGGTATTTTTTCGGTCATGTGTGTGATTCTAAGAAACAGATCAACGTGTTGCAAGCGACCAGTGATGAAGGGAATGTGGACGATTGGTCTGGCCTGGAAGAAGAAGATGTGTTGGGCACTAATGTTGAAGAGGTGCCACCTGATCTCGAAGAAGTATCGATGCAGGCATTAAACAGTGGGGGGTTGGCTAACTCCCTGATTGTCCCAGGTAAGGTGAAGAAGGACAAGGTTTTTATTCTAATCGACACTGGGAGTACTCACACATTTTTGAGTGAGAGCAAGGCTAAAGCTCTGAAGTGTACAGTGGAGCAGGCGAGTAATCCTCTGCGGGTTAAGCTAGCGGATGGAACCACCCTCTTAAGTCATCTAATTTGTAAGGGGTTCTGTTGGGAGATGCAAGGTAAGCAGTTCACCTATGACATGAGAATCTTGAGTTTGGGTTCGAATGATGTGGTGTTGGGGTTGGATTGGCTGAAGACTATCAGCCCTGTTACGTTTGATTTTGTGAATCTTCAGCTGTTCTTTGCTTGGGAAGGGCAGGAAGTGGTGCTGCAGGGCCTTCAAGATATGGCCCAATGCAAGGCGATCTCTGGTAAAAGTCTTCAGAGGTTGATCAATCAGTCTGAAGCAGTCTTTGTGGGTCAGTTGTGGAGCATATCAGTTGAGGAAAATCAACCCAACGCACCCAGTTCTGTTCCTGACTTCTTGGCGCCAGTATTGGAGCAGTTCTCGGACGTTTTTGGCAAGCCAAAATCCCTGCCACCAGCTCGTGAATGTGATCACACTATACCCCTGAAGCCACATTCTCAGCCTGTTAATTTGAGGCCTTATCGCTACTCCATACCTCAGAAGAACGAAATGGATCGCTTGGTTAAGGAAATGATGAATTCCCAGTATATTCAGCCCAGTCGAAGCCCTTATGCATCTCCTGTTTTACTGGTTCTCAAGAAAGATGGTACGTGGAGGTTCTGTGTGGATTATCGCCAACTTAATGACCTGACAGTCAAAGATAAGTTTCCAATTCCAGTTATCGACGACTTGCTGGACGAATTGAGGGGGTCGATGTTTTTTACAAAGCTGGATCTATTATCAGGTTATCACCAAATCAGAATGCACCCGGAGGATCAGCACAAGACTGCCTTTCGAACTCATCAAGGGCATTATGAGTTTACAGTAATGCCATTTGGGTTAACTAACGCTCCAGCTACGTTTCAAGCATTGATGAACAAGATCTTTGCTCCTTACCTCAGGAAGTTTATTTTGGTGTTTTTTGATGACATATTGATCTACAGCAGGGATCAAGAGAGCCACAAGGAACATGTGTCAGCAGCCTTGTCTATTCTCAGAAGTAATACATTGTTTGCCAAGCCTTCGAAGTGTTCTTTTGGGCAGACCCAAATTGATTACCTGGGCTATATAATTAACCAAGAGGGCGTTACTACTGATCCATCCAAGATTGCAGCCATGGTTGCTTGGCCTGTGCCCAGAAATATTAAGGAGTTGAGGGGTTTTCTCGGTTTGACTGGTTACTGCAGAAAATTTGTCCGCAATTATGGGCTTATAGGTAAACCACTTACTGATCTCTTGAAGAAAGACTGTTTCCAGTGGTCAGACCGAGCTCAGGCAGCCTTTGAAGCTCTCAAGCAGGCCATGGTGCAGGCCCCTGTGTTAGCCCTTCCTGACTTTACCAAACCTTTCGTCCTGGAAACCGATGCAAGCGATGTTGGGATTGGGGCAGTGCTTTCACAGGAGGGTCGACCTTTAGCTTACCATAGCCAAGCATTGGGGCCACGCAAGCAGGGACTGTCCACGTATGAAAAAGAGTACCTGGCCGTGATATTAGCCGTTACTAAATGGCGCCATTACCTCGAAGGACGACAATTCAAGATTGTTACCGATCACGAGAGCCTTAAGCACTTGCTAGGGCAGAAGATCCACACTCAAATTCAGAAGAAGGGCTTGGTTAAGTTGCTGGGGCTCGACTTTGAGATCCAATACAGGCAAGGTAAGTTTAACCAGGTTGCAGACGCCTTGTCCAGGCATCCACACTTTGCTTCTTCCATGGTGAATCGGGGTGAGTGTTCTTCCATCACTGCTGTACTTCCTACTTGGCTGGCTGAGCTGGAATCAACTTATGAGGGTGATTTGGAAGCACACGAGTTACTGGTGGAAGCTGCGGTGCCTTTCATGGGTCCAAGATTGTTTTGGTTACATCAGGGACTACTGTATCATAAGTCTGCCATATATGTGGGCGCGAGTGGCACAATGAGGTCTCAATTGCTTAAGCTCTTCCATGACTCACCCATTGGAGGCCATTCTGGGATTCAAGCCAGCTATCAGCGCATACGCAGGTACTTTTGGTGGCCTGGTCTCAAGGCTGCCTTAACTCAATTTATTCAGCAGTGTGAGACTTGTCAGAAATGCAAAACAGAAAATGTGCCGTACCCAGGTTTGCTTCAGCCTTTACCTATTCCTGATCAGTCCTGGAAACATATATCAATGGATTTCGTGGAGGGTCTGCCTAGCTCTCGGGGAAAGGATGCTGTGTTGGTGGTGGTGGATCGGTTTTCCAAGTATGGCCATTTTTTCAGTTTGTCCAAGCCTTATTCTGCTGCTTCTGTAGCTCAGGTGTTCTTCGACGGGGTGTTTAAATTGCACGGGTTGCCTGAGACCATTGTGTCTGACAGGGATGCAATTTTTACCAGCACGTTTTGGTCCAAATTATGGGAATTACAGGGCGTCTCTTTGCACTATTCGACGGCTTATCATCCTCAGACGGATGGCCAAACTGAGAGGCTCAATCGTTGCCTGGAGGAGTACTTGAGAGGCATGGTTCATCACAGCCCTCAGCAGTGGTCGTCGTGGCTGTCCTTGGCTGAGTGGTGGTATAACACGAATTACCACAGCAGCCTCCAGCTTTCACCCTTCGAAGCTTTGTATGGTTATTCCCCTGCCCAGTTCTCGGTTCAGAATCCTCTTTCTACTCCAGTGGCAGCGGTTGCTGATCGTCTTCAACAGCAGCACCGTTTGATTCACATTCTCAGGGATAATTTGGCCAAGGCGCAGAATAAGCAGAAACAGATGGCCGATGCTCATAGGACGGAGAGATCATTTGAGGAAGGTGATCTGGTATTCCTCAAACTACGGCCGTATCGACAGTCTTCAGTGGCTAGCAGGGCCAACCAGAAATTGGCTCCTAAGTTCTTTGGGCCTTTTCCGGTGGAGAAGAAGATAGGGGCAGTGGCATACAAGCTGGGATTGCCGCCCGAGTCCACCATTCATCCTGTGTTCCACGTCTCTCTTCTGAAGAAGGCTCGCCTGGGCAGCAGAGTTCAGGTGCAGCCCTGCTTGCCAGCAGTCGATGAACAAGGCGCTCTTAAGTTGGAGCCTGCTGCGATTTTGGCTCGTCGAGTTGTAGCTCAAGCCAACAAGCCTTTGACTCAGGTGCTGGTCCAGTGGACTCATCAGCAGGTGGAAGATGCTACGTGGGAGCCATGGATCGAATTTCGGGCTAAATTTCCAGATTTTCAAGCTTGAGGACAAGCTTGTGCTGAAGGAATGGGGAGTTGTAACGAATGGGTCTTTATGGACAATTATAGAAGTTGGGTGATGAGGTTGGAAGAGAAGATTAGGGAGTCGTTTGGTTATTTTCCATTCATGTATAAAGATGAACCGCGATGACCGTTGTAACTATCTTTTACAGAAATAACAACTTTACTCTTTCCCTCTCTCTCTCTCTCTCTCTCTCCTCTTCTCTGTTCTTCTGCAAATCTCTTCTGCAATTCCTCTTCTAATCCGATAATCTCTTTCGCCAAGAGTCCTCTTCTTCCCCAGGGCGTGACAGTTGATTGCAAAATTTGTCCGCAAACCCTGTTCGAATCATGGCCAAGAAGAAGAAGAAGCGGTAGTGTTTACTTGGGAGTACCGATTCCGCGTGGTGCGTATGTACGCACGCGTCCCCGATCCTCAGGTCGACGTGTTCTGCTCGGAAACTGGGGAATGGACGAAATTGGGGCTCAATCTTGATGGCGATTTGAGACGGTCTAGTGTAGGTAATCATGTGGTTTCCCACAACAACGGGAAGTTGTACTGGAAAGGTTGTGGTGGTCAAGTTGTTGAATGGGATCCCTTCTGCAGCGTGGCTGCACCTCGGATTTCGATGGATGCTCCTAAGGTCGAATTTCCGGCCGTGGTTTGGGTATTCCGGCCTCGAATTCATCTCTGGCCTACCCGGGTTCCAAGTTTACTTGGCGATTACGATGGAAGCCACCGTTGTTGGCTCCGACCGTACACAGTACACAGATGCTTGCTGAAGAATGATATGCTGCTATTGTACACATTCGTTTTTCATTGGTTTTCATGCCTACGGGTCTCTTTTTCATTTTAGTGGCTTCAGTCCTGTCAATTTTTGTTGTTCATGGTAGTTCAAAGAGGATATCTTTAGTGGGCAACTATAATGAATACTTCTGGGTTCTAAGCTTCTGCACATGATTTTTCTGATGGGGATATTTTTAGTGTTTGGCGACTAGAAGAAAATAATTGGAAGAGACATTATAAAGTGTCGATGAAGAAGTTCATGTGCTTGATCTTCTTGTATTGATATACATATATAATGTATTGCACCCAGATTATTTTGCACAACAATTTCTAAGCACAACGGTTCAAACAAAGTTCGAATAAAAGTGTTTGATTGATGGTTTACGGGAACGTCTTTGTCTACCAAATGTCGTCTACTTTGATAGTAAGGTGGTAGACGAAGGCTGGTTTGGCCTTCGTCGCAAAAAAGAAAAAAATCGCCAAACGTTGGAAGATTGTAACTTTGTGCTCCGTTGTACGATCATATTTTTTTTTATATTTTGCTTAACATCTTAAAGACTACAAGTTTTTTAATGTAGGTATTTTCAGAATGTGTGTGGAAATGTGAAAATAAAATCTAAAGTCATTCTCCAACGTAACCCCTTAAATCCAAACAAAAATTATTTTGGAAATTTCTTTCTAGTAAACGTTATAGATTTTGCAAAGTTACGATTGATTAAAGTTTTGAACTAGATCAGGAGTAGATAGTGGGCCTGACCAACGATCCGGGGTGGCTCGTTGGGGTCAGCCGTGAACCATGCTGATTTTAGGGTTGTTGGCTTGTTTCAGCCGCAATCAAAGCTTTTCGAATGTGGATCGCTCTAGTGTCAAGCAAACTACTTCATATTTCCCTTTACTGTGCAGCAAACTGCGCGAAACTTAGGTTTTGAAATTATTTTGTGAAGTTATGTATTGTGAGAATTTATTTATGTAACTTAGGTATTTAGGGATTTCCTTTGTTAACATGGCAACCAAAACAGAGAGTACAGAACTGTAGAGCTTCATGTTCAGTCTTTATACAAGAAAGATACTATTCGTCGCCCTAAAAATTTGAATGTACAACCATAAAACATATGTAATTACCCAAATGCCCTTATTTTAATTTTCAAATTCAAAATCCTAAGATTTTAAAACATAATACATTTGAAACTCTTTCTCTTCAAAAACAACACAAAGATCAACCCATGGGCTCGAATTGAAGGTAATATTTTCGAGGTTATTTTTAGAATTTCGTACTTTTGTTATTGGAAATTCATACCAAGCGGGTTGAAACCCATCCTGACCACGGACCAAGCAGGTTGAAAACCCAGCCTGGCCACGACGTAGGTGGGTAGCTCGCCAGCATGCCTGTTCGTCCTGCCAGTCACCCTGTCTGCGCGTCCGTTCCCATCGCAAAGCATTTGTTCAACCCGCCTCATCCTTGTCGGCCCCGACCCGCCCCTTCCAACATATCCAATTATCATATCTAATTAGTTTCCAAATAAATAATTTTCAAATTTTCCCAATTACCAATTTCAATTTTTTTCCAAAGACACCATTGGATGAGATGGAAACCATTTTCTTGTTTTTCCTTTTGTTGTGTTACAACTTACAAAAAACTCTCGCCAAAAAAAAAAAACAATTTACAAACAACGGCGCAATTAGATACACGCCCTGACATAACAAGTAGGGATGGACAGTGGGTCGGTCTATGCCGGACCACATCGGACCAAATCGATGTTCTGACCGGATCAAATCAAATCGAATATAATTTGGTTAGACATTTGGTCCTGTGAATTTTATAATCATCGAAGAAAAATGGACCAAATTGACATTTGGATCGGATTAAAGCAGACCGAATGTAATATTAGTCCGGTACTTGGTCATAACACTATTGGACAACGATTTTCCTTAGGGGTTTAAGCTTGACCCTAAAACCCCATTAACCAGCCCCAACCCTGAGGGTCGGGCTGGGTCAGTTTATCGACAGGGTCAGTTTAGGGTCGGGTTATCTTTTGACCTTGTAAAGGGTCGGGTAGGGTCGAGTCAACTTGGAGCCGGGTCACTTTTTGACCCTGTGACCCTTAGCAACAACTAGTGCATGAAATTATACATGCCAACACATAGGACCTATTTGTAAAAGTTTATGTACTAAAGTGTAAAAAAATTGGGTACCAAAACGTAATTTTACCATCAAAATTTAATGACTTATTTGTAAAAAATTAAATTTTAGATACTAAATTATAAGAAAAAATAATTCTGGGTACCAAAACGTAATTTATGCAAAATAAGTATGTTGATAAGACCCGACCCACTGACCCGATCCTCTCCGACCCGTCCGGACCCTAGAGGGTCAGACAGTGCGGATCAGTTATACACCTTCACCCTTCAATGACGGGTCAGTTAGAGTTAGGACACGGTCAGGATCGGATCGGGTAATTTTCAGTCCTAATTTTCCTGAGTTTAATCCGATTTGGTCTGGATCGGACTGATGCCCACCCCTAACAGCAAGACCCAAGCCCAATACCCAATGCAAATCCGACCACCAGAAGGGAAAGGACTAGGAGTCCCTCGACCCTCGTATAAAAGCAGGGCTCTGTTTCTCACTACGTTTTCTGTCTCAGAGTGTCTCTCACTTTTCGTTCCAATTCCTAGCTTCAAACTCCTCGTCTCCCGCAGCCATGGCGCCAACGAACAACAATTCCCCCATCGGCAAACTAGGAGACGATCTCATCGCAGAAATTCTCATTCGTCTTCCGAGCGTTAGATCAGCCTTCCGATGCAAATCCGTCTCCCAGCGATGGAACTCGCTCATCTCAACTCCCTGCTTCTCCCGCCATTTCGATTCTCGCCTCCACATGATCGGTCACGCCGGCGAACCCGAACAGCCGATTCTAACTCCCTCCAAACTCCGGGAATCGCTCTTGGAATTCCTTCCCTTGACCGGATTCAGCCGAAACCATCTCGCCATTTTGGATTGCTGCAAGGAGTTGCTCTTACTCGGGTTCCCGACCGCCGGATTGGGCTCAAATATTTTGGTCTGCAATCCGTTTACAGAGCAGTGGCTCGTCCTTCCCCCTCGAACTTGGCCGACACTCCCTGGTCGCTATTTCGCAAGAACAAGATTAGTATGCGAGCCCTGTAAACCGATTGCCCTACTGGATCCGAACAGCGGCGCAGAAGAAGAAGCATCATCCACGCAGCATCATTGCGAGTACCGATTCCGCGTGGTGCGCCTGGGTTTGCCCACAATATTGGACTTGTTCTGTTCGGAATCCGGTGAATGGATGAACGTGGGTCTCGAACTTTCGGGCCAATTTTGTCTAGATAAGGAACTAGGACGGAGTTGTATGACTACTTCCGTCGATGGGGAGTTGTATTGGATCAATTTGGAGAGGACGATTGTTGGGTGGAATCCTTTCCGTCCGTACGATCCACCGCGTTCGATTGCGATTCTTCCCCGTGCGTTCTACCAGGGCTCCCTCCTCTCGTTCTCGCAAGGTGCGCTGCACATGATTCACATGTCCTGCCCAAGTTTTTTGGGCGAATTAAGTGTTTGGAGACTCGAAGAAGAAGAAGAAGAAGAAGAAGAAGGTGGTAACCGCTGGAGAGAACTTTATCGAGCTTCATGGGGAAAATTATTGGAGCGTGGGATATGCAGCAGTGTAGTTGGCCACCACGCGGAGAAGTCAGAAATCGTCTTTTTAGAATGTTTTGGTCCTGCTTCTATCGTCTCTTGCAACTTTAGGACGAAAGAGATACAGATTCTATTTGACCAAGGAGAGCTTCAATGTGGTTCAACGATGATATTCCAGCCCAGAGTCCATTTTTGGACGCCTCAATCAAGAAGTCGATGGAGTAAATGCCTAAATGGAGGAGGAAATCGTGATAACTACATTTTCTAAACAGTGTAAAATGGCATAGATTGTGAACAAGTTACTAGTGATCTATCATGTATGGTCTTATGTATAAGGTTTACTTGCTCGATGAGGAATACATCATATTATGTTTGATAGCTACTAGAACGAAAAGCTCGCTCCGTGGCGGAGCATAATTGGTCTCCATAAAATTCGATTCGTTGAAAGAGTTGTGAATCTCAGAAACACTGTAATGTTGTGGATCACGGAATTGGTTGTTTCTCCTTGTAATCACCGGTCGAATGATGAGGTTGTTTGGCCTGTAAAAACGAGAAAGATAGCACATGGTTTAAACTTGGGAAAAAGTTTTGTATGATATATCATCAACTAATAATATTATCCATGTAAAAATGAGAATGATTGCACAGTGTTTAAACTTGGAAAAAAGTGATTGTATGATAGATTATCAACTAATAGCATTATCCACCGTTGCATAGAAAGTTATAGGAAAAGAAAATTCATTAAAAGCAAATTATGATATCATATAGGATGTGATGTCAAATATAGGTTGGTACACATATCCACTCGATCACCTCAGTAAATTATTTTAAAAAAAATGAAAAGCAGGCTTTATTTCATAAAGGAGTGAACATACATTCACCATATTAATTATCATTCATGTATGTGGCTTGTTCATGTATGGAGGACTTCCATGTTCGTTCATTTATGACGGCCTACGTACATTGTACCTTGTGGAGAGGATGCTTATATAAGCAACCCTCTCCCTCTCATTTTCATTCATCCAGAAATAAGAGAGTTTTTCATCTCTAGAGCTTTTCTCCCAACTTGTGAGTTTGAGTGAATACGAGCAAGTTGACTTAGCGCTCTAACGAGACTTGAGTGCTAAGTGCCCGCGCGGCCAAGAGTTGGTCCGTGATAGAATCCGGGGCCAGATTTATTCTTCCCATCTCTCTCTCCCTCCTCTATCTCCCCACTAACAATTTGTTCCCCAGATTTTCCCTCAATCAATCTCTCTCTCTCATCTCTCCTCTATTTCCCCACAATCTACTCCCCTGATTTTCTCTCGATCAATCTCTCTCTCATCTATCTCCTCACTAAGAATATGCTCCCCAGATCAATCCTTCCCTCAATCTTTCTCTCTCTACTCCGGCCGCAAACTCGGCGGCAGCAACAATTTACTAAGTGATTCGTGAACAAGGCGGCTGCAACGGCAACCACGATGGACGTCGACGCTTTAATAAAGGGACAGAAATCCTAACTCTTGATTTAGTTTTTTCCCCCCCGCTTCTATAGCCATCTAGTGTATCTGCTTTCTGCAATTAATTAGTTCTCTAAGGCCTGCTTTCTTCCCTTGTCCGGCTGCAAAACGGAAAAGGAAATTTCGATTTAAGCCTGTATTATTTTGGTTGTGTTACGTCGTCGTTTTGATGTGATTTGCCTTAGTTGTTCAAATTTTACATTGAAAAAGGTCGAGTTGTAATTCTGTCGTTGCCATGCACGTATTCTAAACCCTAGGGACCAATTTAGTCTCGAACTTAGGGACCAATTTAGTCTAGATACGAAACTGCTGCCTAGCTGTGTGGTTTCCGTCAATGGGGGATTGTATTGGAAGAATTCGGAGAGGACGATTGTTGGGTGGAATCCATTCCGTCCATACAATCCACCGCGTTCGATTGCGTATCTTCCCCGTAAGTTCAACTTGGGATCCCTTCTCTCGTTCTCGCAAGGTGCTCTGCACATGATTCTCTTGCCCATCCTAAGAACGTCGGACGAAGTAAGTGTTTGGCGGCTCGAAGAAGAAGAAGGAGGAGGTTACAGTTGGAGGGAACTTTATCGAGTTTCATGGAAGAAATTGCTGCCAGTAGCAAATGTCGTTTCGAAAGAGGCGATTTGGAGGCTGGGGTATGTAGCGTAGTTGGACACCACACAGAGAAGTCGGAAATCGTCTTTTTAAGATGTTATGGCTCTGCTTCTGTCGTCTCTTGTAACCTTAGGACGGAAGAGATGGGGTTTTTATTTGACGGAGGAGAGTTTCAGTATGATTCGATGATATTACAGCCCAGGGTCCATTTTTGGAGGGCTCAATCAAGGAGTCGATGGAGTAAATGCCTAAATGGATATGAGGAGACGTGAAAGTCAATTTTTAATAACTTGTTTTTTTTTTAATATTTTAATAATTTTAGGCAAGTAGGCAATACTTAAGACTAGGGCTGGATTTTCGGTTAGATCGTTATAACCGCGACGCTAGCATAGTGTCGATTACCGGTTAGTTGCTCGGTTAACCGTGGTAACCGCGAGTCCGCTAGGGGTGTACATGGGTCGGGTGGTCCGGGTTTAGACATTTTAATCACCCGACCCATGCACTACGGTTTGGGAAATATTAAACACAAACCCACCCAAAAATTTCTAAACCCTACGGTTTGTTTCTAATTGGGTTGGATCGGGTTGGCGATATTTTAAGTAGAAACTCAACCCAACACAAAATATGTAATTATTTTACACCATAAAAATATTTTAACTAATTAAAAATTCAAACAAATAAACCGAGGTGAAAGATATCAAAATTCACAAATGTTGTTTGAATTTTAATAAAATTTTATTTACTTCAACTTATGTCTAATTTCTTTTACGATATTTGTTGAAATAGGCTAAAAAGATTACAAATGAACGCATCAATAATAACTTTTCCTCTGTTTGTCGCTCACTTGGCTAGTTTGACTTCTTTCCATTTATTAATCAGCAGAACGCTATAAGTAGGTCTTGATTTCCCCCTACTTCTTTCTTCGCTAGATCTAGCATCAGTGGTGCTAAAAAATCTCCAACTATTCTGAAATTACTGTGTTATGAAATTCGGGTCGGAAATGTGTTTTGATATTCAGCGTAGCGTTCTCCAATGATCAATTTCATGATGGGTTTGTTTGTTTTCTGCTTTGGATTATAGTAGGGACGCTGCGAGATTAACATAGAGAAAAATGAGAGGCGATGGGTGGAGACTCCACTGAAGAACAAGTTCTTCTGTTCGGATCTCATTCGATTGACATGGTGGCGGCCGGCAGGGTAAGGGTCGGCGGTGGTGGAAAAGTGGTAATCTAAACCAACGTTAGTATAAAACTGTTCGGCTGGATTTTATTTGTTAGAATAAAATATTTTTAACAATAAAAAATGAGAAGGATAAAAAGGTAATAATAATTAATAAGTAAGGGCGATTTATTAAAATTAGGGCGACAATTAGCAACTCCCTTGAATTATTGTAAGATAGTTATATTATGTTATGTATTTATCTTAAGAGTTAACCATGGATCGGTTGTTATGTTTTATTTATTAGATATTATATATATTGATGCAATAAAAGAAGGTTTTCTCACTTAATGGTAACGTTATGTTATATTGGTTAACACGATTAACCAATTAAATAAATAATTAAACTTTAATTTATTTAATTTGGTTGTTGTCACGACTGTTTCTCTATGGATCGGGAAATATGGTGTGATTTGACAAAACAAGAAAACGAAACACAAGAACGCACACGACATACGATTTACGTTGTTCAGTAACACAATGTGTGTTAGCTACTAGTCCACGGGCAGGAGAGAACCAGTTTCACTATACTTTATGAGATACAGACTACAGAGTAGTATAAGAAGTATTTATAATACTTCTCCAAGGTCTAACCCTAATCCAATCTAGTAAAGGAAAAGTTGTTACAACCATGCCCAGAACACGAACCCAAATAACATTGAGCCCATACACCGTGGACCGGCTGATAGTCCTTTTTTGTTTTTAAAGATAACCAACTGATAGTCCGATTCAAGTCACATTAATTGTTGTAAGAGCTGATAGTCCGATTCAAGTCACATCAACTGTTGTAGCAGCTGATAGTCCAATTCAAGCCACATCAACAGTTGTTGTATTAATTTGGACGATTTGGTTAATATATTGTATTCCATGGTTAATATAATTTATACTTAATTAGTTTGATAATTATCATGTTAATCATTTCACCCAAACTAAAAATTGCCACTACAAACTTCAAACTCAAAATCGTATTTTTGAAGTGTTTATCCTTATTCTAGGAGGCATTAAAAGGAGTAGTTTGGACTTTGGAGAACATGATTTAGACCGTGGATTTACTGAGTCCGTAGATTTTGTAGAAAGTTTTGTTGGTTTTTGTATTATGTATTTTAATTTTATAGATTTCAAATCTCTGAAATTTACGAATATCAAATATCTCATAATCAAAGAGATTCTATATATTGATTTGTGAGATTTTTTGTCATACCTTTTCTCTTTCTTTTATTTATTTATCACATCAAACATATTTATCAACAAAGTATTTAATATTTCTCAAACCACTCTAATTTTTTATTATGAATAAACATGTTATTTAATATAAATTTTTATTTTCATTGAATATTAACAATCACATTTTTTCAAATAATAAATATTTTAAAATTTATTTTAAACAATCCGATAAATTAGAATATTTAGATTTCTTACAATTTATAAATTTAAATTCATGTTCTCCAAACAATCTCCTAAGATGTTATCTCCTCAGAGGAGTGAGAAGACAGAATCATAGTTGGTCAAAGAGATTGGAGAGGAAGTAAGAGTATAAGAGATCTTATTACGGGATTTTTTCACATATTATGATTTTCGAAAAATTATATTTTAGTACTCAAATTTATTTTTCTTATAATTTAGTATATAAACTTTATTTTGGGCACAAACAGCCAGGTCTAGAAATTTTGGTGGTGACAGGTTCATAAATTTTTGTAGTAAAATTATAGTTTGGTATCTTTTATATTTTTTTCTCTAGTTGATCTATAGTTTTTGAACTTTTAAAATCTTACCAATAGTTCATTTATGTTGCCATGAGAATTTTCAAACCACTAGTTATAAACACGTATTCGAAATTTACAAATAATACACTAAATATATATTTGAAATTCACCATACATTTTCATTTTGTACAAATCCAAATGTCATATCTAATTTGTATAATAAATAATTTATTATTTAAAAAAACTTCAAATCCCTATCACCAAATCCAAATCCTAACGCACCATTGGATGAGATGGAAATCATTCTCTTGTTTTCCCAATTTTCCTTTTATTGTGTTACAAACAACGGTGCAATTAGATACACGGACTGAAAAAATTTCCAATTAGGGCCAGGCCCAGGACCAGGCCCAATCTCCAATCCAACTCCGACTAGTAGAAGGGAAAAGACTAGGAGTCTCTCGTATAAAGCAATGCTCTGTTTCTCACTAGTCACTACCTTCTCGGTCCCGAGCTTGAAACTCCTCTGTCTCCCGCAGCCATGGCGACGAACAATTCCTCCATCGCCAAACTCGGAGACGATGTCCTCGCAGAAATTCTCACTCGTCTTCCGGGCCCCAGATCCGCCTTCAGAAGCAAAGCCGTCTGCAAGCGATGGAACGCATTCATCTCAACTCCCTGCTTCTCCCGCCGTTTCGTCGCCCACCACCGCCAAATCGGCTCAGCGGCCGAACCCGAACCCGAATCCGAACCCGAACCGCCGCTTCCAAACCCCTCCAACCTGCGGGAATCGATCTTGACCTTTCTCCCCCTGCCTATCGCCGCCCTTTCCCGTTTCACCGTCTTGGATTGCTTCAATGACCTGCTCTTGCTAGGGTTTCGATCGTCCGATGCTAACGACGAGCTGGAACGAACGTTCTTGCTCTGCAACCCGTTTACAAAGCAGTGGATCGCCCTCCCTCTAGCCGCTCAGAGTCGGCCGAGAAGTCCCGGTACTACCGTCTCCTTCGCAAGATTAGTGTGCAGCAGCAACGGCGAAGAAACATCGTTCACAATAACACAACGTTTCGGGTATCGATTTCGCGTGGTGCGTGTGTGTAAGAACACAGCTCAGCATTCAGCAACGTGTTCGATACTGGACGTGTTCTGTTCGGAGTCTGGAGAATGGACGAAAGTGGCTCTTGATCTTCACGGCGGCCAATTTGGACCGCACGTGGATCTGCTCCATTTTGCGGTTCCCCTCAACGGGAAGCTGTATTGGATGAATGGGCTAAATCAAGTTGTTGAGTGGAATCCTTTCCGCCCGTATGATCAAATGCGTTCCAGTTCAAGCACCGATGTTATTGAGATCGGTAGACCGTTCTTAATCTCGTACTCGCGAGATTCGTTCTTAATCTCGTCCTCGCAAGGTGTTTTGCACATCGTTCTTGGAGCGTTTTCGAGATTCAGGGAAGTTCTGATCGTTTGGAGGCTTGAAGAAGAAGGCGGCGGCTTCTGGAAGAAACTTTACGAAGTATCGTTGGAGAAATTAATGCATAGCACTAGGTGTAATGCTTCTGAATATACGCTGCAGTTTGAGGTGTGTGATGTAGTTGGTCACCATCAACAAAAATCTGAAATCGTCTTTTTAAGATGTAATCATACTAGTTCTCGTCGCTTCTATATATTTTCTTGCAATTTGAGGACGGAGGAGGCCGAGTTCTTATTTTATCATAATGAGCTCTTGTGCGATCTGACGATGTTGCATCAGCCCAAGGTACATCTTTGGACGACTCGAATTTGTAGTGAAAGATCACTATGTGCTCACAATGGAAGCTATTGTTTTTGGTTTGAACCTAGCAACCAATAAAACTTATATATAGACAAGGATACGTGAGAACATTTTTTTTTATGCGAAGTACATTTTGTATCGCTTTTCATCGGGTAATGAATCTTATTATAAACATGATTTGATTATCTTATTGGCATTTGAGTTGACATCTGTATCATTTGAACATGAACAATTGTACTTTTTTGTGTGAGTTGGTTCGAACACATTGGTTGAATGTGTGAACATGTTTTGAAGTCTAATCTCTAAACCTTATAAAATGATTTAATGGATGACTAATGGATAGTCTGTGTCAAATCAAGCAAAGAATGCATTTTATTGTTTGTGCATGTATTGTAACTATCCAACCAAACAATCACCAAAATCAGACGACCCCTAAGTTCATAAGGAAGTTCCCTTTCCCTTTTCATATGGTATTGGATTCTCACTAATGAGATGTTTATATCAAATTCTTTAGACATATTTTTAGTTCTCGTTCTTAATCTCGTCCTCGCAAGGTGTTTTGCAAATCGTTCTTCGATCGTTTTCAAGATTCAAAAAAGTACTAATCGTTTGGAGGCCTGAAGAAGAAAAAGAAGGCAACTTCTGGAAGAAACTTTAAGAAGTATCATTGGAGAAATTATAGCATAGCACTAGGTATAATGCTTCCAAATATACGTTGCAGTTTGAGGCGTGTGATTTAGTTGGTCACCATCTACAAAAATCTGAAATTGTCTTTTTAAAATGTCATCATAAAGATTCTCGTCGCTTCTATATATTTTCTTGCAATCTGAGGACATAAGAGGCCGAGTTCTTATTTGATCACCAAGAGCTCATGTGCGATCCGACGATATTCCATCAGCTCAAGGTCCATCTTTGGAAGGCTCGAATTTGTAGCGAAAGATTACAATGTGCCTACAATGGAAGCTATTGTATCTCTCTACTCTCTAACATTGCACGACATTCCACAAGGCGCAGTCGTATGAAAATCAACGCTGGCGTAGCTGGAATCTCTCATTCATCTACTACTCGATGCATTCATCTATAAAATAATTGTGGGTATTGGTCTATTGGATCACGTTTGTCCTTTTCCGTTGTCCATCATCGGTTTACAAAATATGAATGGTTTTGATAGTTTAATAATATTGTGTTAATCAACTGTTTTGGTTTTTTCCTTTGCCTTTATCCGTTTACTGCTTGAATCTTTTAGGGGTAGTTTGCTTGTTGGATTTGGGTCATGGATTTGGTACCCAAATCCCAAGCTTGATGGATTTAACATAAGTTCATTGTTTGTTGAAGGGTGCTAAATCCGTGGGGTCCACGGATTTGGTCTTTATTTTGGAACCAAATCCGTGGACCCCACGGACTTGTAAATCCTAGGGGTGTTCAAATGGTTACCATGGTTATAACCAAACCAAATAAGGCTAAATTCCATTAACCATGGAATACAATATCATAACCAAACCGTCCAAACTAATACAACAACCAAATTAAAGTTTAATCGGTTTGGTTAATTGGTTAACCAGATTAACCAATATAAAATCACATTATCATTGACGATGAAAATTTTTCGGTTAATGCAACAATTCGCAATTTATATAATGAATAAAACATAACAATCAACACGTAGTTATAGTTGACCCTTAACAAAAAAACATGCAACTAAGACAATTATCTTACGATTAGTATAGAAGTATTCACCTAACAAAAATTTATGACAATGGTATGGGTTAATGAATTGTTGTGTTTGTGTAAATTGACTTAGTCTCTTAGCAATTATCATAGGCTGTAAATGACCTTCCTTTCAAGTTTTCATCCATCATAATGTATGAAATTTATCTAAATTAGGCGTCCATATGTTGTGGTCTACATTTTACATATACAAATATACACTATATGAGCAATATTGAACTTTATATATTATGAGTCTAAAAGGGATGAACGTTAACTCTTGAGTGGTTATGCAAAGTATTAAGTATGTGTATATAATATATGTTAGATATATGACTAATTACTTAACTGGTTAATTTGGTTTGACTGGTTAGGAGTGTCTGAAACCAAACCAAACCACCTAAACCAAACAAGCTAAAAACTTTAACCAAACCAAACCAATTATCCAAATTAACCAAACCAAATTATCCGAATAGTACTGGTTCAAACGGTTACCATGGTAACCAAACCGTTTGAACACCCCTAGTAAATCCCACATATTGATTTGGGATTTGCAAATCCTTGATGGTTAGTTATTTATTTAACAAATCCATCACAAATCCATCATCAAATCTATCATGCAAACATTAGACTCTTCAAATTCATAATCCAATAAATCCAACATAAATCCCAAGGTTTTTGTTGGCCAAAATCCTCATTTTTCAAATCCAACAAGCAAACATAATTATTAACGATAACATTTAGTAAATAGATTATCATAAAAAAATTGTCTTGTGTAATTTTTCTCGTGAATAGGTGTTAGGACTCCCAAAGAAACTTTCAAAAATCATGCCAATCGGATTAATCAAAAGATTGAAGTATCATGTATAGGTATGAAGTTTGATGATGATGATAGTGCTTATAAATTTTATAAGGCATATGCACATAGTGTCGGTTTCTGCATAAAAAAGAATCAAATCAAGTGAACAAAGCTCCGCGAATGGATCTTCACCTTCCTCCCCCTGACCATCGCCGACCGATCCCGTCTCTCTGTTCTCGATTGCTTTGAGGACTTGCTCATGTCTGCTGGTAGCAGTTAATGATCTGGAAGATTACTGATGTATTCTGCCTTCTGAGTTCGTTTAGCTGGTCTCTAGTCTCTTTTCTTAAAGTGTAGTATGTGTAATCTCCTACTGATGTACTTTGATCATATTTTTATGGAATAAAGTTGGCTTATTCATCAAAAGAACAAAACAACAAAAATGGTAGAAGTTATTTGTGCGAAATACAATTTATATCTTTTTTCTTGTGTGTGGCAATGTGTTTATTATAAAGAGATTCAATAGTTCAATTATCGTGAGTTGACATCTTTATTATTCGAACATGAATTATGTACTTTTCTTGAGCGAGTTGGGTCACATCCACTAATTAAATGAATTCACATGTTTTATAGTCCAAATTTCAGAAATAATCAAATGAATATGGTGATTAATTCATGAGAAACTTTTATTCGATTTTACCATGTTCAAATACCTTTGCCTCTTTATATGATACTAGCTTTTCACCCAGTCAGTCGCCTGGACTTTTACAAGTTTCATTTAAAGTAAATTGTCTATTTTAGTTGGTCGAAATTTCTAGTGCTGAGAGATTCAATGCTTTGGTGTTTAAATCATGGTTTTTCTAATGCTTGCTTCCGCGAAGATTCTCAAATCAGTGATTTTGCGGGTGTTAATGTGTTGTAGGGCGATGTGGAGCATAATTTGGGTGGCGCTGTGCTTGAAGAAGTTCGATTAATGAGAATTTTTTTTTCCTATTTATTTTACTCTCCTCCTTGTCGTTTTAACATAATACCCTATTTACTGGGGGGGGGGGGGAAACAACACTTTCATCATGTGATCGACACTTGGTTGATTACTGTATTTGGATTTTGAACTATTTGTAATCTCCTCTCTATTTACGACCCGACTTTGATTATCAAAATTATATATTTAAGTTGTAGAGGACATAATAAATAATTTTCATATATTTTTTCTTCTAACAATAATTCATAATTTATAATTTCAATAATCATTTTGAGATAAAATTAGATCATCGAAGCTTAATTAGTGATTTGCCATCAAATTAGATAGATAAAACTATTTTTTTTTTTTTTTGCCAATATAACTAAATTATTCAATCATACAATTACGTCATAAAAAACTATGAACAAGGCCCAGGCCCAATCTCCAATCCAAATCTGATCAGGAGAAGGCAAAAGAGAAAGTTAGGAGTCTTCTCTGTCTCGTATAAAACAGGGCTCCGTTGCCGGCCTCTCCCGTTTCGTTCCAATCACCTTGGTCGAAGCTCCTTGTCTCTCCGCAGCCATGGCGTTCCAAAACTCCTCCATCGTCGAACTCGGAGACGATCTCCTGGCAGAAGTTCTTATCCGCCTTCCGGGCCCTAGGTCAGCCTTCCGAAGCAAATCCGTCTGCAAGCGATGGAACTCCCTCATCTCAGCTCCCTGCTTCTCTCGCCGTTTCGTTTCGCACCACCGCAAGATCGGTCCCGCCGCCGCCGGCGGCGAACCCGACCCGCCATTTCTAACTCCCTCCAAGCTCCGCGAATGGATCCTCACCTTTCTCCCCCTGCCCATCGCTGACCGATCCCGTCTCTCCGTTCTCGATTGCTTCGAGGACTTGCTCTTGCTCGGGTTCCGATGGACCGCCGCCGCCGACGACGAACTGCGTCGAACTCTCTTGGTCTGCAATCCGTTTGTAAAGCAATGGGTCGCCCTTCCTCCTTTACCAGTTCAAAGCTCGCCGATTTGGTCGTACGCAAAGCTGGTGCGCGAGCCCTGTAACTCGATTGCCCTGCATTCCGACGACGACAACGGAGGCAGAGGAGGAGAAGCAATTACCCATCACTCCGACCGTCGGTTCCGCGTGGTGCGTCTCTATCAACTCGGAGATCATCGGCAGACGGCATCATCCAATTCAACATTGGACGTCTTCTGTTCCGAATCCGGAGAGTGGACAAGAGTGGCTCTGCTTGACATTTTCGGCGAATTCGGACCGCACCGGAACTTCGATGTTTCCCTGAACGGGAAATTGTATTGGGCGAACAAGCCAGCGCAAGTCGTTGAGTGGAATCCTTTCCGCCTCCAGGATCCGGCTCGTCGGACTACCATGGATGACGCCGCGCCCTTTCCCGATTCGATGTCCTACTCTCTCACGGCCTCCCAAGGTGCTCTGCACATGATTCTCCAGTCTGATTGGAAGAAACCGGAAGGTATGAGCCTTTGGAGACTGGAAGAAGGAGAAGGAGAAGGCCGGTCCTGGAGGAAGCTCTATGAAGTGTCCGACGACGACGCCGATGATGAATCGGAGAGTATCATTCCTTATGATGGAGGAGGAGGCTGTTCTCGGCCGCAATTCTTTACTGTAGTTGGCCATCATCCAGATAAGTCGGAGGTCTTCTTTTTAAGGTGTCGTGAAATGAGTCAGGATCGTGTCTACGCTTGCAATTTGAGGACGAAAGAGGCGGAGTTGTTGTCTGACCAGGAAGAGCTCAATTTTGACTCGACGATGTTCCATCAACCTAGGGTCCATCTATGGACCACCCAAATCCCTAATTATGTTAAATTAAGAGGTACTTCTAAGTTATAATGGAAAGATATGGTTTTTTTTTTTTGGCTTCAACCTAGCAGGCACTTCAGCTTGTAAAGTAAACTCACATGGAAATTGTAACACGTTAGACGAATTCCAAATCGACAAAGCACGGAAGAGATCCATGATTCATAAGTAAGAAACAGACCTTAACTGACAAGACACGTTTTGGGGTGTAATGGAGGAGTTCTTGTGAGAACTCCGAAGTTAAACATGCTCAGTGTGGAGTACAACAAGGATGGGTGACCTTATGAGAAGTCACCTTGAATTGCACCCCAAGTCGAAAACCGTGAGGGTCGAGGCCCAAAGCGGACAATATCTTCATCGGAAAAAGGTTCGAGATGTTACAGAAATGCCATAAGTTTTTTTTTTCTTCTTCTATGTGTACAATTGATATATAATTTTTTTTTCTTTTTGTGTGTGCAATGTGTTTGTTATAAGAGAGATATTAGAAGATATGAGAAGTTTGGGTGCTTATTTGTATTTATTTACATCTTCTCTCACTCGGCTGTATATATGTTGCATAGCCAAGTTATGTAAAACCTAACGTAATAACACAGAACATCTGCCTTTGTGCCGTGGACTATTTTCAACGATTCTCTTTGAGAAAACCAACAATTAAATTTTTTAGTTTGACCGCATGAAATGGTAATGGTTTAATTTTTATTTTATTTTTTTGAAAGATATGACTATTGTTTTGTTTAAAATAACAAAATTTGGCTAATATATTTCATATATCCAATAAAGAAAGCGGGAGAAACGGAAGAGTATATGTGTGAACTTGAAGCCGTTGGTCAGTTTCCAGTTCCACCCCAAACTTCCTCCACACTATCAGGATCAGGCCCAACAATACCACCGAGAGAAAAGCCCAATCAACCTTCAGTCACATATTCGCACACAAAAAATATTCCACAGCCAATGAAGCTTCGCCACGACGAACGGACCCCACAATAATTTATAAATGAATTCCATTATTATCTGCTTCCACCGGTCCGGCGACTGAGCGGCAAGTCGTTTCTTCTCCCTGCAGCTTTGACTCGCCGGTTTGCCTGAGCCCCCCCGCCATTTCTCCATCGTTTCTTCTCCTAAATGCTCTCTTCCAATCCAGCTCAAAACTAATTCCGCCTTTTCAAGTTTGATTTTTAAACTACCCCTCATTTCGCTTCTTCATCGGTAGTCGTCTCCATCCGTCAACAGGTAACCGAGCAAAACGGGATTTGATTGTTTGCTGTGCGATTCAGCAGCTAATTCAAGCTTCGATTCCGTCCTACCTTGGAGATTAATGTCAATACTATGCGGGATCCCACTGCTCGAGTGCGTCTACTGCCTCGCCTGCGCCCGATGGGCATGGAAGCGCTGCCTCCACACAGCCGGACACGACAGCGAGACGTGGGGTGTCGCCACCGCCGACGAATTCGAGCCCGTCCCCCGCCTCTGCCGCTACATCTTAGCAGTATACGAGGAAGATCTGAGAAACCCTCAATGGGAGCCGCCGGGTGGGTACGGGATAAACCCAGACTGGGTCAAGCTGAAGAGGACTTACAATGACACTCAGGGCAGGGCGCCTCCTTACTTGCTCTACCTCGATCACGACCACTCCGACATAGTTCTCGCCGTCCGCGGCTTGAATCTGGCGAAGGAGTGTGATTACAAGTTGTTGTTGGATAATAAACTGGGGAAGAGGAAGATCGATGGTGGGTATGTTCACAATGGGCTGCTGAAAGCTGCTGGTTGGGTTCTTGATTCGGAGTGTGGGGTTTTGAAGGAGTTGGTGGAGAAGTATCCGAGTTATAGCCTCACTTTCGCCGGGCATTCGCTCGGTTCCGGTGTGGCTGCGATGCTGGCGTTGGTGGTGGTTCTGAATAGTGGGAAGTTGGGGAATGTGGAGAGGAAGAGGGTCAGGTGCTTTGCTATTGCGCCTGCTAGATGTATGTCGTTGAACTTGGCTGTTAGATATGCTGATGTGATCAACTCTGTTGTTCTTCAGGCAAGTGATGATGAGCTTACAGCTCAGATGGTATCAGATTAAGTTGATGAATGATACATGTGTAGGAAACTGAATTGTATTCGGATTTGCTTGACTAATCCCATTTCCAGATGTTTGAATGAACACAGGATGATTTCTTGCCCCGGACGGCGACACCGTTGGAAGACATCTTCACTTCACTTTTCTGGTACAAGTTTGTATACCTTTCCCATCACCTTTGCCGTGTCTGTTGTTTGCAAGCTTGGACTGAAATGGGGTTGCTATTATGTTGTGATGTTGCAGCTTGCCATGCCTGCTATGTCTAAGGTGCATGAGGGATACCTGTACCTCAGAAGATCAGATGATCAAAGATCCAAGGAGGCTTTACGCACCTGGTCGCCTCTATCACATTGTCGAAAGGAAGCCTTTCAGGTATAATAACCCCTCTATTCAGACTTAGCTACCAAACATATACTACCGAACATAGTCCATCGTAGGTTTCTAAGGAGTTGGTGGTCCATTGATGTGGTAGAAATGTTAGGAGTTTGCCATAGATGTAGATAGGGGTTCGTCCTAGTGATTCAAGCTGTTGGGAGAGTTTCAATAACTCTTAATCCCATTTTCTTACTTCTCCCACGAACGAATATGAACCCGATATAATGTATCCTTAAATGCTAAATATTGAGACTTATCCCGAATCAAACACAAACCTCTTAGATTTAAGTTTATGATATCACGTTGAGTACTAGTTCTTATAAGTGAATCTTATACCAGTCATATATGTGTACAACTTTATGCAGAATGGGGAGGTTCCCACCGGTTGTCAGGACGGCAGTACCAGTGGATGGGAGGTTCGAGCACATAGTTCTTTCCTGTAACGCGACTTCAGATCACGCCATCATATGGATTGAAAAGGAAGCCACGAGAGCTCTTAGTGTAACTGATTCAGCTCTTTTCCCATCCCATTTGTTTATAATGCAAAAAACCTGTCTCTTAATATTTGCTTCTTCTGAAAAATCATCAGCTTATGTTGGAGAATGATGGAATCATGGAGATCCCAGAAAAGCAAAAGATGGAACGACAAGAGACATTAGCTCGGGAGCATGGCGAAGAGCACAAGGCTGCATTGCAGAGGGCTGTGACACTAGCCGTGCCCCATGCCCATTTCCCATCTCAGTATGGCACGTTTGATGAGCATGTTGACGAAGGGGAAGAAGAAGATGATGATGAAGAAGAAGACTCTCACGGATCAAGTTCAAGTGGGCATTCCTCCAGTGATAAAAGTCCGGCTATCAGGTGGAATGAATTGATCGAACGTCTCTGCGAAAAGGATGGATCATCAAGGCATGCTGTGCTCAAGAGATCACGTACAACTGTTTGATGAACTGAGAATCTTATGAAAGGAGAACCAAAACACAGATTCACGCGTATAGCTTGCAACCAAGTCACATTTTCCCCCTTTGGTTGGGGGAAGAGTTAGGATATCTTCATTCAAATTTGTAATTATTTTCTTGTGATATATGTATTGAGTTTGGCTGTAAATTAGTTTTGTGCACTTCTGTATTTGAGCAAGGCTTTACCTTGTAGGCTGAGAGAGGTCTGTATTCTAGGACTACAAACATGACATTGACCGTCCATCAAGGTCAATATATTGTTAGAGAAAATTGATACCCTAGCTTGTAATAGTATGGATGGTTTATTAGCATATTAATAAGAAGATTGGTTTCCTACTGTTGAACAAATTATGAGGAAGGAATAGTAAAGTTTTGGTTACCAAAGATTTTTCTTACAAGATTGGTTTCCTAGGGACTTAATCCATTCATATTTTGCTTTCAAGAGCTCCAAACGGAAGAACCATCATCGATTTGTGCAATTTGTGCAAAACAAGTTATGACAAGTGAGAAGACTATTCTTACCCATTATTACCAATTAAGACCATCTAGAAAAAGGATAAACATTACAAGATTTGATTCTTGTTACGAAATCAAACTAGTAAATGGTAGCCCTTCTAAAAAGTGCTCGATTTGGATTGCTTTGGTGGATAATAATGGTCTTCACTTTTATAATAATTCTCATGCACAAATTGCATGAAACTTCCATATCAAAGAAAAAAAATCTTAATGATGATCCCATTGATAATCCGTTTGGTGATTCACTTTCTACTCTGCATCCAAGAGCTTTTCAAGTCAAAATTTGCGTAGATAAATCTTGATAAGGTGGGCTTCGTCAGTGTGTTGCCAAGCCTTTTTTATATATAATATAATAAAGAAGGGATACAATTGAAAACAATTAAATTCATTGGTACCATAACCAATTGAAGGAGATATGAGAGGGTAAATGACTAGAAATCAAGATAGAAAGAGGGGAGAGAATAAAAGGGAAGAAGAAAGGGGGTTTCAATGGGAAGTACAGGTGACACCTGGGTGGTTAATCAGTGGTTTGATATCGATCCACTAACAAATAACTCAAATCGCAATGGGTGGGTGATTGTTGTGGGTGGATTGCGATTAATAAATCTTCTACCTACATTATTCGGGGGGTGGTGGGTGGATTGTGGGTCACCCGGAGTGATATGCACCATATTTTCATGACAAAAAGTTGTTTCTTGTTTATATATCAAATAGTCATCATATTTATGAATCGCACTATATACTGACCATCGATTTCTAAAGGTGGAGAATAAAGAATATTTGTGGACTATTATTATTGGTTACCATGTTGTCTAATGTCCATTAGAAATTGAGATGCAAATTATAAACTATTAATTGTATCAAAGTCGCAAAGTGTGTCAGTTTTCGCTACACAATTGGTTGATAGAGTAATGCAAAAAAATTGTTGCCAAATACTACATGTATCCACAGGAGACAATGTGAGAAAGTGTCTAAGTTGATAGAGTCTTACTAATTTGTGAGGAACTTACTATAATTGTTGGTCAAGTTTCTTAATGGCTAGTCGGAGAATTGTTTTTCGGATTCACTCACAACCCTAATCCACCCATTGCCCACTCCTAATGAAAAGGCATGAAAGGGGGAGAAATCATGTGAGCCATCAATGAAAATTTGTGAAACTTTCTTCAAAAGCGTGCTCCCTTATTAAATCACAATAAATTTCGTAGGAGAAAGCGTGCACTATGTTTTTAGCATAACAGAGGAAGGGATGGGGATTTAAAAAGGAGGCACAATTGAGAAAGAAAGTGGACGGGGAGGGGGAAGAAAGATTCCATGCTTACGAGGGCGTTTGAATTTCGTGAAAAAGCAATTTCAAAATAGATGAATATAAGGATGGAAGAAACAATCTTGCCTCACACTATATGAAGTAGTAGGAGCAACAGAGTAGGAAAAAAAAAAATAAAGAAGGAGAGATTGAAAGGGGTACGATTTCGAGCAGGGGAGGTCGGGAGTATTGGATTTAAAGAGAGAAGTGGAAGCAGAGTAATAAAAAGACACATTGGTCGACATGATAAGAAGAAGGAAGTGAAGGAGAAGAAACAGAGGAAGGAGGTGCAAAGAAGAAGAAAAAAAGTTTGTCGTTAGATTGGAAGACTCTGATACCATATCATAAACCAACTGATCTCAATAATTCAAATTATTAGGATAGGTCCATATACGATATTAAATCACTTTCTTACATATAAACATAATATATCCTTATATTGACAAACTTCATGCAAATCGCATGTCCTTCTATATATCTCCGTTTACATGATTATGTATAAAATAAAACTGTAAGATTGGTTCATTTGCATGATTGTGTGTAAAAAATGGTAATTTGCTGAGAGATGATGACAACTCCACTAAAGTTCAGGCCCAGTAGAAATTGGGCTTTTATTGAATGGGGAGCAAAGCATCAGCCCATCATCTCAGCCCGCCGCTGAGACCATCCTCTCGTCCTTTAACCGATCGAACTGCTCCTACTAAGTTCGTTGATCGGAATTTGCCTCCATTTACGGAAACACTACTGAAGAGTATGGAATCGATCGATGTCTTATTGGTGGCATAATTCTTCCCCTAGTTCTTCGATCTTCAGACATTGTTGGCTTCCAGTTTGATTCTTAAGCAGCGGGCATCACCTTCTCAATTCCATCAATGGCCGACTTCCTACGCTTCCTCCTCCTTTTCATCGCCGTCATCGGTCAGCACTCCAATTCTTTCGCCGAGAGGTAAATATGGTTCTTCATTTCGATCTCTCCAATCTCCATAAGCTCCAGCTTCGTTTGCAGTGATCGTTTCCCCCGATTTCTTAGGTCTCATTAGGTATTGTCTGTCTTTGGAGAATACGCAGTTTTGCATTTCGTTGTTGCTCTTGAATTTGATATGTTTTTCCTGCTAAGGAAAAATGTGCGTCGCTGAAACTCGGCGAGTCCTTGAACATGCCACTATGGTAGTAAGGTTAGGGGGTTCAATTGCTGAGAGAATTTGCTGTTCTTGTCGGCTGATACCGTTTTCTTTCTTTTTCTTGGTGAATTGGTTCTACTTCTTTCCAGCTTTGTTAGTTAACTGTCTTCTACTGAATAAAGCTTGTGGGAACTACTACGCTCTGTTGCCATCTCATAGATTAGTCTTGTTAGCTGTTACATATGCTACAGGTAGTAAATTTTGGTATCCTTATGTCAATTCTGTTTGTTCGGTATATCTCGTACCATAGTTTCACCTGCTGGTTTTTGCTTGGTTCAGCCGGAAGGAGTTGAGGGGTAATGCGGATTTCAACCATGAAACTGTCATTCAATTAAGAACCTCCACGCCATTGAATAGGGTTGACCCATCACGCGTTATCTCGCTCTCTTGGCGACCAAGGTCAGGTACTTGATTTAACTGCAAATGTCTTGTTTCGTTAACAATTGATGAGTTGTGAATGTTGAACCTTGTCAGCTTTGGAAAGTTGATGTGCTTTTGTTGTTTTTGTGTTGCTGGGTCAGGGTGTTCCTATATCAAGGATTTCTGACAGACGAGGAATGTGATCACCTTATTTCTTTGGTAATCAAAGAGGCCATTGTGGGAAATGGTGATAATTCCAGGCAGACAGTGAAGAAGAGGATGTTAGCTAGTACAAAGCTTCTTCCAGATACGGATGTAAGTCCCCTTTTATCAATGTCGGTAATTTTGCTTACTCTCTAGTCTCTACCGTGCAGATCGCTGTTCAGATTGCTATGTAGAAGCTAAGTCAATGCTACATGCCCTTTCTGTTTTGCAGGACAATGTTATAACAAGGATTGAGGAAAGAGTTGCAGCCTGGACTTTGCTACCTACTGGTTCTTGCCTCATCCTACTGTCACTTGTCCTTTGTACCAGTTACAACCCGGTTCAGTGATTGATCTCCCTTTTCCTTATTTCAGATAACGGGCAGTCATTACAGGTCACACATTATGGGGTCGAAGAGGCCACCGCCCAGAACCTTAGTTACTTCAGCAACCAATCCTTATCAACCTCAAAGGAGCCTCTGGTAGCCACTCTTGTATTCTATCTCTCAAATGTGACTCACGGCGGGCAAATTCTCTTCCCTAATTCAGAGGTTAGCTTTGATAACATCCCGAAACCTCACGCGCTTCCTTGCCTCCCTTGGTTTATCTTTCGAGCTCATGGAAAACTGACTTTTGACAGGAGAAGAACAAGATTTGGATCGATTGCACAAAGAGCAGCGAGATTCTAAGACCGATAAAAGGGAATGCGATACTGTTCTTCAATCTTCACCTCAACACTTCCCCTGACCCGAGCAGCTCCCACTCTAGGTGCCCAGTCCAGGACCCTGAAATGTGGGTCGCCACCAAACTGTTCTTCCTTAGGCCCACCATTGCTGGGAACCCTCCGCCTCATCAATCGGATAGCAGCAGCGATGAATGCTCCGACGAGGACGACAACTGCCAATCATGGGCCGCTTCAGGAGAATGCGAGAAGAATCCGATTTACATGATTGGTTCTGATGACTACTTTGGAACTTGTCGGAAGAGTTGTAAAGTCTGCTGAACATTAATCCATCGCCAGTTTGATGGTAAGATAGATTTTCTTTCCAATCTAACTGCGGAATGCTCGACTGTTCTTTTGGGGAAAGACTTGAATTAGATCATATATATCATTGGCAAGTCGAGCTTTTCAGAAGTAGCGAATCAAGCAAAGCGATTAAATTGCCATTAAAATAGTTCAGCGACTGGAAATTTCACTGCATAAATTTATAGTACAAGTGCCAAAAACAAGGAAAAAGAAAATTCCTATCGATTCTTCTTATTGGATTCTTGTTGATTGAATTCAACACCAGAAGGACGGAGAAATAGAGCGGCTCTGACCGTTCTACGCGGTGGCTGCAGGTTTCACGACGACGGAGTTGGTTTCTTGACGGAGCACGACGACTTGAAAGCTTCGATCTGTGATTGACATTTGGCGTAGTTCCCCTTGTTCTCCTCCAAGCACTTCTTCAGCGCCTCCACGTCGCACGCCGGAGCAATTTTCTTCTTCCCGGCGTCGGCGCCGTCACTTCCCGCCGACTTTTCATCCATGCTAGCCAGTAGCCTCTCTCTCTCTCTCTCCGCCCTCTTCTTCCTCCCGCCGATTTTGTTTTACTGTAACCGATTTGCGAGAGGAGGAAGGAAGAACGACTCGAGAGATGCAAACGGCGTCGTTTAGCCTAGAAGTGTGCTCTACACTCTTCGTACTCGACACACTTCGTCTAATGACGATAATGCCCTCTAACGTGGCAGGTAGAAGACAATTCTACCACCAGAGGAGCGCCAGACACTTCGTAATTTGAAAAACCGCAGCCTAACGTCTCATTTCTTCCTTCCTTTCCATAAAACAAACGAGCAAATCCCAAACTTCCGTCCAAATCCGCTTCCCTCACTCACAAGCATTTTCACCGTTGAAAATCTCTGTACATCTTCCATCTTCCATGGCTGCTCCGACTCCAGACCATCTCGATAGATCCGCGGCGAGGACGGTCCCGTCGTTGAGCGGGAAGGTTCGTGTAGTGGCCAAAATCCGGAATTCAACGGATTCTGAGGTCTTGCCTGGGATGAAGGCTCCGGCGCCGTGGATTTCAGTCAACAAGCCTAATGGAGATGATTCTACCCGCGTGTCTTTGACCTTGGGAGAGAAATCTGGCAGGTGAGCACACTAAGTTCTGTGAATTTTCACTTCCGTCGATCTTCCAGATGTCAATTTCACTTGAATTGGTTCTACTGGCTATATAAGATATTGTGCTGTTACTCTTCTTCGTTAAATCTCCGGGGCTGCAATTTTGGCTTCATATGTGACTCGTTGAATCTGAATCCAGAGCACTATACCTAATTGTGGATGTTGCTTAATTAGTTTTGAGGCTGGAAATGTGTGAATTGAAAGCAAATGTTCAATGTATTCCCAACTGTTCTGAGAGATTATGATTATGTTTGGCAGTTCTAGAGAGTGTTACGAGATTGGTTACTGCTATAAAGAGACTGAAGGCAATGAAGAAATGTTTAGAAGAGAGGTGCAGTGTCTATTATCCGAAGTGTTCAACGGTCGCAGTGTCACTGTTGTGGCTTGCGGAGCTAGAGGTTCTGGAAAGACTCATGTCATTCAGGTCAAGGCTAGCTCTGCTTGGTTTGCATCATTTGCGTGTTGTATTTGTTCGGAATCTGTGTTTATAGGAGAGAGAGAGAGACTGATGAGTTCGAATGGTCTTTTATTTTCCTCACAGGGCACTGCAGGGGATTTGGGTTTGGCAGCCTTATCTATGGCCGAAATACTACGAATGGCTGAGGAAAGTAACAAGTTCGTCGGGATGTCATGCTACGAAATCGTTCAAGAGCATGCTTATGATCTGTTGGAACAAAAACCGCAGGAAGTTTCAGTGTTGAAAGATGGCCAAGGACGAGTGCAACTCAAAGGACTATCTTGTGTATGTGTTTCAATCTTTAGTTTCCAGTGGATTTGATGGAAGGTAATGAAGTGTTTGTCCTAATCTTGTTCTTGGTTCTATCTTTTCAGGTCCAAGTGAAGTCGTTGTCTGAATTTCACAAACTATATCGTAGGCAAAGCAGGACCATGCGTAAACCAAATCAAAAGATAACTCAGTTACTCCCTCCAAGAAGCACAAAAGGGTTGATCTTTTACATATCATCAGAAGCCGATAAGTTGGCCAGTGCTCCTGTTGGCAAGATCAATTTTGTGGAGTTAGCAGGTTGAAGACCTTAGCTACAAACGGAGTGTTTCTTGTTAACCACTATCATCACATTTAGTTCCCTAATTCCTGATTGCATTTTGTTCTATCAGGTTATGAGGATGCAAAAAGAAAAAGTGACGTGAGTAACTTCGGGGAGAATGCGCAGATTAACAAGTCCATCCACGCATTCATCAAAGTGGCGTATTCATTACATCTCAATGAAATTCATGTGCCATATCGAGAGAGTAAGCTTAGTCGGATGTTGGAAGATTCACTTGGAGGGAAAAGTAGCATTCTGATCTTAACATGCTTGGTTGGTTTCTCGGTTCTATATCTCAGTACAATCCTTACTAATTCTTGTAAAAGGTTGTTTAATAATTTACTTTTATCGAATCGCAGAACCCCTTCTCCTGCCAAGACTCGATGAACATGTTAAAGTTAGCTTCTCGTTGCTGCCAAAGTAATACTGCCAGGATTGTGGTGGATTCTGCAAGAAAAACAGACAGCACGGCAAGATCCAAGGTGTTTGCTTCACATAGAAGCAGGCTACCTGGGAGTGCTTCCTCTATGAGGAAGCAGCCAACTCCCTCCCATTTTCCTACTCCTGGTAAGAAAGCCAGTGGAAATGCTTCTGCACTGAAAGCAAGGTAATTATTAGATGCCACTGATTCTATATAGAGGTACTTTATATTCTTCCTCTCTCTGTCTAAGGTTCTTGATTTTCCTGTTTTCAGGAAATTGTTTGCTGACAAAGGTCATGAGAAACCTAATAAGGTACTTGTTTTCTTTGACCGAAAGAAAGATAGATTATGAATTAGAGCTTATTAGTATAATGTAAACCAACAACAGGAAGAGAGAGAATACTTATTTAGTTCATCTTAAAGACGGAAGACCAATGACTCATATGCTGTGCAGGTAAATGCCTCTGCAACTGTGTCAAGAACTGATTCTTCTCTGCCAGAAGAGGTAAGTCTCTCTGAAGTTTTGCTGTATCTCAAAGCCTATTGTTCAGATAGAGCTCTGGGCCTTCAGGAATTTCCTAACTATAGTCTGAATTGAATCCCAGACAAGTTCTTCCATTGGCTTGAACACTGGGATTTCTGCACAAGAAGAGGTAAGCTTTTCATATTTAAATAAGCTACTCGCTTATAAACTACTTTATCAGTATTTAAGTCTTACTGGAACTTTCAGTAATCTGAATTAATGTATCTTCCGTAACTCTGTCTATTATCTCTTTAGGAAGAGCACACTTCGAATTCCATCAAGGATAATGTGGTTCTGGTTTGTGGTTTATCCTTCCTCTCCTTGCTTTGTGTTTGCATTATACTATGGCAGATGTCTGAGACTTTGATATGGTTTACAGGAAGCTTCATCGTTAGAACTAGAGAATACTCCTGTTCCGTTGGAAGATGCTCTTGCTTCCCTTGAGGTACATACGTGTGTGAATAGGGAATTTTTCCCCCATGCAGAATGGTTAGTGCTAGTTATTTTGGTTGGAAAATCAGCAGAAAAAATGTAGTCCAAGACAGCAATGGAACAAACGAACCTCTTATTTTAGAACCAATGATGCTTCTGTAGTTGGTTTTGTAGTCTTATAACGGGGTTGCTTAACAAGAACATAACTCCATGGTGGCTTAGGTATCAATGGAGCTTGCCAAAGAAGACGAGCATGTGAACATGATAACCCTGGGCACTACGACATTGCCTGTGGTTGATGAAGGTACGAAAGATAGTGAATGTTATTAGGGTCTAATTTTGCTTAACATCTTGGCTTCTCACTTTTTGTTGTCTTTCATGAATATGTTAACCTGTTTCTCTCTATTAGTAGGTCAAAGTCTAGACAATATAACACCAGCCACTACGACGTTATCAGTGGTTGATGAAGGTATGAAAGATAGGTGACCTTATTAGGATCTAATTTTTCTTTGCGTCTTGTCTTCCCACTTTTTGTTTAATCTTTTAACTTGTTTCTCTGTATTAATAGGCCAAAGTCTAGACAAGGAGAATGACATATCTCTGGCTAATGATGGTGGTTCTCCACCAATCAGCTTGCGGCTGAAGGAGATCTCAAACAATTTGAAGCAGCTCTACACTTCAACCCCAAAGCAGCTCTATACGTCAACCCCATTGTGCACGGTGATGCCCCCAACCAATGATATTCCTCCTCAAGATCAGTTTACAGCTGCTTCCGCGGAGCCAATGACCCCTGAATGCAATATAAGAGAAGTGAATAAGAACTTGGACATTGCAAGCTTATGCAGCCCCTGGGAGAAGTTGAATAGAAGCAATTGCGGTGTGAAGGTTGGTCCCAACACCTTTCTCCTCCATTCAAACATAGCATAAGACTCCGATTTGGTGCTTACATATCATTGTTCAATTTCAGAACTCGGTTCTTACGGAATACCTTAAATTTTTCAACACAGCGAACAAGTAAGTGTTAAATCAATCGTGAGCATCTTTCTCGGTCCGTAAATGTACTTGACAAGGTGGACTGATTTGTGGCTGTTTCTTTTGTAATTAACAGGGAAGATTTGAAGAAACTAAAGGTAACTAATGGCTTCAATGGCCTCAAATTTTCTAGTTCTTATATGAGTACCTTAAATTTTGAAACTAACATCGATCCCTCGGTGCAGGGGATCGGAGAAAAACGTGCAACATACATTATGGAATTTCGTGAGGAATCGCCTTTTAAGGATGTAAGTTACACTGTTATGTCTCATAGCGACGTTGGTTCTTGACATAAATGCTCACTATCAGATGTACTCATAATCAATCTAACATGTTTGTTCCACAGCTTGACGAGTTAAAAGATGCAGCTGGCCTCTCAGCTAAGCAGGTAATGACCATCTCTACTTCGTTTGAATGGAAAATGACCACATTAACTCGGATATTTCGATTCATCCTCTTCTCTTTTCCTTTTCTTTTATGGAATGCAGATCAAGGACATGGTGAGCAAGGACGTATTGGGAGGGCTGTTTCACTAAACTGTTGGCTAAGTTACTCATATCTGTTGTAGTTTTTATTGGCAATGCATAAAGTTGCCCATTCTAGTTTATGTTTGTAGCTCAGCTTGAAACAAATGGAACTACTTCTGCCCATAAGCATCAATATTGTCTGAATGTCATTTCTCATTTCCAATCATGGAAGTGCTTCTACCCGTATTTGTCGTCCAATCATAGAAACAAGTTTGTGTGCATTTCTTTAAGAACACAGAGAGCATGAGAAGCCTTAAGAGAGCAAGGGTTGCATTTCAGGGAGCCTCCTGCGTCTACCGTTATTGTTTGAGTTATCTCTCAGACCACTCCATGGCCAACAACACCTATGCCTCGCCTTATGACGAACTCGATCTCTGCTTTCTGCTGCTTCTAGCTGTCGGCTTAGCTCTTCCATCCTGCTACGGAATTGGTTCGCCCTGCTATCAGCTAGCTGCAAAGACTGCTCGGCTGCTGCTTGGGCTGCCATTGCTGCACCTGCAAGCTCCTCTTTCATCTTCAACTTGCCATCAGATATCTGCAGAGCAGCCCTTGTCTTCTCCAATTCTAGCTTCATGATCGCAATCTGCAGGAATTCAAGCATAGAATAATCCGAGGTAAGTATCTGTCTCACTCAGGGTTAAGTACATTCATTTGTGTAGAGCAAGTTAGGAAAATGGTTCACCACTTTATCCCGTTCTGCAACCTCTTTCTTCCCAGCTTCCACTTCCAACTCACAAGCTTCCATCCATCTCCCTGCCTCTGCCTCTGCTTCTCTGATTTCCGCCATTAGTTTCTCTACCTGAAACAGATAATAAGTCAGCCCAGATCATATCTTTTTGTCTCTGCATATCTAAGTAAGATTGTGGATTACATTCTGTGCTGAAACCCTGCACCTATCCTCCAGCTCTTGTATGTACACCGCGGTTTCGGCAATGCTCTGAGCTTGCCTCTCCGCCAAGCTCTGCAGCTGCTCGCAGTCTGATCTGACAGTGGGATAGCAAAACCAGCAATCAAGCCAAAAGCACATTGTCTAGCTTGATGAAGATTACATCGCTTTCTCAGCTTTACCTAGAATCCTCCAGTGATCTTCTAAGCTCCGTGATCTCCAGCCGCAAGTTCTTCATCACTCTTTCAACAGTCGAAGCCTGAGAAATGGATCATTATCAGTCAAATCTCGAGCTTGACAGCGAAAACAGAGTGTTTTTTTTTGTGCCTTTATACATACCAAGCTAACACTCTCTTCTTCGTCACCATCGCCGTCGTCTGATCTTCTGTTGACTTCAGATCCAGATTCCTCCTCTGCTGTCTTTTCCTCGCTGCTGCTGCTGCCGATGATGAAACCAAACCCCACCCTCTGCAAACCCCGCTCGGCGATCTGGAACAGAGCTGCCTTCTTATGCTCGGCGCTGCTGCCTTTCAGCTTGTTCAGATTCCTCTCCACGGCCTCCTTCTCCATTAACGCGACCCTCAGAAAGGTGTTCAGGTCGCGATTCTCTTCCGTCAAGCTCACGATGCTGTCCTCCAGCATCTTCTTCTCCTTCTTCTCCCTCTCCTCGAACTCTTTCGTCACCGATTCTGCCTCGCTTGCCAGTCTCGTGATCTTCGAGAGCTCCCGCAGTGCTCGTTTCAGTTCATCCTCTGCTTCTCCGATTCCCTCCGATTCCTTCTCGAGCTGTGAATCAACGGTCTTCCCGTCGTCGTGATACCGTATTATCTTCAGTAGATGGTGCTTCGCCGCCGGGAGCAGCGAGACCAGAGATTTTGACAGGACCTCATTCTTATCTTCAGATTGTTTGATATTGAATTCTAACTCCTCGATCCTTGCCCGACATGTTTCCAATTCGGTTCCGAGCTCTGTTCTCCTCGAAATTTCGCTTCGCTCAATTTCGCTCTGTTTCTCGCGGCAGAACACCTCCAGCTGCCCGATGAGCTCGCGGAGGAGGTCCAGTTCGAGTGTGGTCTCGCAAACGGCCATCTCTAGATTGCAGTTCTGCTCCAGTGCCTCGTCTCTCTGTTTCTGCACAATCGCGAGGCTTTTCTCCGCGGCCGAGTATTGGGACTGAAGCGCCTCGTGGGAGCGCCGCAGAGATTGCAGCTCTTGGAGGACGAGGACGACATTCTCATCGGATTTCCTTGTTGCTGAATCGGCATCAGGTGGCGGGGAAGAGATTCCGGCGGCGGCTTCCATTGTCCATAAGGGAATCGGCAGGTTGATGGCGGCAGGTAGTTCTTTTTCCTCGGCGGAAGATTATAGCAGGAAAATTGCTCCTGTTCCATACTACCTGCCCGTCAAGAGAAATGGAGGGAAAGCTCGCGAACTTGAGGAACGTTTGGTATCCTTAGATTAATTATTTGGTAATCAACATTTGTCAAGATCTCTGATCAGACCACGTGTCGTGTCGTCGTCGTTTTTTATGTGACTAACCCTGTACTTTAGAAGGTCGGGTTTTATAATGTGACGGGCTAAAATTTGGTGAAATCAGCGTTTCGGTTAGTCACGTCAGTAAAATACCGACGATGTTAACAGAGGTTGACGAAAACTAATAAAGAGTGAACAAATTTGAAACATTTAATTAATCCTAGTGATCCTCAATGAAATAAAAATAAATAGTGACTACACATGAATTTTTTCAGTAATTACAGTGATCAAACTTGCAATTTATCCTCATAAAGTGTAATAAGTTTGACATTTTGGTAGTTTACCATTAACTTCACACAAAGGACAAATGTGAATTGACTCATACCAAAGGTAGATCCAAATGAAGCAATTTCATCAAAATTATTAAATTACTCACAGCTAAAAGCTTACTGGGCACAAAGGTAGATGTTCTGTGTTATTACGTTAGGTTTTACAGAACTGGTCACTCACAAGTCACAAGGAGGAAGAAGGTTATTTAAGTCAAATTAATATATGTTAGGACAACAAATAAGGAGTTTTAGGGCGATGAATAGTAATGCCCATTGATTATTGGTAATCAATGTTTGTCAATCGTATGATTTCTAATCAACAATTATGTGACTAACCCTGTACTTTAGAAAGTTGGATTTTATAACGTGGCAGGTCAAAATTGGATGAAATCAGCATTTCGGTTAGCCACGTCAACAAAATACTGACGATGTTAACATAGGCTGACGAAAACTAATAAAGAGTGACCAAAGTTGAAACATTTAATTAATCCTAATGACCCTCAATAAAATAATAATAAAAAAGTGACCAAACGTGAATTTTTCCAGTAATTGCAGTGACCAAACTTGCAATTTATCCTCTTAAAATGTAATAAGTTTGACATTTTGGTAGTTTACCATTAACTTCACACAAAGGACAAATGTGAATTGACTCATACCAAAAGTAGATCCAAATGAAGCAATTTTCATCAAAATTACTCACAGCTAAAACAAGCCATCTCTGGAAAGGATCAATGTACCTAATTGTCTGATTTAACAATTATTAATATCCAAACGAACCCTACAAAATTCGTTTCTCAATAGCCAATTATTATTAAATTATAAACGAACCGAATCGGCCAGTAGGCCGAACCAGTAACCAAAACGCTTGCACAAGTGTTGAAGCGGGTTCTATTAAAGGTTCAAAACCCCACTCACTCATTCTACTTCACTACCAGCTAAACAAGCTTAAGCTCGCTACTTGCTTTTACCAAAGCTCTCTCTCCATCAATGGATGCCTTCTCCACCTTCACCTTGCTCTTCTTCCTTATCCTCCTCCTCCCCGCCGCCCCCACGCACCAGCAACAACAACAACAACCTCCATTCTCCTGCGGCGCCCAATCAAGCACCACAACCTCCTTACCCTTCTGCAACACCAAGCTACCCATAACCCAAAGAGCCAAAGACCTCGTCTCCAGGCTGACCCTCGACGAGAAGATCTCCCAGCTCGTGAACACCGCCCCTGCCGTCCCGCGGCTCGGCATTCCGGCCTACGAGTGGTGGTCGGAGGCCCTGCACGGCGTCGGATGGGTTGGCAAAGGGATCCACTTCAACGGCACCATTTCCAAAGCCACCAGTTTCCCTCAAGTCATCCTCACCGCCGCCTCCTTCGATGCCTACCAGTGGTACCGCATTGGCCAGGTAACTTTGATTTAACATCATTAAAGCTCGATTGGGTTTTGATTTGATTGATTGGCTAATTGGGGAAAGTGGGAGTTGTTTTATTTAGGTGATTGGGAAAGAGGCGAGAGCACTTTACAATGGCGGGCAGGCTTCAGGGCTCACGTTTTGGGCTCCAAACATCAACATTTTTAGGGACCCAAGGTGGGGGAGAGGCCAGGAAACCCCTGGGGAGGATCCTCTGGTTACTGGGAAGTATGCCGTCTCGTATGTGAGAGGGGTTCAAGGGGATAGCTTCCATGGCGGGAAGCTTACTGGGCATCTCCAGGCTTCAGCTTGCTGCAAGCATTTCACTGCCTATGATTTGGATAATTGGAAGGGGGTCAATCGCTTTGTGTTTGATGCTCGTGTAAGTTTTTTTTGGCAAACTTTACAGAGTCGCTTCCTTTTTTAGTTGCTTTTTTTTCATAAGGCTTGTGATTTTGTGTGCCACTTTTTCCTCTGCAACACAACAAGAAATAAAGTTGACTCACTCACTCTTCTCCCTTGTTCTTATGTGCTTTAACTGGTCTTTGAACCGGTTTCCCTGGTTTTGAGCTGCATTGGTTGAGGGTTTTCTGGTGTGTGTCATTGAATAATTCGAGACTGAGTAAAGCTACTTTTCTGGTCTAGTGCGTCTCATCGAGCACTATTTCATTAGACTATTCCTTTATGAAATGTCCCTTAAATGAAACTCAAATTTGAAGTTTGCACAGATTCGTCTTAACCGAATCGTTAATACTAGAGATTGTAAAATGTTCAGACACAAAACCGATATTAATCCTCTTGATCTATACTATTCCCTTGCATGTCCCGTGTGAAAATGACTGAAAGGGGAGCTTTTTCTAAGTTTCTTTTTATTGTCCATGATGCATTATTGTCTTCATTTCATGGGCTGATGATGGGATGTTCTGAATCTGATAATAATGATATCCTTTTCTCTTTTTGGATTTGATTCCAGGTGACGAAACAAGATTTAGCCGACACATATCAACCACCATTCCAGAGCTGCGTTGAAGAAGGGAAAGCCAGCGGGATAATGTGTGCTTACAACAGAGTTAATGGGGTTCCAAGCTGTGCAGATTACAATCTCCTTTCCAAAACTGCAAGAGGCCAATGGGGATTTCATGGGTAATGCACTGATTAACCATTCCTCTAGTATACCTGGAAAGAGATTTTCAGACAATGCTTGTTGCTTCCATAACATTTGAACCTATCTACCTACTACCACTGAAATCATTTCAGGTATATAACATCGGACTGTGATGCCGTTTCCATCATCCATGATGCTCAAGGTTACGCTAAGCAACCAGAGGATGCTGTTGCCGACGTTCTTAAAGCTGGTACATTCAGATGTCCCTATCCCACATAAACCCTTGTCTGTCCTAGCTTGTGCAGATGGACTTATTGCATTTGTCCATTTGTTTCTTTTCACCGAACCTTATCAGTATGGCATCAACGCCATTTTTGTGGTCTCTTCTTTGTCCCACCTACCCAGTGGAGCCCTCTTCTCATGGGCATTTTCCCTTCGAAGTCCAATCAATGGCTAAACCCAATTGGCAAAGCCAGTCCCGTTGATGATGGCTTGCTTCTTGTTGCGTTCCCCAAGTTTGATGCATGCAATGTTTTGTCCTCTTTACCACTTTAATATTGTTGCCTTCCATTGGTTGTTTGAGAATGATACCTTTATTACCTTTAATGGTAAAAGAGAATATGGTATTGGATTTCCCTAACATAGCCAGCAAAATGCAGGGATGGACTTGGACTGTGGATTATACTTGCAGCAGCACAGTAAAAGCGCAGTAGAGCAGGGGAAATTGCCTGTATCCCAAATAGACAGAGCACTTCACAACCTCTTCTCCTTAAGGATGAGGCTAGGCCTCTTCAATGGCGACCCAAAGGAACAGCTTTTCGGCAACATTGGTCCGGACCAAGTCTGTTCACAAGAACATCAGATGCTAGCACTTGAAGCCGCACGTAATGGCATTGTTCTCCTCAAGAACTCAGCCAGACTCCTCCCTCTCCGGAAATCCCAGGTCAAGTCTCTCGCAGTGATCGGCCCAAATGCCAACTCGGGGCAAACCTTGCTTGGAAACTATGCTGGACCACCGTGCAAGTTGGTTACCCCGTTGCAGGGACTTCAAGGCTATGTTAAGGACACAACTTACCTCCAGGGCTGTGATAGTGTTCGATGCTCGTCAGCTGAAGTTGATAGAGCTGTGGAGTTAGCCAAAGGTGTTGATCATGTTGTCCTGGTGATGGGGTTGGATCAATCGGTAGAGAGGGAAGAGCTCGATCGCGTGGACCTGGTGCTTCCTGGGAGGCAACAAGAACTCGTCACCAAGGTGGCGAGAGCTGCAAAGAATCCTGTCGTCCTCGTGCTTCTCTCTGGAGGTCCAGTCGATGTTTCGTTTGCCAAGTATGATAAGAAGATAGGAAGCATTCTGTGGGGTGGTTACCCTGGTGAAGCGGGTGGGACTGCACTTGCTGAAATCATCTTTGGTGATCACAATCCAGGTGAATCGATCGCGACTCATCCCTTTCAATCTTGATCCTAATGTGTTAACTCCAATCTGATTCTGACGTTTTTATGTATCGGGTTTGTTGCTATGCAGGAGGGAGGCTGCCGGTTACTTGGTACCCGCAGGAGTTTGTGAATGTACCAATGACAGACATGCGAATGCGTCCTGAATCATCTTCGAGCTACCCTGGCCGAACCTACAGGTTCTACAAAGGCCACAGCGTGTTCGAGTTCGGTCATGGCCTCAGCTTCTCCAAGTACTCCTACGAGCTGAAGCACGTCTCGCAGGACAAGCTCTTCCTGAACCAGTCCACCTCAACACAGCAAGCAGCGATCGACGAGTCAGGTTCAGTTCGTTCGACACTGGTTTCCAGCGTTGGAGCAGACTTCTGCGAGCAAAGCAAGTTCCAGGCCAGAGTCAGGGTGGAGAACCATGGCGAGATGGCTGGCAAGCATCCCGTGCTGCTGTTTGCTAGGCAGTCGAGGCATGGAGACGGGAGGCCCAGGAAGCAGCTGGTGGGGTTCAAGAGCGTGGTGCTCAGCGCGGGAGAGAAGGCGGAGGTCGAATTCGAGGTGAGCCCTTGTGAGCATTTCAGCAGAGCTAATGAAGATGGTGAGCTGATGATGGAAGAAGGTACTCATTTCTTGAGTGTGGGAGGTGATAAGTTCCCAATTTCCTTGGTACTATGAGGTGGGAATAGGGGAGAGAACTCCTGTGGTGAATAAGAAGGGGGAGAAGAAATGTTAATTCTCTTTTTTACTGAGTTAGTTTGTTGACATACTCGTCCCAATGAAATGAATCCAAGGCCAAATTAAGAGGAAAGGTTTTAAGTTTTAACTTTCCTGACGAACACTCTCAATCTAATTGGCATGAAAAAGGAATCGGCATTGGTGCCTAACAACGCTCTGTAACTTCTCCTCCAACCCCTGTTCCGGTCTCCTTCTTCTTCTTCTTCTTCTTCTTCTTCTTCTTCTTCTTCTTCCTCCCATCTCCAAACGCTGAATGCATCCGGGGAATCCGAGGAGATCATGTGCAAGCAACCCTGAGAGGTGTAAATTGACGAGCGGTGGTAAGAGCCGGCCTCAGGAGCGTCAATCAAAGCAGTGTTTGCGTCATCCAGTGATGGGCCGAAAGGATTCCACTCGACCAATTTCCCGTCCCAATTCTTCCAATACAACCTCCCGTTGTGCGAAGCTACAGCTTCGTCCCTGGGCGGGAATCGGCCAAACCGTTCAGTAGGCGTCGAGGTCCAGATTCCAGATTCCGAACAGAACACATCCACCCGATCGCTGTACAAACGCACCACGCGAAATCGGTACACATCACCGCCGTCGCCCAAATCCAGAGAAACAGAGTTGCAGGGCAGGCACACCAGTCTCGTGAGACAACAATACCAATCCCCAAACCTTTTGGGCGCTAAAGGGAGGCAAACCCACTGCTTCGTGAACGGGGGTTGCAGACGAAGAATGTCCCGTGGAGTTCGTAGTCGCTGCAGTCCTCGAATCCCACCAGGAGCAAGTCCTTGAAGCAATCGAAAACGCGGCAATGGGATCGGGTTTCGTCGCTAGGCATGGGCAGGACGCTACAGATCGTAGATCTCTATTCTTCTAGGTAAATCAGAAGAGGCGGTTCTGCTGCGGCGGCGGCGGACAGGGCCCGGTGGTGTGAGAGGAAGCGGCGGGAGAAGTAGGGAGCGGAGATGAGTGAGTTCCACCGCTTGCAGATGGATTTGCATCGGAAGGCGGATCTTGGGTCCGGAAGGCGGATAAGGATTTCTACGAGGAGATCGTCGTCTCCCAGTCTGCCGATGGAGTAGCCCTCGATCGCCATGGCTGGCTGCCGCCGGCGAGCTCTTGATTGGGAGAAAATAAAAACAGAAGAGGCGAATGGCAGAGTGAGGCACACAATCCCTAATAATAATCAATAACTTAAGCCTGTTTTTTCTTGGGCCTTCTCCTCGTCATTTTATAGTGTTTTGGGCTGTTATACATATTGGGCCCGGGCCCAGCATTGACCAAGAGGCAAGAGCTTAATAATAATAATAAGCCGTTGATTTATGCTCAATGCATAATTAGAAAAGGACTCGTTGACTTGGTTCGAGGTTTCCTACCAAAACGCTGGCGTATACGAGGAATGTTGTTAGGACTTGAGGACGGGAAGCAAAAAGTCAATCAAACGTTCAACGACCTAGCTAAGTCGCTCCTCCTTCCTCCTTTATACTTCCCAATTCCATTTCCTTCCTTATTCTCCGCCACGAAGCGCCAGCTTTGGCAAGGATAGAGATAGCTTGTAAACGAAGGTTTTTCCCCTCTTCTGAAAGAACATTGGAGAAAGACAGGGAAGGAAAGCCGTTTCCATTACTTTCCACAGGCGCACAAACTCTGATGCAAAAGAGCTAAAGATTCCCCCTTCTCCTTTCCCCTTTCCCCTTTTCAAAAAAGTAGGCCATCCTCTCTCACTCTTTCTCTATCTGCTGAGTCGGAGCGACTGAGCTTCAGCTGGGAAGACTGAGAATTCCGAATGCTGATTGCCGAATTGGTCGCTGATTCGCGGAGCTGGAGCATGGGGAGTAGCAGTGTTGAGGCGGAATTAGGCTTCGATGTGGAGGAGACAATCTTCGTCGCCGTGGGGAGGAACGTCGAGGAAAGCAAGACGGCGCTGCTCTGGGCGGTCCGCAACTTCTCAGGGATGAAGATTTGCCTCCTCCACGTCCACAAGCCTTCTTCCAATGTCGTCGTTCCGTTCAGTGAGTTTCCTTCCTCTCCGATTGTTCTTCTTTTGGTCTCGTCTTTTACCTGATTGCGCTTTGTTTGGTCGTCGGGGAAACGAAGGAAATTGGAGTTCCTGCCGTCGTTTATTGTGTGTCGTCTTTGATGGCGTTATGCCTGCGGAGTTCAATTATTTACAGTTTGTCGGTTGTCCTGTAGTCGCTGGTGTTTTCTGATCAGGGCTTTTTGGATCAATATTGAATTTATCCGAGGGATTTGACTTCAATTTTGAGCTCTAATGGCTATGGCTTTTGTTTGTATTCTGCCCAGAAGACAGGCTCCTTGCTGCCAACAAAGCGAAGAAAGTTGCTGCCGAGGGATTTGAAGAGTTGGAGAGGAGAAAGGTGGCTGATGTTTTGACTCAGTACTTCCTCATTCTTGGGCAAGAAGGGGTAGTGTTTCTTTGCCAAACAGCATCTGGGATCAGTCTAGTATTCAACATTACCTGATGATGATGTGTGTGATTAACACTCTGTAGTTAACTCAATTCCATAGGTTAAACCTTATGAAGTGTGGATTGAGGCGATGAGCATCGAGGAGGGGATTGTCGAAATTGTTGATCGGTACTATGTGAAGTGGCTGGTCATGGGTGCAGCAGCTGATAAGCACTACTCAAAGTGAGAAGTGTATAAATGAATTATCATAGTTTTGATTGGCAAGATGCTTTATTTTGTGTTCCTGTATCTGGTTATTACAGGAAATTAGCAGAGATTAAGTCCAAGAAAGCAGCATTTGTATGGCAACATGCAGCTATGTCTTGCCATATCTGGTTTCTTTGCAATGGTCGCCTTATCTACACTAGGTACAGTTTCAGGATTCCGTTTGCCTCTTCTGCCATGATCGCCAATCAGTAATTAGCAGTTTCTTGTTCACTGAGCTGTTATTTATGCCTTCGAAGAATTCAAAATTCGTTTGCTTATTCAAGTATTGAAACAGGGAAGGTAGAGATGACATATGTGAATCGGAAATTGATGATCTCCCGTTGCTCCTGACTTATTCAGATTCAGTATCTGAGAAACCAGAGGATTTGCAATCAGGTTTTGCTGCATTTGATGTTTCTCCAGGTAATAACATGATATTTATGCAACATTCATGCCAAATCTTGTAAGAAAAGCTTGGTAGATTGACAGTGTTACAGAGTTGTGCAGATGCAGTTGACAATGCTGATGGATTTGAAGCTTTGTTGACGAAGTTCGATAATGATTCTAGCTTGGACGCCAGAGAATCCATTGAAACGGTGATGCCACTGCTTGAACATAAGGTAAGAAGAACTGAATCTCCCATTAAAGAATTATTTTTTAGTCAAGATTTCAGTGCACGAAGCTCTTCAATTACCACTTGCACATAGAATTTCCACATTAGATTTCTGATGTCCATACTGGAGGGTAACTTTTTGCAGGCCGTGGAAGTGAAGGAGCAAACAGATGCATCGAGTACGAGTAGCTTGGAAGGATCTGCTGTGGATGCTAGCGATCTAAGCAAAAAGGCGTTTGAAGAGGTAGTTAAGCGATGGAAAGAGGAAGAGAATGCTATAGAAGCAAAATGCAAGGCACGTTTCTGTTTGACTGGGCAATTTGAGGAGTTTGCTTTGTCAGTGTTGATTGTTGGAGCCCATGATTTCAGACATTTCATATTGTACTATTTGGAAAATATAATAACCAAAATAACTGATCATCCTGCGTCAACTATTCTGTAATGTGAAATTGTTTCTTTCACAGGCTAAAGCACTAGAAAGCTTGTGCATCAAAGAGATTAGCCTGAGAAAAGAGATGGAGGAAGTTTTGGCTAGAGAGAGGGACTCGGTAGAAAGGATGGGGAACCAACATGATGAACTCTACCAAGAACTAAAGCAGGTCAAGGAGCAGAAGGCTGTACTTGAAAAGCAGATTGGAGATGCAAATCGTGTGGTACAGGAACTGGAGGAGAAGATCATTGCAGCCGTTGAACTTCTGATTAGTTTCAGGAGACAGAGGGATGATGCCAAGGTGGAATGTGAAAATGCTGTGAGGGAAGTGAGAAGGCTACAAGAGTTGGGGAAACTTGGCGCTACAAGCTTTCACGGGTCAGAAATTCTTGAATTCTCTTTTGAGGAGATCATAGAGGCAACTAGTGAATTTGATCCAGCTAGGAAGATTCAAGAAGGAAGATATGGAACTATATACAAAGGTCTCCTTCGCCATCTCCTTGTAACCATAAAGATGTTACCCTCCTATGGCTCTCAACTCGAATTTCAAAACGGGGTACAGCTTTTCTCGAACTCCATACAAAATTTTCAGTATGCATAAAAAAATCACCAAAAAGACCTTATATACCTCTTGATTGATTGGTTAGCTTACTAAACTGATTGCTTGATCATCTATCATTTACTATGGAACCCAGGTGAAGATTCTGAGCAAGGTGAGGCATCCAAATCTGGTAACAATGATTGGAATTTGCCCAGAAGGCAGATCACTTGTTTTCGAGTACGCTCCAAACGGAAGCCTGGAAGATCGCCTTGCCTGTCGAGGCAAATCACGCCCACTTACTTGGCAGACTCGGTTGAGAATTGCTGCTGAGATATGCTCTGCTCTCATCTTCATTCACTCCAACAAGCCCTGTATCATCCATGGAAACTTAAAACCGTCTAAAGTCCTCCTTGATTCAAACCTCGTCTGCAAGGTATACGATTTTGGCATGTCTCATTTAGTTCCACAAGGCAAAACTGGTGATCTTACTCTGGAGTCAGATGTCGACTCTTTTGGGATTATTCTTCTCCTCCTGCTTACTGCTAGACCGGTTTCGGGAATAGTGAAAGATGTGAAATGTGCATTAGAGATCAATAAGTTGGAAGCCGTTCTGGATCACAGTGCTGGGAAATGGCCAGATGAACTGGCCAAACTGCTGGCTAACATGGCATTGAAATGCTGCAACGGCGACAGATTGAACCGGGCGGACCTTGTGTCAGAAATCTATCCTGTTTTGGATCAGATGCTAGTGCTATCTTCTTCAACTGATTCACAGCCACCATCATCATGCTTGGATGCCAAGGAACCTCGCCGAGTTCCATCCCATTTTGTATGCCCCATTTTCCAGGTACCACCAAAGCTGTATGCTGCACCTTAGTTTTTTCTACATTAATCCGTGGAACTTGATCAGCTGATCTGATAATGTTCGGCTCGTACAGGAAGTGATGAAGGATCCCCAGATAGCTGCAGATGGTTTCACGTACGAAGGCGACGCGATTAAAGGCTGGCTGAAGAGTGGGCACAACACTTCACCCATGACTAATCTGAAGATGGAACACTGTGATCTGTTGCCTAATCATGCTCTGTACCAGGCAATTCAAGAGTGGCACGAACAACAATGGTGAACTGAAACCCAACTTAAGCAACTCATGCCATAGTGTATATCCTTTTACTTTGTATCTTGTTTGTACATAGCTTTTCACAATATATATAGTTATACCCCTTACACTTCTTTCCACCTTCAGTGTACATGATGCATAAACAAACCTGGATCTAACAAAAACTTCTAGCAAACCATCATTTCGCTTTTGTGGTACCCGTTGATTTTGAGTATAGTGGTTTGATCCGTCTACCTGTCAGCCGTCAGGCCATCAAATCGATCCCATTGCCTCGTAGGGATGTGGAGGACAAATTGATCTGGCATGATACCGTCGATGGGGTTTTCTCCGTCAAATCTGCCTATCATCTTGTTGTTGCCTTGGATAGGAGGGAGGGTAGGTGGAAATTAGTGGTGGGGTGGATGGACAGGCCTAGCTGGATTCGATTGTGAAATGCGGACATACCCCCAAAGCTAAAGGTCTTTGTTTGGCAGATCCTTCACCGTGCTCTCCCAACGACGGAGGCTCTCATTGAGAAGAAGGTGCTTGTCCACCCGAGATGTCCGGTTTGCTGGGACGACATTGAGACTTTGGAGCATCTTTTTCTTGAGTGTCCAGTTGCCCGTGCCCTCTGGGACTATTCGGGTCTGGATTATCTGGGGGAGGGATTGCCTCGGCAGACCTTCCCTCTCTTTCTGAAGAGATTGCTGGCGTTGGTTCATAACTCGGCGTTGTTCATGAGAGTGGTGGCCATCCTGTGGAGGATTTGGCGATCTCGGAACTGGGTTGTCTTTGAGGGCAAGCAGTTCGGGATCCCAGCCTTGATGCGTCAATTTCACCAGCAATATGAGGAGTGGGTTGGCCTGACTGCGAGCCCGACACAGATGAGGAATGCGCCCATTCCAGACCATACAAGTCCTCTTGGGGATAACAGGGTAATTTGTATGTGGGATGGGGCCACGAGATGTGGATCTCACTCGGCTGGTGGGATGGTTCTTATGAACCCAGAAAGGGAAATCCTTTTGGCAAAGGGAATTCAGCTTCAGTCGGTGGATGATCCCATGGTTGTGGAATTGCTTGTTCTAAGGGAGGCTCTCGTTTGGTGTCTGGAGCTCGGTTTCTCGGAGGTCATGTTGGAGGGGGGTGCTAAAGTGCTCATCGATAAGATCAACAAAGCAGATACTAGAGATAACCGAGTGGGGGCCGTGCTTGAAGAGATAGGATACTATTTTCAGGCCCATCCTGGTTTGGCAATTCGATTTGTAGGTCGGCGGAACAATAGGGTAGCCCATTTGGTGGCTAAAAAGGTCCTTTCTTTGTACCCGGCTATGAGTCGGCACTTTGATTATCGAACCTGGCTTGCTTCCAGGATGTAACTATTGTTTGCTAATATCAATATATGATTATCTTTTGTCAAAAAAAAAGTATATATAATACAATCGAATTTCAAATTTAATTTTTACAAAAAGAATTAACTTTAATTGCTAATATTTGTTTGATATGATAACGTTGGCTGAAATGTCAAAGTTTGAAATCATATTGTACAAGTTTCAACATTTTTTCCAATAAAAAGACAGATACCTACAATCTCTTAATTCGTATTAAATGTTTTTTTAGAAATACCCATGACATTAAAATGGATCCAGTAACTAAGACATGGATCGTATACAAATAGGATATGCACCAAAATACAAGTTATAGTCCTTATTGGCCAAGAAATCATTTGAGCTATTACAGTTCAAAACTATATATCAGTCCAACTAGTTCCATTCAGAATTCCGTTAAACACAACAATCTGCTACAAACCTTGCCAACTCCAAACCCAAATTCATAAGTTTATCCTTTAAAAAAATCGGGGTAAAACTCAATGGGTTTGGAAAACTCAAACCCACCTCGCTGGGTATCCGCGGGTTCATGGGTACCCAGTGGTTTTTGTGGTTAAAAATTTACAATAACAAGTTCCTATCAAAATAAAAGTCAAACATCTATTTCTCCATACAAATTATTTATACACAAAAAATAAAAAAACAAGTCTAGAAAATTGAAACAAATCACAAATTATCCACACAAATTGTAAATTAGATTGGGAGAAATTAGAATTAGGGTAGAATTTGAAGAGAGTAGGTGACGGAATAAGTATGAGTGAGTATCCAAGGGTCGAGTATCCCTAAACCCAAATCTAATCCAATCAAGTGAAAGTATAACGAGTTTAAACTCGAACCCGATCCAAAACTCGTCAACAAGAATTTTACCCACATTAACCGGGTCGAATCTATTAGGATACCCGTGAGTTCGAGTTTTGTTGTCATCCCTAGACTGAGGTAACTCGAAACTTTAGAGAAACCATAGTGGCAGGCCCGCGTGCGTCATCAATTGCGGTGGCGCCATAAACCTCGGCCCAATGACAATTCTTGGGTAGGCAGGTGTACCAAGGGCCCAATACAGGCCGTCCACGTTAGGAAGTCCAGGTTGCCCTAAACCCGTGCGTGCGACAAAACCTCATGCTGTATGTCGCTGAAACTCTGACTCTGCAGAGAACTGGAGAAGTAATATATTTTCGACCAATAAAATAATAAATAAATAAATACTGTTCTTATTTTTCTCCCCCAACCTCCAATTTTTTTTTTCTTGCTCCCCAATTCACTTGATTTCGCGTTGCTAAAAGAGGATTTTCCCCAATTTCCCTCGAATTTTTGTTTATATGTTTTTTTCCCCTTCTTTTTTTGGCTCCAACCCTTCTGATTTTTTTACCTCGAAACTCTCTTTTTTTCATTTTTTTCCTCTCTTTTTCTTCCTCTCTTTTTCTTCCTCTACTAGTTCTCGGCCGATCACCTTTCTCGCACTTTCTCTCCCGATTTTCGCTCCTTTCAAACACTCCGCTTCTTCCCCTCATCGGCCAGAGCCCCCTACTCCCTCAATCCCTCCGATCGCCGGAGATTGTTCTTTCCTCCTCTCTACCGATCTCTACTCCCTCCGCGCCTCTCACTTTTTCCAACTGGTACGTATCACCGATCACTTCACTTACTGCTCGTGCTTTTCCCTTTTCCCCCCTTAAAAAGGCTCAGGCGTATACGTTCCTTCAATCCAGTCTAGCCTTTTCGTAGATCACGTCACCGGCACGATACCGAACGATTTTCTCATTTCCTTTTTTTTTTTTTCATTAGCATTCTTCCTCGAGGTTTTTCGCCATTGATTTCGCGGCACTGCTTTGATTTTCTCTTTCGATTGGTGGAGGTGAGAAAGAACACGAGGGTCCTGATGCGGAGAGATTTTGTCTCGTTTTTTGAATTGGTTAGGGTTGAAATCTCGACTTAATTGAATTAGGTCGGTTGAAATTCTGCAGGGTGTGGGGAAGTTCTTTTGGTTGGCGATGGGAATGGGAGATTCGAAACTGTAATTTGTTGTAGGTGGTATCTAGCGAATGAATATACCAGTTATCTGTCTAACTTACTAAGTTGGTGTTTTTGGGAGCAATGGGTTGTTATTTTGCTCGTTAATAGCCACAATGTGGAGTGGAGGCGATTCAGATGATTCCTATTATGCATAATTAATGGCACATTTATTATTGTCTTTGGAACTGAGATTGCTAGCCGATTCGTCTGACGATTCTCTCTGACATTGTTCTTCTTTGTGCAGTGGCGTTTTGGCGGGTTCATTATATCCTGGATCGATCCTGTGTTCATAAATGCCAGTTGCGAAACTCAAAGGGTCCAACACTACAGATGTGATGAAATCGGAAGATGGGAATGATTCCCTAGACACTTTCATCAGGCAAGCAATGGGGAAGGAGCCTCTGCTTTCCTTCCCTAGGACTAACGATAGCCCCGTACAGTGGATCCAACTGCTTCAAGCTCTGGACCAGCAAGGTACTACTAGATGTGTTCTTTCATCGAACATTTAATTATGTGGCTACATTGTCTGCATTTGTTGCTGTAATTGCATTTTGTTCTGAGGTTATGTGTTGTTGATTGTTGCAGATGGACCAGGGTGGCCTTTACTGACCCCTTTGAAGGTTCAGATGCAAAAATGTGACAAGTGTTCACGAGAGTTTTGTTCCTCCATAAACTATAGGAGGCATTTACGTGTTCACCATCGACTGAAAAAGCTTGACAAGGTATCTTTTCCTTCAATATTCAAATTTCTTTGTCGTTGTTCGCTCAGCTGTTATAAGTGTAAATGTTTGAAACTTCCCTTTTGGCCCTTTCTATGGCATGTCACTTATGTTGATTGAAAGCATTCTGAAAAAGCTTTTTTCCCTTGGTCAGGATACCACAAAAAACAGGAATCTGTTGGGAGCCTTTTGGGAGAAGGTAAAGTGTCTGTCTGAAGAGGTTGTGATTGCTGTGGCTTTGTCTCTATGCTGATCGATAAGTGTATTTTGCAGCTCTCTGAAGATGAAGCAAAGGAGATTTTGTCATTCAAGGATGTGGCGCTAGAGGTATGTTGTTTGCTATTTCTTGTGAGGATGTCACTGCTTGCAGACTTGTGTTGGTCATTTGTTTGATCTGCCTCTAAAATCAATGCTGTTAGGACTTAGGAGTCATTCCCTTTCCTACCGCTCTCCACATTCTCTCCAATTTCTTGTTGTGTCATAATAATGATTTGTTTTCAATGCATGCCTCATTTCCCTGTATATCACCAGGAAGTGTCGGGATCTTCAATTATAAAGTCGTTGATGGCTCTTAACCGGAAACAGGGATTTTCTCCTCTTCCACAGTACTGTTTGAGGGCTGGTACTGCTCTTCTGGTGAGGCAAAATTGTTTTATTTTTCAAGATTACTGCTTGATTCAGTTCCTGCTCTATGATTAAGCTAATGTGATCTGTGACTTCTGTGCAGGATATTATCCAAGGGAGATTTAGGTATCCTTTATCTTCAGAGGAATTGTTTAGCATTCTTGATGATGCCAGTGAAAAGACATTTCTATGTGGAGCAGCAATCTCAATGCAGAAGTATATTTTTGACGGGGAAGCTGCTAAAACTGGTCTCGAAACAAAGAACATAGTTGCATGCACCAGCTTCTTGGTGGAACAGAAATTGGTTAGTTTTGCTAATTGTAACTATCAAATGAATTGGTGTATGATTTAGCAGAAGTTTGTGTTCTTATTTCTCATTCTTGCGATGCATCTTGGTTACTCTCCATTCAGATTAAGGCATGGCTTGCAGACAAGGATGCTGAAGCCCTGAGATGCCAGAAATTGCTTTTCGAGGAGGAAGAAGCTGCTCAGAGAAGGTGCCTGCCAACCTAAATTTTGAAATAAACTTTTCATACTATGCTTTGAGTACCATTTGTGTTTAATCCCAACATGTATCCTGAATGCTTATAGGCAAGCGGAACTGGTGGAGCGGAAAAGGCAGAAGAAGCTCAGGCAGAAAGAACAGAGAGCTAAGGAGCAGAGGCTAGAGGAGAAACCCGACATCGAGGAGCAGAGTGATGAGACCTTGGAGGAGCCCTCAGCTGAACTACCCTGCTCAACTGCATGTAGTTCTAACTCGCATGATGTCGACATTCAGCCAGATCCCTTTTCATCATCTTCCGAGCCTCCCCAACTCACATATCAAGACGAGGAGTTGTTTGATCTGGAGAGCCAGATTCTATACGATGCTGGAACTGCTTGTGATCCTGGCAGAGATTATTATGTCGAAAGGCACACAACACTACAGGGAAACAACCGTAGTAGGCACGTAGGTCGGTGGCACATGCCTCCAAAACCCCAGTGGAATCATATTCCTAATGGTTATCACGGAACTTACAGGGATCCGAAACAAGCAGCAATGGTTAATGGGAACAGAAAGTGGAGCAGGAAACCTAGAGTAGAATATGCCACCGGTGAGACCTTGAAACCCAGAATTGAAAGGGACGTACCTATAACAAGCCAGCAGCCAGATCATCACGCCAAGAAACGTGAAGTTCTGATTGGCTCCATCTCTGTTGCACTTGGGAATTCTAGTCAACAGGATTGTCAAGCAGACCAACAGCAAGCACCAAAGAAGAGCAATAATATTCAGGACAAACACTCGAATCGTCCGACAGTGAAGCAGCAGTGGAGGCCTGTGAGCCGGAATGGCAACAAAGGCCAACCACCAGACGAAAGCGTCTCTCGAGAATCTCCAGACGAGAGCCTGCCTCCTCCTCCTGGGAGGTTTCAATTCTCGAGCCAGGCGGCTAAATCTTTTCTTGCAGAGAGTAAGCTGGACTAGTTAGTTTACTACATATCTGTACCTGTTTTTTTCACATGTCTGAGAAATAACCATGAGTGTCAATTTGCAGGGTGGAAGGAGGCCATGGCAACCGAGCATGTGAAATTGGTTCTGGCACCAGAATCACTCAAAGCCAGCAACGGTGTACAACAAAATGGCTGTTCCGTTACAGCCGAGTCATCGGATGTTCGTAGGGGTCCGGAGCTCGGTACTAGAGGATCGGAGGAAGAGATGGTGGTTGAAGCAGGTGGTGGTGTGAAGGGCAAGTTCAGATCAAAACCTGAGAAAGGTGTCAAGCTAAAGTACATACCGAAACAAAGAACGTTGAGCTAATAAAACCAAAGAAGAGGGAAGGAAGGAGGAGCAGAATCTTTTTTTCCATCGTTTTTTGGGGGGGTTTCTCTTATACAAATGTGCACAGCTTTTGATTTTTCTCGTTCTTAGCAGAGGGTTCCAGTTTTACTGTCAGGACAAGAAAATTGAAAGAAAAGAAACGTGAAAACGGGAGTGATCTGGAAAAGAAAAGGGTTTTTTGCAGGAAGTCATTTTTCAGTTCCGTCCTTTTTATTTATTTTACAACAGAGTGTCATTACTCATTAGCAACATCAGGAGGTTTGGTTGGTATTATTATTTAGCAGAGGCAGAGCATATAGTAGGCTATCCTCCTTTTTTGGTTCAATTTTGGGGTTGGCGGGGTCTTTGTTTGCTTCATAGTCTCAATTGTTTTCCCTGTAATAATAAAGTTTTGGTATCTCTTGTAAGCTTTTTTTTTCCTGACTGGCATGCCACACATAATATGGCAAAGCTCTCCTTTCCATTCTCCTACCTTCCTATTTCTCAAAGTTGCACGTAACTAGTTTATGACAAGGAGCACTTCTACTATACTATATAGTATTGGTGCTTTAATGAATAACTTAAAGTTGTACCATAACATTAAATGTATAAGTTTAGGTTGTACCATAAAATAATTTGTATCATTATGTTATGGTACAACTTTACAACTTGAAGTTGTACAATCACATAAAGGTACAAGTTCAAGTTGTACCATAAAAGAATTTGTACAAAAAGTATAGGTACAATTTGAAGTTGTACCATAACGTAAATGTACAATTTTAAATTGTACCATAAATGCAAAACCCTATAGCACCAATACTATATAGCATTGTAAAATTCCTCTATGACAAGTAGGGGTGGCTATTTGGTCCGGGTTCTTTGGTTTTATCCAAAATCAGACCGCATAACCCTGATTGAAACCGAATCGAAACCGTATAGCAAACAATTCAATCTCGTATTCAGGCTTAGATTTGAGGTAAAAAAATCGTTCGGGATCGGACCAACTCCCAAAACCTAACCAACTCCTCACCCTTTTAGGCCTCAGCCCACTCAAACCCTAATAAGCTCAATCTAAAATCAAGACCGGATTGGGGCCGGACCAGGTCAAAATCGGATTGTATCCAATCCAATATTCGGTCCTGATATTCTCGAAAAGACCAAACCTGAACCGGTCAATTCGTGTCAATTTAACCGTACCGAACTGTATAGTCACCCCTAAAGACAAGCTAAACAAATAGATGGTGCACCGACATGTTTAAGCAGTAACTTTTGTGTTTGACCAATTCTTCTGCAGGCCATCGGTATCGATTATATAACCACCTACAATTCGAATTTAGCAATACTGATTATAATCTAATATTTGCAAATAAGAGTTTGATCTAATAGTACTACTGCGGTACGGCCTACAGTTTATTTTTATCCTAATCCTATTCATCTAAATTACTACTTTCCACCATATAGTATATTGGTATTTATTTAACTCATTTACGTCGAATATCGAAACTAATCGTATTATTTGTTATCCTTCTCTAAATTCTCTATCCTTGTGTTATATTTCTCATATTCTAATATCCCTAATTCTATTTCAAACACTCTCCATTTCCTCTTAATTCACCTTCTTATTCTCGCCTGAGTACGATTTCTCCAGCACATTCACTCATTCCTACACCGGCAGATAGGAACTCCGACTCGCCGGGAACCGGAACATTAACCCAAATTGACCGGACCTCCTCCTCCACTCTAGGGATGGCAACAAAACCCGAACCCACGGGTACCCACCCGACCCAACCCGGTCAACGCGGGTAAAATCCGTGTTGACGGGTTTTGGGCCGGGTTTGGGTTTAAACCCGTTCACTATTCATCGGGTTGGGTTGGGTTTGGGTTTAGGTAAACCCGGCCCGTGGGTACCCGCCCACTCATATAATTAATTTTTTCGGTATATTTAATATTCTAAACAACTAATCTTATTTATGTTTGTGGAGACATGTCTAATTTTTTCTTTTTAATTGTGTAGAATGAAGTTGATGTTATGGAGTGGAGAGTAAAGAAACTGAATTGAAAGGAAGCTTTCAATTAAACATGTTATTTATGAATAATTTGTGATTTGCTTCAATTTTCTTGAGTTTTCTAGATTGGTGTTGAACAATTTGTATAGTTTATTTGTGATTTGCTTGAATTTTCTAGAATGGTGTTTTATATATGGATAATTTGTATTGAGAGATTGATACTTGACTTTAATTTTGATAAGAACTTGTAATTGTAAATTTTTTACGACAAAACCCGTGGGTACCCATGAACCCGCGGATACCCAACGGGTTGGGTTGGGTTTGAGTTTTTCAAACCCAGTGGATTTTACCCCGGGTTTTTTTCAAAGATAAACCCATGGGTTTGGGTTTGGGTTTGGCAAAACACGACCCAACCCGACCCATTGCCATCCCTACTCCACTCACTTCTCCCTCAGAACGCCGATAAGACCCCCTGAAACAGGTGTCCTCCCACTTTCCCCTCCACGTGTCCCCTCTCCTCTCCTCAAAACAAAAACAAACAAAATATTAGGGCTGGCAGAACGGTTTCCGGTTAGCAGTTAACCGGTCGGTTACGACCGAACCGACCGGTTTTCGGCTAACCGAAAACCGTCTTTTATTGTCGTCGGTCGGTTTCCGGGGGAGAGGGGGAGGGGCTCGGCTAGCCGATTAACCGTGGTCAATAACCGCCGGTTAACCGGCTAACCGATTCTCTTCCAATTGCCTCAAAACGACCCCGCAACCGCGCCCAAAACGACCCCTTCCCCCAAAGCAAACCACGCTCCAACCCACCCAAAACTATCCCCAATATATAAACCAGAACCTCAACCGCTTCCACTTCCAGAACATCCCAATCCCTAATTCGGCAAATTCCCCTTTCTCTTCTCACCGAATGGCCGCCGTCCGCCAACGCCGCCAGCTCAACCTCCGCCTCCCCGAACTCGGCGCCGACCGCCGCCCTCGCTTCCCGGTCCCCCTCTCTCCCTTCCTCTTCCTTCCTCTCCTCCGACCTCGACATGCAAGCTCTCCGTCCTTGGCCACGGCAACGACGGCACCGTCTACAAGGTCCGCCACCGCCGCACCTCCCAGATCCACGCCCTCAACTCGTCCGCGCCGACTCTGACCCCGCCGCCCGCCGCCAGCTCCTCCGCGAGGTCGAGATCCTCCGCCGCGCCTCCGACTCCCCCCACATCGTCCGCTGCCACGACGTCGGCGAGACGCCCTCCGACGACATGACGATTCTGCTTCTCCTCCATGGCCGGCGTTGTGCAGAGATGGGTTTGAAATGGAGGAAGGAAGGAGAGAGAAGGAAGAAGGGGTCTGGTGTGATTTTTTGGGAGGAAGGAAGAAGGGGTCTGGGGGGATTTTTTGGGAGGAAAGAAGAAGAGAGAAGGAAGACCCGTGGGATTTTTGGGTGGGAGGGAGGAAGGAGAGAGAAGGAGATAAGGATTCAGTGGTGGAGGATTTTTTATTTTTTATAATAATTTTTAATTAATTTTTTTTGTTGAATTTTTTTTTTGTGCGGCTAACCGAACCAAAACCGATAACCGACCGGTCGGTGGTCGGCTAGCCGTGGTGCCCTTCACGGTCGGTGGTCGGTAGCAGGCAGTGGTGCTCGGTTTAACCGAAAACCGATTTTTCGGTTTTCGGTTAAACCGAAATCGACCGACTGACAGCCCTACAAAATATAACACTCACTCAGTCACTCACCAAGGCCTTCTTCCCCATCCGAACCCCGAAAACCACAGAACAGAGCAACAGCAAACCAGAGAAAGAAGAAAGAAGAAGAAGATGTCAGGAGGAGTCGGGCCGAGCGCAGACATAACCCTACCCAAGGACCAACAAGAGGAAGAGCAAGACCAAAAGCTCCTCGAGAACAACAAAAAGACCCAATTGCCCCCCAATTCCACCGCCGCCGCTCCAAGAAACAGAGCATCCCTCCTCGGCTTCTACCAGCTCAATTCCCTCGCCGCAATCATCATCCTCGCCGCCAGCGGCCTCGTGGGGATCTCCGACCTCGCCTTCGTCGCCTTCTCCCTCGCCTACATCTTCCTCCTCTCCCGATTCGCCTTCCCCCCGCTCCCCCCGCCGCCGCCGCAAAAGCCGGACGGCGGCAACAACAAGATCCTCGACACCAAATCCAAAACCCTCCGCCTCTACGTCTTCGTCAGCGCCCTCCTCGGGATCTTCCTCCCCGTCGCCTACATCTGCGAGGGGTTACTCAACGGCGGCGACAACAAGGACGGGATCAATGCTGCCGCGGCGTCCCACGTTTTCTTGCTCGCCAGCCAGCTGTTCATGGAAGGCGTCGCTTTGGGTTCCGGCCGATTCTCGCTCCCCGTCGGGATCTTCATCCCCGTGTTCTACAACTCCCGCCGCATCTTCACCCTCGCCGACTGGCTCAGCTGCGAATTCGCGAAGTCGGGGGACGGCGGCGGCGGCGGCGGCAGGAGGCTGTATTTCGGGAGGGCTCTGGCGGTGGCGAACATGGCGTTCTGGGGGTTCAATCTGTTTGGGCTTCTGTTGCCTGTCGCCGTCCCGATTTGTCTCAAGAAGTACTACGCCGCTTCTCTAAACAAAGTCTCCAAAGACTGACAAAGCCAGAGCAGGAACGAAACGAGAGGAAATGAGTGAAAGAAACGTTTCGGTGAGTGCAGCCGAAATGTCTGTTCCTGTTTCGGGCTTTTGATTAGGGGAGAGACCATTTGTTATGAGCAGCTTCTTCTGCTGCCCGCTAAAGGGATTTCTCTGCTTTCACGTCGCTGACTCGCTTGATCTCATTCTCAATCTCATGCCCTGTTTCTGAGATCACCCATGTTAGTATTGTTAATATTTAGTTTCACAATGTTCGATTTCAAAGGGATGGATTGGTGCAGATGTTTGAAGGTGTTATTAGTCTGATACTTGCCTGATTTCTAATCAAATGTTCAATTCTAAAATCTAAATATGACGAATCAGATGGATGGATATCCGAAAAAGGTTGACAATAAGTTCTTTCAGAATTAACTATTTGTTCCCTCTGTTAGAGATGTTTCGGAAACTTCTGCGATCGAATAAATAGCTCTACGAACGAACGGGTTGGAACTGGAAATTATATGAGAATCGGAACTGATGTGAGAACTGAGGTGGTATCCACATTATGAGTGTGTTGGAAGTGGAACTGATGTGAGAATTGAGGTGGTATCTACTTTACTATTAGAGGTGGCAATTAGGATCCAAATCCATTAATTCAATCCAATCCATCCACCAAATTATCCACCTAATTCAATCCATTTAAATCAAATCTATTTGATCCAAATCCAATTGGATTGGTGGATTCATGGATCAATCCATGAATCCAAATAACAAATTATGATTTGGTACCTATATTTATTATATTTTACATTTTGGCACCTAAAATTTATATTTTTATACGAAAAATATCATTGGAAAATTACATTTTGGTACCTAAAATTTTTCATTATGACATTTTAGTACCAAAACTTTTCAAATTTTACATTTTGGTCCAAGCTTTGGATGTCATTTGGATTCATGGATCAATCCACCGATCTATTTGATCCAATCCATGAATCCACCAATCCATTTGATCCATAGATCCACCAATGCAATCCATGAATCCACGAATCCGATCCAATTACCACCTCTATTTACCGTTATATTAACGTGATTGAAAAGAGAAAAATGTTTCTAACGGAGATCAACTTCTTAATTTTTTTAACATTGTCAGATGACAAAATTGAATCTAGCTATATCAATGTACTTATCAAAAGTTGGTTTGTTGTTGTCATAAAGTGCAAAATTATGACGATATATTTTCGATCAAAATATTGCTGACGGAGATTTGGAACTGGCCAAATTCAATGGGAATGGTCGTTTACTTCTTTTGCCATGAATTTTAGCAATATTAAACCCAATTTTCACTACCTAGCTACAATGAGGATGACGAACGGTGTGAAACTATGGAGTATGGACAGACACGAATGCAGCCAATTGGGCAAAATGGTAAAATGAGAGTTGACGGAGATATCAATGGATAAGATCTCTGGTCGAGAGATGCCGGCCACAAAATTTAGGTGGAAAACGTAACGCAGGAGATAAATTGAGAGATTGTGATGAACTGATGATCCTTTACCTAACCTCTATTCACCCAATTTTTTCTGCCCGTCTCCGGCGAATTCACTCCAATTGTAGAAACCATGTCGGACGACGACAAGGGTAACCCACCCCGCCGGCGATCCTCCGTCCTCCTCAATCCAATCCAACTATTCTGCCTCCTCGTCGCCGTTCTCCTCGCCGGAACCGGCCTGGTGCCGCTCGAGCACGTCGGATTCGTCCTCTTCTCCGCAATCTACATGTACTTCCTCTCCCGATTCTCCTTCCCGGCGGGGACCACACCGACGGAATCCGTCTTCGACCGGAACAACAAGATCCTGGCGAATTACGTCCTCACCGGCGGCGTCGTCGGCCTCTTCCTCCCCGTCGCGTACATCCTCCACGCCCTCCTCCTCCTCCCGGACGGCGGCGAAGAAGCGGTGGGAGCGGCGGCGCCGCATCTCTTCCTGCTGTCCAGCCAGGTGTTCATGGAAGGGGTTTCGTTTGCCGGCGGGTTCTCGATCCCGGTCCGGGCCTTCATTCCGGTGTTCTACAACTCGAGGAGGATTTTCAGCATCTGGGGTTGGATTCAATTCGAGTTCGCGAAGGTGGGAGGGTTGGTGATTGTGGGGAGGGCGCTGGCCGCGGCGAATTTAGGGTTTTGGGTGTATAATCTGTTTGGGTTCTTGTTACCTGTTTATCTTCCTAGAGCTTTCAGGAAGTATTACTGCTCCTCCTCTGCTTAGAGAAAAACAGGGGAAGAAAGCAAAATTACTCTCTGTAGTGTGATGGAATGGAACCCTAATTGTGTTAAAGTAACTATCGAAAATACAAATCCTTTGTTCTACATTGACCAGTGTTGCAAATAGTCACACTATGATATTGCTTTTGAGCTGATGGCCTGCAGATGAGCCGTTGAGTTTGGGTTCTCGATCAGGGCCTAATTATTATATCAATAGGCATATTTGTTTCTCAAAGTAGTATTAATTTTATCGGTTGCAACTGCAAGTGTTGAAAAAATATTTTTTTTTCAGTTTTGGGTTACATAAAAAACAAATTTCGGAATCGAATAGGTAACCAATTCGTCAACGATTGTCTAATAGGATATATTGTGAGAGATAAGTTGAGTAGTGTAAACATTGAGAGTATTTTAAAATTGGCAAAATACAGTTGTATATCCATAACTTTCACACTTTTGACAGATATAACCATATCTATTCGAAAACAACAAATAGCCCAAAAAATGGAGGGTAGTGTGACAAATTTAGCCAAAATCGTTACAAACTTTAACACCGTCTGCGACTCCGTTAAATCGTTTGACAGAACGCTGACGAGGACGGAAACCGACCTCCACATCATTGACACATCAGCAAAAACGTACACGTGGCATTCCACGTAAATAATTCCAAAAAAATAATTTATATATGTTTTCTGTCCTGTGCATTCTCCCTCCCAAAAACCCAGATCGAGATCCCTCTTTTGATTTCCCAAATTTGCCTTTTCCCATCTTCCCAAATCCATAGACCCAGCCTTCCTTTCCCCAAAATCCCTTCATCCTTCCGACGCAATCTTCACTCCGTCTCCCTAAACATGCTCCAAGAGCTCTAGCCGCCACGACGGTGTAGTTCCGGCTGCATTTTCGATCTCCTAGATCTACTATTGCAATGAAGCAGAGAGAGATAGAGAGAGGTAACTCATCGTGAACTGGGTGATTCGATTAGCTCGCATCACCATCCAGGAAAGCGGCGATGTTAAGACTCGAGTCGGCCACAACCTTCTCTTCCTCCCTCGTCCGCCATTAAACCCAGAAAATCAAAGAAAAACTCAGATCCAACTTGCCAAAGCAGAATCAAATGGAAACCAGATCATTGGATTCCCTCACCTGCAGATGTTGAATTTCATGGCGGCAATCACTGCGATTTCGTCGCAGTTCCAGATCGGGTTCTTCTTACTGGTTTGAAAAAATCCCTTTCGTTTCTCACCACCGAACCCATCCTCCATAGATGCTGATTGGGCGAAACTCGAGGAAGCAACATCAGCTGCAAGGGGGAATCGATGGCAGATCTAAATTCATTCAGAGCAGTTGACTTGAGTTTTTTTATTCGAAATCGATGGCAGATCTAAATTCAATCAGAAGGGTTCGATGGCTGCCGCGTCGGTGTCGTTTGGCCATATCCCTGCATCTGTATTCTTCTCTTCTTTTTCGTTGAAGGTAGGGAAGTAGGCGACGGCGGCTAGCGGTCGGAGAGAGCGGAAGAGGGGGTGAGGCCGGTGAGAGGAAGCGGCAGCGGAAGAGAAGAAGATTGGAAGCATCAGAGGCAAATTAGGAGGGAATAAGAGGCGGTGGAAGAAATCCCAATTCAGGGGAAAATATTTTTTTGTTTTTTTTATTTCAATTTTTTTTGTTAATCCACGTCAGTTAGCAGGGACAATAAATCGCCAGATCAGCATCTTCCGTTAGTACAGTCATACCATCAACTGACACCGTTACCAAAATGGACGGAATTGGCTATTTGTGGTTTTCGAATAGAAATGGCTATATTTGTCAAAAGTGTGAAAGTTATGGCTATACAGGTGTATTTTGCCTTTAAAATTTTCAAGAATATGAAACACATTGTGTGCTTTTGTTATTACTTGTACTAGCGGGATATTTTTCATTTGTGAAGTATTTAAATTTAAAATTTAAAATTTTTTAATTTTAATTTTTGAAAGAGAACATGCTTATTTAAAATTCATGGGTCTGTCACTATTTATTTTTAGAAATATTAAAAGGCCTTTAAGATTCGACCCCATGCCACGTATCCCGCACTGAAACGCGAAGGTGTCCACGTAAGCCACTTCTCTTTCTCTCCCTAGACTCATCATACTCCACCGTTATTTGTAACCAAAATAACAAAACACAAACAATTCATAAGAAAATCAATTGACTTTGTAATTTGTACGAGAAGTCATTTGCATCAATAACCTTAACTCACAAATTAACCCGCCCATCGGACGGGCTTCACGCTAGTATACCATAATAATCATTTGAACACCCTCGATGTTCCTAACCAAGTGCCCATAGTGACCCTGGGCTTGACTCTTCAAATGATCTTCCCCGGGCCCATTATGGTTCACTGTAACTTACAAACAGGCTGAGACCGTCTTTTATGGGCTATTTTCAATGAAAAGCCCAAAAAGAGATATGCCCAGAAAGAAAGAAAAAAAAAAAGGAAAGAGTATTTTCCCGGCGTAATATACGGTCTAGAACTCTCACAATCCATGTCGCGTCAGGATAAGTCCCCGCCACTTTTGAAGGTTGTTAGGTAATAAATTACGGAGTGAGGGAACGACGCTCAACGAAACTACTCTTCAGTCTAAGCGGAGTGAGTGAGCCCCTGCACCTGCCTATAAAGGTTGGCGACGAGGATTGATGATGATTGTTTACGCCAGAGCATGATTGAGCTCCTGTGATCGACGAGCATGGTCTGGAATAACCCAGCGCATTAAAAAAGGTCAGGAGACAGTTGACGAAGAATTAGTGGGTAAAGGGCAAAACCACTTTAATGGCGTGATTAAGAGAGGGAGGGAGGAGGAAGATAATTGACCAGAGGGGAGAGAGAGAGAGAGTGGGGGGGATGATGCAGGAACAGAGGAAGAAGGTCCTACGAAGATGGGGGCAAGGCATGGTCCCAAAATTTGGGGTCTCGATGTTTTTAATAGAATTAGGGTTGGGGATTTGGGGGTTGCCAGTTGGGAAACGACGGAGGGCCTTCACTACTCTTACTGCTGGGAGTTGTACCAGAAGAAAGCAAAGCAAAAGCCTGGCTGGCTTTGGCTGGCCCCTGACACATAAATATTCAACGCTCTACTTTTTTTTCTTCTTCTCACTATTCTTTTACAGTTTGCTTGACTGATTGAACGGAGGAGACTTCGTCGGGGCGAGGGGGAGGGAGGGAAGGGAAGCGGGATGTGGCTGTTTAAGAAGAATGGGCCTTCTGGGTTCTCTTCTTCTTCCACTGCCGAGCAAGTCACTTTTGGGATTGATGCCTCTTCCCTCACCGCCATTGTTACAGGTTCTTTTTGTTGTTCCCCCGTTTCTTTTCATTTCCCAAGTGTGTTTTGCATATTCGAACTCTAGTAATAGAAGGAAGGAAAGACGAATTGGGGAAAGGGGTTTGTCGTGTTCGATGTTTCTCGTGGTAGATTCATCAGGTTGTGAGGGGGAATGGGTAATGGGGCCTCTTGTGGGTTCGGTTTCTGCTGACATGGTTCTGTTGCTATGTTCATGGTGGAAAGTTATTCCCCTTCTTTTGGAATTTTTGCCTGCCCATTTCTGGAAATCCAGCATCATTTCTGGGCTGAGGCCTTCCCATCTGAAGTTATGGATTGAAGTATGTATGAATGTTGTTGGCAAAGAGATCTCCTACTCTGGGTTATACCCTGTCTATAAAAAGTCCACTTTTCAGGTTGCTGGTTGGTTTTTGCCTTTTTGGAATCTAGCTTTCAGGGTTTTTTTTGTTTCTTTCCTCTACTGACTATCTCTGCTTGCTGGTAGTACGATTTTGATGGAAAACAACAGTGGAAACTCAGCACAGTTGACTTGGAGCCTTTCAATTCTCTCATGTGCTGATAAGGAAATTATGAGTTTGTTTGTGCTGACTATCGATTTCGTTTGTTCTCTTGTTGGTTAATATATAGGTGCATCCAGTGGGATTGGTGCTGAAACGGCTCGTGTTCTGGCAGTGAGGGGAGTTAATGTGATCATGGCGGTAAGGAATATGGATTCAGGTAAAAAAATGAAAGAAGAAATTGTTAAACAAGCTCCCTCCGCCAAAGTTGATGCCATGGAATTGGACCTCAGCTCTTTGGCCTCCGTCCGGAAATTTGCCTCAGCTTTCAACTCCTCTGGTCGTCGTCTCAATCTTCTTATGTATGTGAAGCATCACTAGTGTTAAATAGATGTTACCTCATTTCCCTTACTTTTGTTGTAGGTGGATTACTGAACTGAACTCTCCATTTTGGTTTACTTGAAAGTAACAATGCAGGCGTCATGGCGACCCCCTTCACGCTTTCCAAAGACAACATCGAGCTCCAGTTCGCAACTAATCATTTGGGTATGCTTTTGGACTTTTGGTTCATAATCTAGTCTAGTGGTTAGTTTCTGGAGGCTTTCTGTAGTAAAGATGCCTCACGCTGCAGGTCATTTTCTCCTGACCAATCTACTGTTGGAGAATATGAAAAAAACTGCTGTCGAAAGTAAGAAGGAAGGAAGGATTGTAGTGGTCGCGTCAGAGGCTCACCGGGTTACATATCCTAATGGCATTCGTTTCGATAAAATTAATGACAAGTCAGGGTAATTATTCTGTCACTCAACTGCATCAGTTTTCCATTGTTCATCTCTCGCCAGGTGTTATGCAATTTTATTGTCTAATTGTTTTGCTCAATTTAGTTCCAGTTTGTGCACAAGATGTGTACTGACCATCTTGTAATAATTTTCTCAGTCAGCTTTGGATTCTGGAATGCACTTTAAGTTATATAGTGTTTATCCGTCCAACAACTCATGATTTTTGGCCGTTTGGCTGCCATTAGATGGAATTCTATTCTAAATTAAGCTTCATGGGCTATAGATTCTTAGCTTTTATGCAAATAAGTTTCCAAACAGCCATAGGGACAGTGAAGACTTTGGTCATTTTGCTTAACATTCCGAATCTAGTGCATCATTTTTCATGCACAGTTCAATATATTGACAGAGTGAAAAGAAGTCATTGGTCTATTACCTGTGTACAGATATTTTTCTTACCTTGCATACGGGCAATCAAAGCTTGCTAATATCTTGCACGCAAATGAGCTTTCCAGACGTTTAAAGGTACAAGCTTGTTAGTACCATCTTTCCATAAACTGCTGTGAATTGCTCCGCAATCGATTCCCTGTTCAATTGAAATAAACATGTCAAGAATGATCACCAGTTGTCTTAATTAACAGGAAGAAGGTGCAAATGTAACTGCAAATTCTGTTCATCCAGGAGTAATTGCCACCAATCTTTTCCGCCACATGACTCTCATCTCTGGTAATTGCCTTAATACGAGTAATCTCTTATAGATTCCTTTTATTACATGGTCTCTTAAAAATCATAAAGTACCTACAGTTCCTATGCTTTCAGGCATAATTGAAGCAGTTGGTAAGCTTGCATTCAAGAATGTGGAGCAGGTGAGCCATCATTGATCCTCATTGGTTAAGTTTGAACCCCCATTAACCCGAACTGTCTTGGTATTCAAAATGGTTGATTCATGATCTGCAGGGCGCAGCTACAACCTGCTATGTCGCATTGCACCCACAGGTGAAAGGGATAAGCGGCAAGTATTTCTCAGACTGTAATTTGTCGAAACCAACTTCCTTGGGGCAGGATGCTGCCTTGGGAAAGAAGCTGTGGGACTTCAGCATGGAGTCAGTCAAGTAATCATCCATGAAAAAGCCACAGATTGTTACAGGACCCTTCAAAAAATAAATTTGTATTTCACGACAATTATTTATATCCGATCTCTCCCTTGTTTATCTTTATCCTATAGAAAAGCATGAAAGATAGAAAAGACTAGTGAAGTAAATGTCTCGAAGCACCAGAGACTTTCAGCTGACCTCTACATTTCCAAATGTATATGGTAATGGAAGTTGCTGGTTTACGAGTAAAAAGTTAAGATTTTTAAGTGGACAGGTGTTTGTAGGTGTTCATGAATTTATTGAACATCTCAAGGTCGTGTAAATGTAATGATTTATGTAGTTGGATTCCCGGTATTGGTCTAGCTTATGTAGTGGCCTTGTGCTGAGATACTTGAGACCCAAGAAACACCTTTGTTTTAGTTCACAACGATCTATCACAACTACCTGTAGAATGAAAGAAAATAGCAGAAACAATTGCAGAATCGACCGCTTTGCATCTTCATTATACTAAAATTGGTGTGTACATACAACAACAAATTCAGTTTCCAACAGAAAACAGAGTTCAGTTGTACCAAAAGGAAAGCTATAAGAAGCCGGCAAGAGACAGATATGCACAAGACTCCATTTCCCAAACAAATTCCTCAGTTCCAAATCCCACATTCACTTCACTTTATCCACCTTCTGTACATCAGCCTGAACAAAATCTAACAAAGGCGCCAAATTCGCTTCTCCATGTTCTATTCTCACAGTGATCTTCTAACAGAATATACCTGCCTTGTATTCCAAGGACCAACTGCCTTACACGGGAACAATGCAGCCACAAGCTGCCCCTAGTAAATCGACCCAAAATAGCCTGCACGAAGTGCACTGTGGTACTTGCTGAGGGAACTAGTTCCAGTTACTGGTCAAAGTTGAATACATTACCAGAAGTGCCTAGCATCGTTCTCTCTCTCGCTCTCCCTCTCTGAAGTCTGAACCAACCAACCTTATTCCTCATTTCCATCCTCGCGTGACCTTATTGTTTACATTAGCATCCTTGGATAGAAAAAAGAATCCCAAAAGTTGGATAAAAAGAATAAAACAATACCGTCCTGGAGAGGCTAACTTAGAAGTTAAGTTACTCCCATAGGGTAGTAGGACTGCCAAAAAATGATGAATGTAAGTTAGATACCATCGGTGGTCCGGCTGGGCAAAGGCGACTTAGGGCTAAGGTCCAGGGGTGTATTCAACTTTGAATGATCCTTCAAGAGCTGGCGAGACACCCGATCAGCCAACACTGACTGGCCATCATAAGTTTCCCCTAGAACTAGTCGCGGCCCCAGCTCGGACAATATGTCAGGCCCATTCCCAGGCTGCTGCATTCCTCTGAAAATATCGGTATCATGATATGATGAGCCGTTTAAGTACATACCATTTGATGATGGCTTTGATATGTTTGCATAAGTGCCGTCTTGGAAGTAAACCGAGTGCTTCATGTGATTGAAAGGAATAGCACCGGAGCCACCTGTAAGTGGTGTAGAAGAGCCTGAGGTTGTTCTGGGACTAGATATTGGCGAAGGGGACATTCTTCCATTGAAATGTTGTGGAGACCTCGAATGGAGAAGAGGACTACCAATGGGCGAGACTGGGCATGATATGTTCCTTGGGATATGGATATCACTACAAAATTCAAAAGCTTAAATAATGTCAAAAGCTTAGTTCTGAGAAGAAATGTGTGTCGGTGCCTTGTTAGTGTTGGTGTGAGGGAGTAAGAGAGAGAGAGAGAGAGAGAGAGAGAGAGAGAGAGAGAGAGAGAGAGAGAGAGAGAGAGAGAGAGAGAGAGAGAGAGAGAGAGAGAGAGAGAGAGAGAGAGAGAGAGAGAGAGAGAGAGAGAGAGAGAGAGAGAGAGAGAGAGAGAGAGAGAGAGAGAGAGAGAGAGAGAGAGAGAGAGAGAGAGAGAGAGAGAGAGAGAGAGAGAGAGAGAGAGAGAGAGAGAGAGAGAGAGAGAGAGAGAGAGAGAGAGAGAGAGAGAGAGAGAGAGAGAGAGAGAGAGAGAGAGAGAGAGAGAGAGAGAGAGAGAGAGAGAGAGAGAGAGAGAGAGAGAGAGAGAGACCTGAGAGAGAGAGAGAGAGAGAGAGAGAGAGACCTGGCATGAAGGCCACTTCTGGAGACTCTAGATGAATGAACAGCAAGTCTCTCTGTATCCAAGGTAGGGAAATTTCTAGCTTGACTAATACCCTGAAACATCATTAGATCCCACGATTCAAGAAAAAGGACTTGGCAAACTGTTTTTCAGTCAAATCTCACTGACGCGAAGTATTGACAATTTAAACCAGGACAAGTTTAGGAACATTTACCAGAGATTTCACCCCGTTGGTCAAAGCATGGGGTGGATCTGTAGATTCAGGGCTAGCTAGAGATCTTTCCGAAGGTGCAGCAGATCTGACAAATGGATGGTCCAAAAGTTGTGCAGCAGTAGGACGATGTGATGGGTTCCTTTGCAAGCATTGCCTGACAAAATCCTTTCCGTCATCCGAGAGTGTATCCGGGATTGCAGGGAGATCTTTACTATTTCCAATCTTAAACATTGCAGCGACCTTAACAAACAGTAATGATTCCATTATCAAGAAGATGAAAACAACGGAGTAAATCATATTCCACTACTTCTGTGTTTCAAGGCACACCAAGTAGAATAAAAGGCTTGCGTCCTGTTAGGATTTTCAGAATCATGATCCACAGACTACTTACCCCTTCGAACTGGCTCCATGGTGGTTTACTTGTAGCCATTTCCAGAACAGTACATCCAAGACTCCATATGTCCACGGCAAGGTTGCAGCCACTTGAGTTTTTTATAACCTGTGAGAGAGGAGGGATATGAATAATGAGCACGATCTGTCAAGGGCATAGAACTTCGAAAAACAGAAGAAAAATGCTGACCTCAGGTGCCATCCAATAAGGGCTTCCCTTAAAAGATAAGGGACATGACTGCCCATTGATCTGCAAAACAAACCAGGTAAGTCTAGAAGGCGTGAATCCAATACACAAACAGTATGCCATCCATCCTATATCAATGTTTGTTCTTTTCTTACATGCTTTGCCATCCCAAAATCAGCTAGTTTAACACGGCCATTTGGATCCACAAGAATGTTTGCTCCTTTAATGTCTCTGCAAACCAAATGCCAAGGGGGAGTGAGCAATGTCGAAGCTCAGGGAAACTGACTGTAGCTGGCTAATAGATTTAACTTGTAACTTGGTTCACCTATGTACAGTGCTTTTGGAATGTAAAAATGCCAGGCCAGACAAGATTTGCTGGGTGTAGCTACGAATTGCCAGCTCACCCAACTGACCATAGTCCTGGAGAATTTTATAGATAGACCCACCAGATACATACTCCAGATATATGTATAGTTTGTCATCGACTTGCTCTGACCCATAATATTGCACAATGTTTGGATGTCGTAACCGGCTCAACAAAGCAATTTCCTGTTACAAAGCTCAACAGTAAGAACTTCCCTCTAAGCTATAGATGAGAGTGGTGAAGGCGTAATCTACCAAAGAAAGATCACAGAGTTCAACTTACCTGCATTAATTGTTTGGCACTCTCACGTGACTTAGCATCATCGGAAAATAAGGTCACTTCCTTCATTGCACACATTTCACCACTTTCACTAAGCAATTCAAAGGCATAGAATCAGATATCAATTTAATGGTTTTGCTAAATGATAAAAATAGGGAAGATAAAGTTACGAGAAAGTAAAATAATCAAGTTGCAACCTTAGCTGGAAATTCTAGTGTTCTCTATGCTGAAGAAATTCAAAAGTTCACATCTTTCATGCAACATATCAAATTATGACTAGGAGCTAGCCCTCAATCTGATTCTTTGAAGTAAAATTATAGATATGATATTTTAGCATCATACCTGTTAAAGCCAACATAAACATGGCCGAATGTCCCTCTACCTAGTAGTTTCCCCTTCTTCCAGCGTGATCCAGGACTTGTTGGATTTTCCGCCCTTCCTGGACTTCTTGGCACAGATGGAGATGTGGCAGTTGAGTGGGGATGAGAGAAAGGAGACGAATTGGAAATGGTAACAGGAGGAAGTGGTAACCGATGAGTTTGTTGTTTTCCATCCTCAGGCCAGCTTGTCTGCGACTCAATAGTGCCGCTACCTCCTGCTCTGGGATGTATAGGTGTCACAGCACCACTTTGGACTCTGGAACTGGGGCCCGGGCTAGCCATTCGAGGACTCGGTATCGGAGAACATTCAGGGCTACCTCTGGTTTGGTACCAGAATAATTGGCCTGTCATGTCTCCTCCCATTGAATTTTGTCCAGAGTTGTAACCGGATCCAGGGCTTGAACAATGGCCAGATCCAAGCAATGTGACGTCGGTATAAGGCCTCCCAGCCCACAGAGCAGAATTAGCAGCATGATCGGTTCCAAAACCTCTCAACGGACTTCTTGAAGGACTTGACCGTGAACTGTCAGGAGCACTGCAGAAAGCACCATGATGCGGAACCTGCAGATTTGGCACATGACCTCGTAGAGGTCTCCTCTTGGGTGATGTGGGAGTGGTAGAAGTACACAAAGAGAGCTTTGCTGGTTTCTTCACCTCTCTTGGCTTCATAGTTGATGCAGTAGAGGTGTGATCCTTGAGCACCCCACTTCAGGATGAAAAGGGGAAATTTTTGTCACAGATGAGAAAAAGGAATAAATTTACTACAAACAATGTTAACACATTAACAATATTCTCGCATGGAAATAAACTTGGCCTCACCTTGAAGGGCTGCTGACGGTTGTTCTAGTCCCAAGGTCACAGTCAGTTGCCCGAGGACTAGGTTGATTAAGATCAACAGGATCATCAATATCAGTTGAACTTGCACTTGAGACTGAAGCAGTGACCAAATCTCCATCTAAATCCGCCTGATTGGGTCTATTCCTGATGCATGCAGGTCTAGGTAGAGGCAAAAACGACTTAGGGCCTTTTTCCAACCTCGGTTTAGTGGTTACACCAAGCTCAGAATCTGCACGCCCCACAGCTGCAGAATGAACACCAGGACGAGGAAGCGGTTGGGCACTAAGCCTGTCGGCAAAACTTTGACATCTAGACACATGCTTGGAAGGAGGAGACGGTGATCTGGACTCCGGCCGAGATTGTGCTCCCATCTCTGACACGGTGTCATTTAAATGTCTCCTGGAACCTCCTGATCTACTGCTTAATTTACCATCTGATGGACTCTTGAATCTCCGGTGCAATGTATCAATGAAACTTTCCTTGCTCCCTTTCTTCTTCACTTCTTTAGATGACGACTTCCCCCACCACGGACGCATGTTTCCCCACTTCCAGGAACCTAAGCTATCACTCAGACTAATGGTCCTAGTCCAATCACATTCACCACTAGTATAAGGAAATCCACACCCACCACCGATTACAAAACTCAAGGGCAAAAAGAAAATGATTCAAGTTCACTGCAAATGTTAACCAAGAACCCAACATTCATCAGAACCGATGAACCTCCAAAGAGAGAGGTAGCAGGGCATGTTCAGCATAAGCATCTCATCCTAGAAGCATTTCATATGGCTTCCACCCAAGGCAGAAACAGAATTGTGCAGCTGGGAAAAAAAATACCTCTTTAATACTCTCAAATACCGAACTGAAGCTCCAAATACACCCAACAGCCAAACTATCAAACAGCCCTCAATCCGGAAAGAGAAAAAGGGAAGTCCTAGATAGCGTTCATAATTCCAGTAGCCACAACACTATAGCGAAGCAAAACCCCCATTGCTAGCATTTGACTACAATAACTTCGCCTCCATCTCAACAAGTGATCAAAACCAGCACATACCCTTAAAATCCAGCCCTCATCCGAAGCAATTGGCTTCACTCAGTCATCCTGTTATTTCCCCCCTCCCCTCTGAAGCCAAATAACCCATCACTATCGCAACACAACCTAAACAGGAAAAGCACAACCACCTCATCAGAAACAGATCTAAACCCCAGAAATTGAGAAGCACAACAAGGTACAAAAGAATCACAGACGATCGCCAAACACCCCCGAAATGAACTGAACCAGGGCACTATAAGCAGAACCCACCAAAAAAGAACCGGGGAAAGCGGAGAAAGGGAATTTAAACTCATTTTCACATGCCTGGAGCTGGGAAGCTCAACCCCTCCACTGAGTGATCGATCAGAGCGCGAAACTGGAGGTGGGAAGAGGGGAACGCAATGCAAATCCTTCGTAGACAGTTGCAGGGTAACTCTAGAAATTAGAGAAGAACGGGGTCGAGAAGAAGCATTTGTGGAAGAAGGAACTGCCGGGATCGCTGTGAATTGATGGGAGTTTGTGAAAAAAGATTGCGGAAGGGAAGGAGGAGAAGAGGTGGAGAGGTGGGATTTGATGAGAGAAAGTAGAGAAATAAATACACAAAGTTCATTATTGATTTATATTTTCCTTCATTTTCTTTCTTTTTTTGTTCTGTTTCTTGGTTTTTTTTTTTCTGTAAACTTTTTTGCTCGAGTGATCGTTTTCCAGTTCCCTTTTATTCTCTTTACAATTGTTTTCCAAATCCGATCACTAATTATTAATGCAAAAGCCAAAGCCAAACTACTTGGGGTGTGATCGTTTGTTGCATAAATGCAATGCATCGTATAGCATTAGCTATGTTTGTAAAGGTGAATTGTTGGTTTAGAGTCGATTTTTAAGATCTGGTAGTGGGGTTAGAAATATATAAGACGAGGTAAAAGTTTACACTCAGAGAATTTGCCCTGACAATCGGTGTTAAAATTTAACTTGATACTATGTCTTTGAAATTTCTTACAAAATTTACATGTAATTTTTCATGATTTTGAGAATTGAGAGTTCTATAGCCTCTCCTACGATCAAGGTGGCTCCAACTAAGTTACCCTCAACAGTTAATGGTAAATAAAGAAATGAGTCTTTACGTGTTTTCCTTATATTAGTGCATAGAAAGGTTGGACCACGAATTCTGTAAAAGAAATGTTTTAAAAAGACCAATTCATGCCAAGAAGAAGTTAGTTTATGCTTGTCTTTGATCTATTAATGCCCTGAATTTTACTTAACAAGATCGAACCTAAGAAATATTTTTGTCGCTTGCACGATAAATGAAAAGACACGAAATAGTATAAGTTAAATAGTTAATAGATATTTGAGTAATTGTTACAACATATTTTGTCTCATGTATACAGCGTTCACTTTTCAAACGTGATTTTTCACACATATACACTAATCCAAACCAAACTTCACAAAATTATTCCAACAACATAGCACTCAAACAGGTAGTATAAACGACCCAAAAGTATTGTTTCGTTTTCATGAGATGACAACCTATTAAAAACTGTTTGGGTAATGTCTATTTTTTATTCAAATTTTTTTCAAATTTTTTATATTATCCAAACCTATTAAAATGTTATTAATTAGCCAAATATTTCGTAATGCATCAAAATATTAGCCATTTTTATGTTATCATTAATAATTTTGTAACTTTTTTCTTAGTTAAAATATATAAAATTTTGCAATGTTGATCTTCATATATCTTTTTCAAATCAGTATCATGTTACCAAGTCAATATCACTAACAAAATTACTAACTGAAAGTTAACATTTGGTTAATCTTAGTATTTTGATAGGTTTGGATAATATAAAAGAATCTGGAAAAAAAAATTGAATAAAAAATAGACATTACCCTTTTGATAAATGAAGTTCTATTTTCCTTATTCCAATGTTAGAATATTCAGAAAATTCATTTTTATAACCACTAATATGATCTCATTCAAGGAAAATCATTTTAGAACCACTAATATGAACGCATATTGTTTTAATGCTAACGCCATTATTCAATCGAGAAAGACTATGGTGGAAGAAAATATTGCAAAGATTTTCCCAATATTATTTTAAAAGATTTTGCTAATCAAGTTATTCTTGTAGAAACCTTCTACCTTTTTTTTATCAATTTGCTCTACCCTTTTTAATAAAACATATTATGTACACGAAAAAAAGAACACGTTTGGTATTAATGTTCGGCACATATATCCAAATTTTAAATAGTTTTGGGAATGTTTTGGTTGAAATTGTAAACGTTACAAGACACAACTAGCTAGTTGGCGATCAAGGGAAAATCCGATCCAATGCAATGCAATTGACTTACTTGCCTATTTTTATTTATATTATTTTGTGATTTCCCACGTATATGAAAAATTCAAATATGGTTCCTTTTTTTAATTTCAATTGTATAGAATTGTGAGTATAACAGAATACGTGGGCAGAATTAGATTTAAGTACATAGTGGGCAATTGCGCCGCAAAGGAGAGGCAAATAGGGAGGTTAGTTGGACTCAATCAAAGGGTCGTTTGGAAGTTGCGATTGTTAAATAGATGTATTGTTGAGAATGCATGTATAATATTATACATGTATTGTCGAATTTGATGCATTGTAGAATACAACGTTTGGTATGTGTGATTGTGTATGTCGCATCAGCTAAAAGGTGAGACAAAACAATCTCAACTCCACTATCTCAACAATCACAAGTAAAAGTTGAGATATAACAATCACTCAAAATGAGTGATAGTTTCTGTCACATCACAGAAACAATCCATGTATTGTTTCTGCTAAAAAAACAAAAAAACGATGCATTGTAAACAATACATGCATAATGACAATCTCAACAAAACAATCGCAACTTCCAAACGACCCCAAAGATATGGGAGGGTGAGACATAGTCAAAATATGTGGTATAGGAATAAGAAATTGCAGCAATTAATATTAACTTGCATCGACTTTTTCGATATCGAAATTAGATTTTGGAGGAGTTTATAGCTCTCACCTTGACACTTTCTAATATTTTCCCACTTATATTGTTGTACAAGTTGTAATCTTGTATTCGGGAGGGTTGTAGTTTCTTTTGAGCTATATGTAGGTTCTATACAAGTTTCTTTCTTCACCAACACAACAAACATAATATCGTACGTGATTGAATATTTTTTTTTGCCAACCATGTATCAGCATCGAATATGCTACTCCATCTCGTTACTTCCATCCTATTGATATGATGTTATATGGAGACAGCGAATGGTTTATCTTTGTGATTATTTTACTAATGTGAATTCATAGACAAATCTACCAAATATGTTTTACCAACAATATTATCATTTACCCAAAAAAAAAATTATATAATATACTTTCATTGACTTTTAATAAGGCCATAGAGTCCTTTAACCACAAAAGTGGGGAAAACAATATTAAAAAAATGGTGGTTTGTTCATGCAAGTTGACATTTACTCTTTTGGTTTAATTTTGATGATTTCTATAGCTTTTAACTTTTTATTCTTTAGAGGATGCCTTTCTATCTCATTAATCCTTATTATGAACTGGTACAAAATGGAGGGTTTTCACATTTTCACACATATTCTTTAGCTGGCTAAGCTTGAATGGATGTTCAAGTGGGGATTTAAAAAAAAAATTAGCAAATAAAATAGATCCTTATTATCGGCAAGTAAATGCAGGCTAAAACCAGAAGGCCCACACCGATAACCCTCACTAAAAAAGTAGAGGGCCAGGCTCATGGCTTGGGCTTCATGTGGGCCGTTAGAAACGTCAAAGTTAAAGTGGGCTTCTCCACATGTAGGCAAATTGCAATGATGGTAACAAAAGGAACAGCAATTTACATTTTAGGAAAACAAAGTAGAATCATACACTATACATCAAAATTGCAGGCGTGGCCCATGGCTCAAGATAGAGTGCATAACCATGGGTTATGCACCCATCAATAACCAAATCTGGACCCTTCATTTAGAAAATCCAGATCTAAGGATGGAGAATTAAAGACTATTTTTATTTTCACTAGCTTTCTTAATTGACTCATATCTTTTTCGTTTTAACTCGGATTTTTTTTTTTTTTGCACAGATGGAACGAGTTCACCGTGCTTTACAAAATGAGATCAATTTTCAATATTTTTTAGGAAAAAAAAAATTCTGGCCTCTCGGTACCAACTGCATACCATATGGTATCTTCTTCGTTTTTAATTCGTTTTTGAAAACGTTTGCACAGCAGGGATGAGTTCATCATGATCTACTGGATCTACAAATTTCTGGGTGAACAAATTACAGGACAAAAAAATACCACACAATACCATACAATACCACCCTGGTACGGGGTGGTATTGTATGGTATCTTCTTCGTTTTTAATTCTTTTTTGAAAACGTTTGCACATAAGGGACGAGTTCATCATGATCTATTGGATCTACAAATTTCTGGGTGAACAAATTACAGGACCAAAAAATACCACACAATACCATACAATACCACCCTGGTACGGGGTGGTATTGTGTGGTATACAATGTTAAAAGTCGTAAATTACAATTAATATATTTCTACTATCATGTATTCAACCATCCTACAGTATTGGTTTGTTCATGCCACCATGGTACGTTTTTCAAAACATAGATATGCTTTTATTTCAATACCAGTCAATACCATATGGTATAGGCTGGTAAAAAATGGCTCAATTTTTTTTGTTCGAAAAATATATTAAAGTGGATATCATTTTGAAGAGCACAATTAATCTGATCTAACTGTGCAAAAAAAATTAAATTTCGACTTAAAATGAGCGAGAAATCGTCCGTCAAAGATTAAAGAGGGAAAAATTAAAGGCTTTCCATGAGAGAGAGGATGCTGATGTCATGCTGATGTGGACGGGTTACTCATGGTTACTCACCATAAGGTTACTGACCTGATCCATTCCCAAGGGCCTTCGCATCGCTTGGGAGGCGGGTTTTCGACAAGTCTGCTTGCAAACGGACTCCGCTACGGCAGTTTCCTTAATCCAGTCAGAGCGAGTGAGCCATCCTCACTTTACTATGATCTCCTCGATTCGCAGATTGCTAGCTCGGAGCTGGGAAGTTACTGTTGAGCATGTCTTTCGGGAGAGCAATTATGTTGCCGACTACATGGCCTCTGTTGGCCACCACTTACCGATAGGGGTACATTTGTTTGATGCTCCGAGTCCTAGTTTGAGCTACTGGTTGTTATTTGACAGTATGGGAGTACAAACCCCACGTTTTATTAATAGATAAGGGTTAGAGCGCCCCTCTGCGCTCTGTTTTTCACCCAAAAAAAAAAATACACAAGAGGGGAAGAAAGATCATCGTCGTCATCAGTTCGTCGATCATCATCTTATAAGCAGCAAACCAACAGCAGTGATTACAAGGGTAGACGGCACACCGAACTTGAGGTGTTTCAAGAACGACAGATTGTACCCGAAATGCGGAGCTCGCCGAGCTTGTTCACACACTATCAAGTTGGCAGCTGATCCTAGCAGCGACAAGTTCCCCGCCACAGTGCTCACCCAAGCCAGTAGCAGCCACGCCTTCTTCTCATCTGCTGCTGATATCTCGGCGGCCGATGCAGCCACTCTGCCTCCCAGCAACAGAACTGCAAGCAAGCAGCACCATGAAAATCACAGTAACCAGATCATGATGGCGTGGGAAAAGGGTATAAAGGATGTTCATATTATGTATACCTGTGGGGACGTTTGAAGCCAAGTTTGAGAGACCAAGTATGACGAGTGCTAGGACCAGTATGCCAAGTGGGTGATCGATTTTCGCATAGGGTTCCATTAGTTCCCAAAGGGTGCTTGGGATTCCGGTTTTGTTGAAGCCGTCGACTGTTATGAACATCCCGCAGAAGAAGATCAGGAGGGAGTATGAAACCTGGTCAATCAAGTAAGATGTATGTTAGTAGTTCATCAGATGTTTGGAGTTAAGTAACAAAAATGGTGAATAGACTGAAAACCTTAAAGAAATGCTAGTGAAAATGAATGGTCAGGGACATTGATGTTTGTCACATCTAATCAGTGATTAGTTCAGTAGAGTCGACATGCCAAATAAGCTTGAAATAAGCTGGTGATAGGTGAGGCTATTCGGGATACTGTTCAATAGCAAACCTCATAGTATACACTGGCCCTTTAACAGCTAAACCCTATGTTTAGGATGGATGGAGAGACTTCAAGTAAAATGGGATTTAGCAGGTCATAAAGGGTTGTACCTTTTCGAGGCTAGGTCGGGCATCTTTGAAATCGAGTACCACAAGAGCAAGTGCAGCTGTGATTGCAGACCAAGACATGTTCAAACCAAGTAGCAAAGCCACCAACATCCCAATTGTGATGATGTAAACACCTGACTTCCACAGTATCCTCTTCCACTTGCTGTCGAAAGGATCACCATCCCTTTCTTCCAACACCACAACAGGAGAAGAACATCCATTCTCTTCCTTCTTTTGAGAAGTAGTTCCATCATCTGCAGCAGCTCCACCGGCTGCTGCAGGGTCACTCGATGCATTCGAGATCCTCCCAGACTCGAGATGCCTCCCGCTCAACCCACCACTGCGAATATCACTCTCTATAGACGAACTAGGGATCCTATTCCTCAAGGTCTCCACATGACCATTCACACCCAAGGGAGGAGAGCCTTGTAGTTCCAATCTAGAGCTCAAATCCTGAGAGTTCTGTGCCGAGTGATGTGACATCGTAGCTGGGGAAAACCGATGTGAAATGACATCCTCGTCGTCAACAACCTCCTCACTCGCATCCTCCAAATCCTTGGGAGCAGAGGACAGCAACTTCCAATACATACACATCAAGATTATGGCATTGACAACCACTCCCACCACCATGGCAGGAAGAATCCCCAAAACAAACTCTCCAAAAGTAATCTTACTCTGAACAGCTATGACCAGATTCTGAGGATTCCCAATAGGGGTGGCTGCTGAACCAATGTTGGCACTCGAAGCCAGCGCCAGGAGGAAAGGGTGAGGCGGCAAATTGTGCTGCCTGGCTACTTTGAGCACGAACTCGGTCAAAACGACACAAGATGTGTCATTGGTGAAGAATGCACTTGATAGAGCTGAGATTAGGCAAATCCTGAAGAGCAAGTCTTTAGGACCTTGGCTCTTGTAAGACAGCAATTTGCCTAGGTACTTGAACATGTCTGCTCTCTCCAGGTATACGCTGACTACCATGGTGCCGAAGAGGAGGCCGAGGATGGGGAGATCGATGGCGGCATATGCTTGGTCAGGGGTTATGACTCGGAATATGACCATTAGCATTGCTCCTAGAAGCGAGCCTGCTGTTCTTCCTATAGGGAGGAAAGGCACAGCTGGGAAAACTGCAAGTACCCAGAAGATTGCGAAGGCTGTTGAGCCTAGAACCACTTTGACCGTTGGTGCCATCGCCATTGCCAAGAAGGCGAGAGAATCAGCTCAACGAGACAATGAAAAAAAGAACGGCACTTTCTGAATCAAACCTGCATATAAAGCAAAACCCATCTGGAAAATTGATCATACAGTCGTGAAATTGTTGAAAGTAGAGCCAAATTGGAGCAACCCAAAACGGGGATCGAGTCAAAGTTAAGTTCAACCACACAAGAAAAAGTGGGCAACAGAAGAAACGCCTATGCCTTTGGCGTTACTTACTTGAATCTGCATGGTGGGGGAAAGGGCAGAATCTGGAGATCCAATTTGGGAAAAGTTCGAGTTCGCTTTTTCCACCTTTGATGCAAATTAATTGATGGACTGAGTTGGAGTGTTATATAATAAGCTGAAGGTCAATGGTCGCGGTGGAGCTGACGCCCGACGGAAGCCCAGAAAACACGAGCCTCGTCGTGACACGTCGCCGCAGCTCAGCCAGCAAGCAGTCGCCGTCTTTAGTCTTTACCTCGTTCGTATTAATTATTATTATTAGTATTATTATTAATATTATAAAAGTGTAAGACCAAGGTTTTTATTGGGTCGGCGGCTTCTGGTTAGGCAATTTCGAGACCGAGGTTTTTATTGGGTCGGCGGCTTCTAGTTAGGCAATTTCGAAGGATTAATGAGGTGGTAGGTTTAATTTTTCAATTTTTTGTCATGTTATTTTATAAAATCTTACCATTATAGTTTGTACAACCAATTTTTGTGTAAACTAAAAGTTAAAGACACGATTGAGTTAACAATTGATATATCCGACTGTCATGTTTCCCAACTAAAATATCAGTCGAATCGAGCACACGAGTCAGGTGAATGTATATGTAAACGTGATCAAAAATAAAAGTACTAAATTTTCATCTCTCTGTTGATTTCTACAACCGCACATCAGAGACCGACACTCCATTATCAACTCACACTCCGTAATCGTCGGGACCCAATACTATATGAGAAAAAAAAAATTACAATAACTGGTGAGTAATTTAGAAGGGTTTCTAGGTGAGTGGTATCAAAAAGGAGATTTGCATTTCTTTAGTTGCTTACCGAATGGGAATTGTATTGTCATCGCAGGTTTGTTCGTTGAGAGAATAATAATCCTACGTTTGCTTTTAATCATGTCTTATGCACATGATATTTATTTATTTAAAATAAGTTATGACTCTGATCGAATCAACATTGCTAGAAGACAAAGTTTGGTTCGAAGCGGTTTTGGCGATCCAAAGGAATCTTCCATCCTCCCCTCCCCTCCAATCCATCCCCCGGGACAGACTCACGTTGGCTGCTATTCACACTGCTTCATGATTCATGACGGGCCTCGACTTTTCCCCCTATACTGGGCCCTGAACTGGTACCAGCCCGCGAGGTCAAGGCCGAGGCCCGTGAATATGGATTCAGGCCCAACAACTATTGGCCCGTAAGATATAGTGGTTCGGTACCAGTAGCGTAGTAGATGCCGGTTTGCAGGAAATGTATGACCAGAATACGGAACTGCAGGAGGGACTTTCTTCAGGAAAAGTATTCAAATACAGGAAGGATGATTCTTGAACTGAGAGAGCACAGTTTCTATGAGACGCGGAAGACCAGGGAAACCGAAAACCATTCATTTTGATTATTACACATCATAAAATGGATACTAATCCAGAATGATCAATAATATACTCTGGTCTCTGCACCGAAGTTCTAATTCTGTATACATAGTTCTAAAAATGAGATTGGGGAGAGAGAGACAGAAGAAAAAATCAAATGAATTTGCTCTATTACCTCCCACGCTTTTAATTAATAATCATACCCTACAAAACAGGTTCCTTGAAGGCATTTGCAAGTATTTTGATCTGTGCAAAGCACGTATATCTGAATTGACACGTTTTGCCTTTCAGACTTGCATCTGACAGGTTATAGTCAAAAGTACAGCTGAAATATAGCTCTTCATTCATGTATAGGGGCAGCAGAATTGGGAACTGTTAACTGACCTCTGGCTGTAAAATTGGGAAGAAAGACCAGCCATCGGCGGCAGGCTTGGAGTCCTTCCCGGCGATTGTCTCGTTGGCCCACCACTCCGAGCTGACAGCGGGCTTGTTATCGAGGGCTTCACCCTTCGAGCTATCAAAGTTGAACTCTTTGATCGATCCGAGAGTGACCGAACGCTGCCTTCTGTAGCTAGGCTCCTCTTCTGCTCCCGCCGACGATTTGCCAGGTGTCTCGTTGAAGGTTTCCCCAACTCTCAAAGAGACTTCACCACTGTCGAAGTGGTTTTCTTCGGAATGGTCTAGGAAAGTTCTGTTTGATGCCATCGACTTGCTTTGCAGGCAACGTGCAACGTCTTCGCCACTCAACTCGAATGAGACTCTGTGATCGACTATGGTCTCGTTGGTTCTAGCACCATTTCCCAAGAGGGGAAGATGTGCGACTTCTGTAACCATGTTCTCAGGAACCACAGAAATTGGTGGAAGAGGTCCTGAGCCCAGTGTTGAATACAGACCACCACCGTCTGGAGTAGCAGTTCCCGAACCAAGCCTCGAGCCACCTACTACCCACATCCCATCCGGAGTCGCCGTTCCAGATCCTAGCCTCGAACCCAACCCAACGCCATCCGGAGTAGCAGTTCCTGAACCAAGAATTGGACCCACTACCCACATTCCATCTGGAGTGTTGGTTCCGGACCCTAGCCTGGAACCCAAACCCACGCCATCTGGAGTCACAGTTCCTGATCCCAGCCTTGAACCCAAACCCACCCCATCTGGAGTTGCAGTTCCTGAGGCAAACCTCGAACCACGACCCACCCCATCAGGGGTCACAGTTCCGGAACCCAATCTTGAACCCCATTTGCGAGTATTGAAATGCTCGAACCCAATGAGCTTAGTAGCATCCCCAGTACGGAACTCATGAACCGGGTGTCTATCAGGGAAAGGAGAACAAGTCCCCGAGTTCGAGATCACTGACCCTGGGGAGATGAGCTGGCCACTGGGGCTTCCGGAGTATACTTGAGGGAATTCATAGTTGTAGAATCCAAACTTTGAAATGGTTCCCCCGCTGTTTCTTCGAGCGCGTTCAAGAGAAGATGTCAGAAGCTGGGCAAATGGCACCTCGGGTGAAGAAGGCGTGGTGAGTTGAACTGATTCCGGTGGTGGAGTGAAAGGAGCAGTGGATGGTTCAGTGGTGAAGGCAGAGAACACAGGAGGAGTGACGAGCTGAGTCTCGTGTGCATAAGGGCCTATAGCAAACATGGACGGAGGTCCACGAGGGGAATAGGCATCGGCAGGAAGGGATTTCAAAGACAATAGCCCTCCTGGTGACTGAGTGACGGAAGGAGGCTCGGATTGAAGGAACGAAGCAGGGGAGGAAGGAGGAGCTATAAAGGGATGGACAACTGTGGCTGAGTGACTTTGAATTTGAGTCTCGGTGGAAGAAGGTTGTGCTACTCTTGATGCTTCTGGCTCGGGTACAAGGACCGCATGACCGATGCGCTTGTTAACTTTCTGGGAACCAAAGCACCAATACATACTCCAACAGCCTTTCCATCTTCTTTTCTGTACCAAAGATGGCATATGGATAGAACAAAAAGGCAATGTTAGGTACTTATCCATTCTCATTTCAATCCCCATATCCACTCTTGAAATAGAAAGCAGACGTATCTGCTATTCCTATGTCTCGAACACAAACAAGAAAGCAACGAAAAAGGAAAGGGAATTAGGTCCAATTTCAATCAAACAAAGCCAGCTAGAGAAATCGGTTAAAGCAGTTATAACGACATAGGCAACATGCTGTCATCTAAAGCATTTCGATTACGATAGCTTTCTAACTCCATTAAAACAACTTCTGTAAGATAAGAACCGTAAATCTTCTGCATTAGATTCTGAATTTCACTAGCTACTGAATGCCAGCATCACTGGTCTCTTCATTTCAGCCTATTTCCAGGCAATACCGTGCGAGCTTAGGCTAAACCAAAGCGAATCAGCAACCTGAGGCCAAATCTCAGAAGGAAGATGATCGTTCGATGAGCTAGCTGTGTAAATCTAAACTATCAAGATCGTCATCAGCCGGAATCGAAATCGTTAAGCTCGAGAAGCTTCCTAAATCCAATTCAGATCCGTAATTTTCACTCTCAGCTATCAAACAATCCGGTCAAAGAAGAAAGAAGCAGCCAAACAGCTGTGAAGAACTGCATCCCAAGAGCCACTCCCGGTGAAGTGAAGAAAAAAGGAAAGGAAAATCACTAATTCAGCAAAGCAGGTAGTTGCTCCCTCTACCTCCTTTCCAGCTTTAGCTTTTGACTTTCCCAAACTGATCGGAATTACCAAGACAGAAAAAAAGGTAAAAGCAAAGACCAAATTTCCTCGTCAAATTTTTTTTCCCGATAATCATTGCAAGAAATCACTACAGTGGCCGTGAAGGGGGAAAAAAAGAGAGAGGCAAGCTTAATCAAATATTACCGGAACGGATGGCGGCTGGACGCGGGACTCGGCGGAGACGATGGCGGTGGCGGCCGCGTTGACGGTGTCGATGGTGGTGGTGGTCGTCGTCGTAGCACCTCTCATCTCGGGATTCAGAAAGACGAGCTGCGAAGATGGCGTATCATGCTCTCCCGCGATTCGATCTGGAGAAATGGAAAGCCGCAGACCGACGAAACCGAATCTGAATCCGCACCAGATGGAAACAGAGCGAAGATTGAAGAGCAAGAAGAAAGAAGAAGGAAGAAGGAACTGTGAGCTTATAGTATAAACACGGAGAGATCAAATCGGAAATGCTCTCTCTTCTCTCTCTCTCTCTCTCAGCCTGTCTAATGAAGTTTGTTTGTTGCTGTTGGATTGAGTTTACGTTACAGCTCGCTTCTCTTCCCTTCTTTCTTTTCTCTCTCTGGCCGTCGCCTCTCCGGTCCTTATCTTGCAGCGGCCGTCCAGTTCGTGAGATTAATAATTGACACGTCACGCGATATGAGGAGGAGATGACATGGACCCCACCACCACCACCACACTTCTTCGCGTATGCAGTATGCGCGCTTTTGTGACAGCATTTTTCCAATAAAGTAAAATAAATAAATTATTATTAACCCCGTCCGTCCTCCCCCGGATTAAGACCTTAATCCTTTTTTTTTTTTTTTTTCCTTCCCCCTCCGGCCTTGTAATTGAAAGCAGAATCACTCGACCGAAAATTATTACTTGTTTTTTTCGAATTTTCTCTGTTTTCGAATTATTTGGAGGAAAATTCTTAAGTATTAATTTGATACAACAATTATCTCGTTTCGAGTTGAGTAATGGAGGAGGTGAGAAACTCGTGTGGTTTGATCGTCAGGTTGCTGCAGTTGTGGGTAGCGAGTTGCTTTCGGTACGCTGAACCTAACCGGAAAAAAATCCTCACAAGAAAAAATGGAAAGAGCAGACAGGAGGTAATGGGGAGGGAGGGGAGCGCGTGGGACTCGTGACCCTGCTCATTCCTTCCTTGCTCTGCTGCTCACCACCATTAATTAATTTTTGACTACTAGAAAAGGATGGCAAGATATGTGGTGATAAAAATATCTAAGGGGGGAATCGCGACCGTTCAAGTGGTTGACTTTCCGGCGGAGTGAAGGACTGAAGGTGAATAATAGTATGGCCTATGGGAATATGCGAGTGCAAAATTAACTGCTAGCAGCTGGCTAATGTCCAAATCAAGGTTGTCAAACCGGTTTAAGTTATTGAGCCGGTTAAGCAAGGGGTTTGAGGTTTAATGGTCTGATCGGGGTCCGACCGGTTTGAGTCGTTTTAGACATTTTCTAAATATATGTACAAATAAGGTAGTAATTAAAGATTTAATGATTGAAATAAAATTTATTTACATATATCTATTAAAAACTTATTTTCCACAAAATAAATCTAGCTAACTTACATGATCCACCCACCATCTCCCTTCCTCTGTTCCTCTTCCTCTCTTCCCCCTCTCTTCTTGTCCCTCTTTTAGGGGTCAGACCGGGGGCTTTCTGGAAGCCGTTTTGAAGCTCGACTCGGGTCGGACCGGGTTCAATCGGGGGTTCGATAGGGGTTTAACAACCTTGGTCCAAATACTGATGCCTATTGTTTTTGCCATTTTTTATTTATTTATAGCTTCTGTTTTTTTTTTGTATTTTATAAATCTGATTTTTTTATTATTATTCAGGAGTTAGGGTGGACAACGAGAAACGGGTATTTGGGTATACCCATACCCATCTCGTTTTTTTGAGGGTTACGTGTAACACCCATACATACTTTAAAACATTCACATGATCGTACCGATTAAAACCTTTTACAATTCTGTTTAGTTTACAAATCAAACCATAATTTACATAAACTTTTAATACTTCAAAACACATGACAGTAGAGAAGACCATCTTCTCTCAAAATACTATAAACAAGTCATGTCGGAGTCTGAGTCCACCATCCCACCTCATTGATGCCGAGCTGAGCCTTATTGAGTTTCCTTGACTTCTAGTCCAACACTTCTAATCTGGGGAAAATTTTTGACGGGGGTGAGACGTCACCTCAATGAGTAAAAGCTAACCTATCAACAATATCAATACAAACATAATATCTGGTGAAGTCGAGCCTCGTGCTTAATATCTTATTTTCCCGAGATAACCAATTTCAGTATCCACTTTGCTAAGGCATTCCAGACATGTAACCATGCACAATTCAGTAGTCAATATCACACACACACACACACACTAGTACACCCATCCATACACACACATATACACACAGGGTTAGCTAGATTCCGTGCCTTTTAGCCTTTAAGTTGCCAAGTCATGCACTCCCCCGGGTATATCCAATAGATGCGTAAAGCATCGCCAATAGATGCGTTAAGCACCGCCAATAGATGCATAAAGCACCGCCCAATAGATGCCTTAGGCATCGCCAATAGATGCATAAAGCACCGCCAATAGATGCATTAAGCATCGCCAATGACCAGGCCTGGTATCGCTCTCCCAGAGAGCTAGGCATAAAGCCGCATTATCTCATAGAGTGCATGACAGGGCGCCATTAAGTTTGCTTTAGGTTATCAGACAATTCTTTAGTTAGTCACATAACATGTAGCAAGCAGTATCACCAATCATTTAACACATATCTATTCTCGTATTCATAAATTCACATAGTTGCATTCACCATTCCATATAAACACATCATCGTCTTATAAGCTTCCCAATATCACAATTCCGCCATACAGGCTTTCCCGTAATCATAAGATAGCCAATTAGGCTATCCTAGTATCATCGTATAGGCATTCAGTCCATTCATTACACCCCATTGCATGGTAGGCTTTCCAGTAATCAAATATCGCCTTATAGGTCATTTCATATCACATATACGTTTCTTTCCCCGTTCATAATCATCATCTATCACGTTTCACACATATCATCAAATAGTCATACACACATCATATTCACCCATCATTCATAACATATCATTTCATTCACACACATATAGTCATAGCCATCTATTAATCTCACATTTCATGTTTCATATTCGGGCCGCTTCATGACCCGAACACCACATTTGTATCCATACGGTTAATAGGTTAGAGTTTACTCACTACAAGCTTGCTATTCCGCTATATTCTTGCCCTTCTCCACAACTCTGGCTTGGTCGTTACATTCAGGGGCGGAGCTAGGTGGAGCCTCGGAGGGGCCCCGGCCCCCCCGAGAATTTTGAAACTACGTACAAAATTATCTTCGGATTGTGAAAAATTACGTATAAAATAGATGTTAGAATATTAATTGTGTGCGCAATAATCTGACATGAAACTAAGGTTCTGACGAGTGGTAGAATAGTTGATCTTTAAGATTGAGTACATGGGTTCGAATCTTGCCTATAGCGAATTAGTGCCCATTTTTGCCATTTTCAAGTTGTGAGCATTCTCACCTAAACTACAGCAAATTAAGTGTTATTTTGCTATTTCCATATTGAAATAAGCCAATAAATTGTTTGAAAATGATAAAAATGAGCTACATATTGAAATACATGATTAATTTTTTTTTCGTAATTTAATAATTTGTTTTGACCATATCACATAGTAAATAATTATCTCAATTCTTGTTTTGTTATGATAATAAAAATTCTATAAACTTTTTTTATCATGGTAAACTAAACAACTTCGGCCCCCCGAGATTCAAATCCTAGCTCCGCCCCTGGTTACATTAAAGACGTTAAATAACCACTTTTAATATAATAACAATGTACCCATACATTGTAGCCCACTAATTAACTGAAAATCATATAATTACAATAAACAGTATCCCACATTTAGCTTTGTTTTAATTTTCATTTTATTCTATTTAGCACCCCACGCCTACCTATAACTAACCACCCTTAAGATTCCTCATTAAATAAATCACTTCCACCTCACACATGGTTCGGCTTCCAGATAAACACCACCACCCCAATTTACCTTTCCAATTGAGTAATAATCATGATCATTATCATCATTCATGCATAACTATCCCCGGCATGCATAAATTCCAATCCATGGTAATTAAATTACCCAACCAAATTCATTAACTTCCCTCTCATCACCATAGAGCTACGGTTTATGCATATATATTCCTATAACCTACAGATTTTCCTCCTCCCTTCACGATGCCAAGTAATATTATCTTTGGGGAAAAGAAAAGCTTACCTTATGTATTCAGTACCCGATTCACTAACCCCACAACTATGCTATCTCTTTTCCGCCATCGGTGATCTCAAGGATAAGTAGAGTAGATAGTACCTGAAGAGGGAGACTCACGCCACTCTTTCACCCTCGCTCTCTATCTTTCTCTCTTGATCCTCAGAATGGGTGGGATAAGGAGGTGAGAGGTTCACTATTTCATGCTATAAATCCATCCACCCACCCCCCAACTCATTAAGTTGGCTAATGCAATGGTGGATACGTGTATGTCTGAAGTTTGGCCTTGGAAATGGGGCTTTACCACCATAATGGAGTAGAGACAAGAAAGATCACTTCTCTTCGGTTAACAGGAGCCCTATTAAATAGGTTAGCTATGATACAAAAAAAAACAGTGCAACCCCCCTTTTAGTTGGCTCAATGGAAGGCGAGTTCACCACTTAGAAGGGTTAATTTTGTTCATTCATTTACCCTTGTAACTCTATTGGTGTGACTAATTTAATTAAGGTTTTGAGTGCTATAATTCGCCACGTGAAGTTTAACTAAGTTAGTGTTGCTCTAACGTGTTCTCACAACTCTTTCCGCTAAACCTATGAACCACTGAAAATTGTGACCAACACTCGATTTGTAACGCACATACTTCACGTACTAAGCAATTGTGATGGAGGGTTGTGACATTACGTGTACAAATACCCGTAAATTTTTTTCGGGATGAGATTTGGATCAAGAAACTATACAACGAGTACCCGCGGGTTACCCGTTAATACCCGTTTGGGTATTATGAGTATCCGTACTACCCGTCAAGACGAAGGATCCATGCCTCTCTGCTCTGAACTTGATTGCAACTAAACATTGGTATCTTCTGCAGTTCTTGTTCCCTGTTTTTCCTCTGTTTCTTGGTATCTGAATCCCAAGGAAACTTAAACAAGCCTATTAGTTAATTTGTGAAACAACCTAGACAAGCCTCAAAGCCCACTCGGTCTGGGATATGAGAAGGGAATTTGTGGGATTTATTTTAAGTTTATCTCTTTTGGGCTTTATGTGCTTTAAGCCCATTATTTAATTAGAAGAAAAACGATTAGAATAAAAACATCTCTATTAGTCTTCTTACTCGCGTGCTCTCTTTTCCCCTGCTCTGTCTCTTTTCTTCCAACGTCAAAATCCCTACAAGAAATTAAATCAGCTCACAATTGTATTTCAGTTAAGACCAGTCATTGTGCGGGACGGTAGGGAGATTGGTTTGAGAGGGAATTATAAGGAAGTATGGGTACCCGCGGGTACCCGTTATCCGTCCCGTACGGGTAATGGGTATCCGTTAACCCGTAATGGTTTGGAATATGGGATGGAGTTTCCTCTCCAAATGGGACTGGGTACCCGTTTCAAACGGGACAGGTACTCAATCCCGTCCCGTTTTTCACCCCTACCAGGAGATCCACGCACACACACCATATTTTGTGATGGCGGAGCCAGATCGAAGTTGGGGGCCACATGCTGTAATTTTATGTGCCAACGGGGCTTCGCCCCAAGTAGCTAGACGCCTTTGGGAACACTATGGGGGGCTTCGAGTGGCATCGAATCCAAGGCCTCACACATCCCAGGACGACCTACCCCGCGGCGGCACTACTAGGCTGTCTTACCATTGGCAACTCTTGTGTTTTGGCAGTGATGATTTCGACGAAGAGATGATCATAAAATTCATGTTAATTATGAAAATGTAATGGATAATTCTATTAGAGAGCATAGTTAGTAAATACTCTGTTTAGTACACATATATATACCCGTATGTATTTTATCCGTTTAAAACTTCCTTATCTGTATTATTGTCAGGCCGTTTCATTTTTTACCGTTCATTTGATGGCTTCTGTACTAAACATGTATAAAACCCATATAAAACGTTTAATATCCGTATTTAATGAATTATATTGAAACACGAAAGTTGTGTCTCGACCGGTGGAACCAGGTACCTTGGCTCAAACAATATGCACGAAAGTTGAAACACGAAAAGTTGACCTTTCGATTCAATAGAAATAAAGGGGGAAAAAGCAAGCATGTCGAGTGGTCAGCAAGAAAGACATACCCGATCCTTCTTTTCTAATCGTTCTGGTACATGTTTATAACACGAGTTCAACTGTTCTCTCTAAACTGTATCTCTTGGCATTATATTCTGCTTAATACTCAGATCATTCGCATCTCTCAATGAACAATTTCCAACTATAATTTGTTCAGAAATAGTTGGAGACTGCACTCTCTTCAATATGTCATGACTCATGACTCATGATTGATGGTTGCACGTATTTGGGGAGGAGATTCGGCTTCCTTTGCCGGAAGCAGCCTGGATGCTTGCAGAAATTCAGCCTCGGACTGTGAAGCAAAATGGCTTACAGCACATCTTTTTTGTTGTTATTTATGCTTTTCTGGTTAATAATGTTTCTTTTTCTTGTAATTAGAAAAAAAAAAAAAATCGCAATTGTGGCGTTTAAGATGTAAAAGTGTGCGCACGTGTGGATTCTCCACTCCCCACTAGCTGTTCGCTGCTGAGTTAGGGTTTCGTGCACAGCCCTCGTGTGGAACAGTGGAAGCCAGGCAGGCAGGATCAACCAAATTAATTAAATAATAAAAAAAAAAGACTTCCTCTCCTCTTACTTTTCCCTTTCGTTTTCTGTATGAAATATGAATGAATAAAAACCTTTTTTTTCCTTCTTCTTCTTTTCTCTTCCTTTTACAGAAAAGAGAAACTTAACGTTTCTTACTTTGATCCCAAAGGTAGACCTACCTGAGTCGATTGGCCAGTTCAGACCTATTAGCTGCTGTAATTTCCGGTACAAGATCATATCGAAGATAATGACTATCAGACTGCAACCGTGGCTACCAAAGCTGGTGAATGAGTTACAAACTGCTTTTACAGGAGGGAGACAAATACAAGACAATATTATTATTGTCCATGAAGTACTTAATCAATTCAAAAAGAGTAAGAAGAAGAAGAACAAAGAGATGATGATGAAGCTGGACATGAAGAAGGCCTACGACCTGGTGGAGTGGGATTTCCTTATCAGCTTATTGAAGGCGTATGGATTCAATGATGTTTGGTGTGGTTGGGTGCGTGTATGCATTTCAACAGTTAAGTTCAGGCTCCTGTTCAATGGTGCCCCGTCGAATGGATTTTGCCCGTCTCGAGGCATCCGTCAAGGGGACCCCCTCTCCCCCCTCCTGTTCATCCTGATGTCTAATGCTCTCTCTTTTCTGGTTGAGAAAGCGGCCCAGAGGAAGGTGATCAAAGGGATCAAGCTGAATAATAATTGCCCTATCCTCACACATTGCCTGTTCGCAGATGACACAGTGATTTTTGGAAAGGCTTCGGTTGAGGAAGCAGACACCATCCTAAGCATTCTGAGAGACTATGGCTCACTAACGGGTCAAGAGGTCAACCTGAACAAATCATCTCTGTTTTTTAGCGCCAATGTTACCCCGGAGGAACAGGGAGTTATCACCCTTAGCACTGGTTTTGCTGAAGACCGGTGTCACTCTAAATATCTAGGAGTCCCCACTGAATGGGGGCGATCAAAAAAGGAAACGTTCCAGTTCCTCCTCAATCGAATGGAAGCTCGAGGTGAATCCTGGAAGAGCCTTCTTCTCTCCCCTGGGGGCAAAGAAGTTCTGCTTAAGGCTGTATTCCAAGCAGTGCCTTCCTTCATCATGTGTCTCTTTCTCCTCCCGAGATCAGTAACAAAGAGGATGGACTCTATGCTCAAGAATTTTTTCTGGAGCGGATCAACATCGAAGAAAACAATCCATTGGAGAGCCGGACAAGTTTTGTATGCACCAAAAGAAGAAGGAGGGCTTGGTTTCAGACCCTTCCACACAGTCAACCTTGCTTTGTTGGCAAAACAGGTCTGGCGAGCTATCACTAATCCTGAAGCATTGTGGGTAAGGGTCTTGAAAAGCATTTATTTCCCTAAGACGGAATTGTTACAAGCGAAGAAAGGGGGGAAGGCATCATGGATTTGGGCTAGCTTGTGGGAAGCACTAAAATGGATGAAGAAAGGCATCATTAGAGTCATTGGAAACGGGAAATCAACACGAATGTTCCAAGACCCTTGGAGGTTTGATAGACCGGGCAAACTCCTTGAGTTTGATTGGCCAGACGAGACAACAGTGGACCAGTGGATCGATGGGATCCGTAGAGAGTGGAGATTTGACCTGCTTGCTGGATATCTTAGCCCCACAGAACTTTTACAGGTGTCGGCCACCCCAATTGGACCTGAATCAGTGGAAGACATTTGGGCCTGGAGATTCACGGATAGTGGCGACTTCTCAGTCAAGTCTGCATTCCACATGATTCATACTTTGCTGCGAAGGGAACAGAACGCCCAGATGGTTGACAGTGACAGCAAGGAGAAATGGAAATGGTTATGGAGCCTTTCCCTTCCCCCAAAACTGAAGTTCTTTATTTGGAAGTGCACCAGAGGAGCAATTGCAACAAAGGAGAATCTCTTCTCTCGCCGATGCTCGGTATCAAAAGCCTGTCCTCTCTGTGCTGAGGCTATTGAGTCGATCCATCATGTCTTGTTTGAGTGCCCTCACGCGGCGGCTGGGTGGTTTCAGGGCTGGCCTTCGCTGGTTGTCCCCCCCCCTCTCTACCCAACTGCTGGACTGGCTCTTCGCATTGCAGGCCAGGTATCCCCTCCCCGCAGTCCATAAAGTTGTCTTCCTGCTGTGGCAAACGTGGAAAGCCAGGAATGAATTTATCTTCCGAAAAAAGCCTCCCTGGCCACCTAGTACCATCTCGAGGGCTGTGAATGAGTCGCAGCAGTGGGAGTGTTGTCCTACTAAACCAAGAACCTTACCACCGCCTATTCAGTTAAACCCATCCCCGGATCACCCTACTCCACCGCCGAGTATTCATCTCTTTGAAATACAGTGTGATGGTTCATTCTTTGAAACATCACAGCAGGCGGCATATGGCGTTGTTGTATCAAATGTCCATGGACAAGTGTGTGACGGGGTAGCTGAACCCCTGCATTGTTTGTCATCAATTGAAGCTGAAGCTAAAGCGCTGTTTGAAGGAGCTCGTCTGGCAGCCAACCTCCAGGGTCCATGTCTGGTCCGATCTGATTGCCTGACCATCGTCAATGCTGTGCTTGGAAGTTTGAGGCCGTGGCCATGGCGGGCGGCGGCATGGATTGGACGCACCATTAAGACACTCGAAGACCACCCCTGGATCAAGGTCTCCCACATCAAGAGGGAGAACAACACAAAAGCAAACTGGGTTGCAAGGTCTAGAGCAAAAAATGCCCTCCCAAGTCATTGGGTTCACGTGCTAGATGTAATCTCCCACCTTCTGTAAACAGCTGTACTTCCCTTTCAGCGTCAATGAATGATAAGCAATACCTTTGGTCAAAAAAAAAAAAAAATACAGAAAAGAGAAACTTTGCAGTTTGCACGAGTGGATTCCCTTTCTCCTTCTCCTTCGTCACCATGTTATCCATTTGCTCTGTTTTGTGGTGAAACGAATTGAACCACTTAGAAAAAGGGAGCCTTTTCGTTGATTGAAACACTACTACTCAGTACTCACTCCAACTTTCACCTCCTCTAAACCTTTTTTCTTTCTCTCTTAAAACCCTTTTACTATGATTGAGCTTTAATAATTCATACCCTTTTTTCCCCCTCATGCGACGAGCTATTCAATCCGTGGCAAACTAAGCACAATTTTACTCTCAAAGAGAATAATTTGTGTTCGAATCATCCTTGCACGACCATTATTCATTGAAAAACATCGGTTGGTCAATTTGAAATTTCAAAGCAAAACTAAATCATTTTAAATTTTCTACCGACTAACAAGACAATTTGATCCCATTGCACCAAAATAGGATAAATTAGATAAATTGATCCACTACAATTCATCATCATCAACGACCCAGATTAAAAGAATGAATAGAAAATCAAATAAATCTACCTATCAAGTGGGAGTTTGTGGATTATTCTGAAATTAGATCTACAACCTTCAACAATAATGCCTACTTCGTTTACAAGCATTAAATCACCTTACAAAGGGGAAAGACCATGTGTTAGAAAAAAGGGGTGTTACTGTTAAGCATAATTGCCTAGTAATTGGTTTAGCAAATCAGATTCATGCAACTTGCTCCCTTTTTTTCTCTCTCTCGTCTCTATCCTTCTTTTTTCGGCCCAATGCTCATCACTCATTGTTTACGGCCCGGCCCAAAGGACTGCCCGAGTGCAACACGTTGGCCGGATAGAGATAGATAGCAACAACTTTACACTGGGCCTAAAGCCCACCAAGAATATTGGGAGACGAACATAGCTGATCCGATTCTGGAGCAGAGAGTGGCTTCATTTCATTTCATCTTCTCCAATCTCCAGTACCGGTCTCCGTTCTTCTCATTACCAAGCAGCAGTTTATGAATCCCACCGTTTCGAATATCCCATTGTTCCCATCTCCCACTCCTTACTCGACATCATAATCCCACCGGAATAGTTCGTTATAATGGCGATGGCGACTCTGATTTCAACTCCAACCACTTCATTTTCGACTTCCACAAGAGCAAGATCTCTTCTCCACCCTTGTTCTCCGATTTCCTGCTGCAAAGCTACCAACTTTGGCCTTTCTACTAAGGTTCCCCAACTGGGTTCGGGGAATTTGTCTCAATGGAGTGGATTGAAGCAGCTCAGCATCTCAATTACTCCAAAGTCTCTGCATAAAGGTAGCAAGTAGTAGAGTGTTTCTTAAGTTGGGTGTACTTTTACTTTCCATTTTTAGCTTCGTAGTGATGGGAAATGATGCTTTTGAAATGTGGGGTTTTCAGAAAGGAAAGGGAGGTGTAATGGCAGGGTAGTACGTGCTTCTTTGTTCGGAGTTGGAGCTCCGGAAGCTTTGGTCATTGGAGTGGTGGCTTTACTGGTGTTTGGTCCCAAAGGTCTTGCCGAGGTTAGTTACTGTTGAATTCCATTTTTGTTATTCTCTAGCTGCAAGTTTGAACTGGAAAAGGAATGAGTTAATGAAGCTTCTTTGTAAGTCTAGGGAATCATCAAACGTACTTGTCACCTTAGTTCAAAGTAGGAGGAAAGAATGTGGGATATAGCAGAGCTATAGTTTACATTATAGAAATAGAGAAGAAAGGAAAATGGTTCTGGTATCCTTACTTTCGAGCTTCTTATACGCAGGTTGCCCGCAACTTGGGCAAGACTTTGCGGGAATTTCAACCTACCATTAGAGAACTCCAGGTAGATAGTGATTAACCTCTCTGGTTTTACCAGTATAGTGTTTTCTTCACTGCTGTTGTGTTAGATATACTATAGTGGAAGCACTTACATCTACCAATGTAGGATGTTTCTAGAGAGTTCAAAAGCACCCTTGAGAAGGAGATTGGTCTTGACGAGATAAAAAATGTTACACAAACCACGAATTTTTCCAACAAAACACCTAGTGCACCTCCTCCTGCTGCCTCACCACCCTCTTCATCAGTTACCAGCGCTGCAGATTCTACAGCTCAAGCTGAACCCAGTAAGTTCGGCCTCATAACTCTTCTGCATCCATTTTCATATTTCTGTTATCATTACAAGAGCATAAGCTTGCACCTGTTTTCTACTTTGCCATTGTCAAACCAATGGGTTCGAAATTTAGCACTACCTTGATTGAGTGAGTCGACTGGTCAGAATCTGCCAGTAATTTCTGGAGACTTTCTGCCGAATACTTCCTTGGTTGGATAGAAAGCAAATGGTATTGACATCTTAAGCAAGAGAGAGAGAGCGATGTAAAATCATGGTTCTCGTCTTTGCCAGTAGTTCTGATCTATATAATCTCAGCAGTGGTTGTCCATCCCTGAAAATTACAGATGGTTCTCCAGCCCCAAGCAATGCATATACCAGCGATGACTTATTAAAAGTCACAGAAGAACAGCTCAAGGCATCTGCTAGCCAGCAGCAACCGGAAACACCTGCCCTCGATAGCCAGCCAGAAGCTAAAGTCGCAGAAGAGCAGCCAGAAGCATCTGATGCTCAACAACAAAAGCCGACGCCTTCCACGCCAGAGAGCCAAGTAGAAGAAGCTCAAGCTCAACCCACAGGTCAGTAGCAGTGCATGACAAAATCACTCTATGGCTCTTGTCCAATTTGCTCACAATCTTGTTCTATTACCTGACAGTCAAAGAAACTGCAGCTGCCTTGTCTCCCGGCTCAGCAAAGCCAGAAAGCGAGACATAAGAATCGTCTTGGAATTGATGACAATGCTCGGTAGCCATGTCACCACGAAGTCCTAGAGGAAATGATGCCCTGCTAGATATCTGGTCTTGTAGTTAGGATAGAGAAGAGATATATGCAGCCAGTGAAAAATCTTCCTTAGTTTGTTGAAGATGTAAATTACAATTTTGTTGTAGAAAAAGTGGACTTGTTGCATGGTGTAGTACCTTGTTCTTGAGGGCCAGTGTTATTTTTGTCTCTTTTCTATCCATTTCAACGTACCAAATCATCCCAAATTGATCCAAGACTGCATACAGGCATCTCGAATCAACTCAATAAGGATCGGCATCTGTTTGTAAACATATTTGATCTGATTCGATACAATCCGAATTTTCGGAATCTGACCAAATTGAACTACCTTTTGGTTCAATCTGAATCGATCTGGGCGTCAATTCTTGATCAGAACGAACTTGAAGTACCTTCGGTGCAAATTTGTTCCGATCTAGGCGTCAATTTGGCTTCTACCGTGCCATGCTGATACACATTCTGCTTGCTCTCTTTCATTTATATTTCTAACTTGGAGAAAGAATTGCACAGAAATGTTACAATTACAACAAAGCCTGGCGTTTTTGTTACAACAAATTCATCGGTCTGTGAGTGTCAAAATCTAGGTACTCTCCATTAGGAGGGCCACTAAATCCATACATTTCAAAAATCTTCTCATCCGGAGGCGCCATATTCATACCTTCTCCCCCTCGAAACCCTCCTTCCAAGGGAGGTGGTCCTCCCCACGGAGCTGCTGTCGAAGGGTTCGAACTAGGCGCCTCTTGGTTCATCGTAAATCCCACTGGATTCTGCAGCGAGTTGGCAGCAGGTGGTCGCCTGCTGGACGAATTAGCAGCTGTCAGAGAAATCGAGGCTGATTGCTGCTGCTGGTTCTTCATTGGCGATTTTGGCCGAAGCGACTCTATATCTGGCGTGGTTACTACCAAATGCGGTGCCTCTGGGGGAGGGTTCCGGCCACCACCTCCTTGCCAGACTTTTCCGTCCTTGTCGGCAAAGTTCTTCACATATGTCTGAGAAAAGGTAAAACAGATTTCTTGTTTAAGGGTGAACGATAATAGGAGATTGGAACATCAAGTGTTATGATGAATGGTGTTTGTACCTCAGAACTGAAGTTTGATGATGATAGTTCTTTACCAACTGTCAACCAGCCAGCTCTGATGTTATGATCCTCACCGAAGAGTTCGAGCCTTCTTCGGCCGAGTGAGAAGTGCTCTATGATTCGATACATATCTTCAGGCTTCTGAGTTGAACCTACAATTTGATAGGAAGAATACTCGTTAAGGCATCATGTCGTTAAAAAATCCTCATTAAAACTACTTGTTAAGGCAACATGAGTCCATAACTCTTGTGAGTTTTAAGATTCTAGACGGCAAGCCTTATTGGAATCTACGATTTTAAAGTTTACTTGTAAAATCTTGCTACTTCTTCACGATCTAAAATTAAGTGAGAATCATAACTTGAATTTAATCAAAATCATGCAATTTCATGATACAACTTTAAGAATACAGTGCTTTTTCAATTCTACTCTTCAGCAGATTCTTCAAATTTTGGAGGGAATGAAGCTATAGGGGCAACTAACCGTATTGAGGTTCTTCAGCAATGATTACATCGGTATCAATGTTGGCGTGTATTATATGGCCATCAGTGCTTCGGCGAACTGTTCCTTTAATCCCCATCAAGCAATGTTCCTGGATTTGTCAGGGCAAAAGGACGCAAGTTTTAGCAAAGGTAAAAGGACAGTTAAACTACAAAAGGCAAAGCATGACATTGTTACTGACCTTTGAGTGCTGAAATAGAGTATGAGAATCATGTCGCAATCCTGGTGCTGCATTACTTTTGTTGGTTTTCACCCAACAAATATCCTCACATCTTCGGAACCCCCACTAAAGCAAAATGGGAGAAGCCCGCTATCAGCTATAGAGATGTAACAGTTAAACATATTCTATTGATTCAATCTCTGAGCTAGTACCTTTTTCAAACATTGACGACCTTGTTCAAGACCCACACCATCCCCCACCCAAAGGAAGAGGAAAGACGGTGTATCTGCAATCGCCTATACAATGGAAGGCAAATATTTGAGATGAGACGACAGCATTTATCAACCCCAATCACCATGACATATGCAATACAAGTACTATGACTATAGAGGCATGTTCATGTGATGCGAATACCTCAATCTTAAGATTCAAAATTTCTTCAAATGTCCAATACTCCATATGATCAGCAACACCAGGAGCACGATGAACATACTCCTCCCATGGCGGGTCTACCAAGATAACATCAAACTTGGTCCCAAAAAACTCAGGGGAGAGCTCAATTTCACGAAGATCGCCTTGTAAATACATGGGAGCAGATGCAGCTTTAGCCACAATCTCATCCTTCTTCTGTATAAGCTCTCTGAGTTTTGGATAATCCTCCACAACATTAGTCAGCTCCAGCTCCCTAATAAAATTCTGAGGTCGCATACCAGTATCAACAAAATTCTGGGAGTAGTCATTTTGCTCACCCCTCGAAGGAGCTTTACCAGGAGGCCCACCACCTCTAGAAGGTGCCCAGCCCCCAGGGGTTTTATCTGGTGGAGCCCCGCGTCCTGCTGGCCCTGAAGCATTAAAGGCAGGACCAGGCATATTACCAGGCACAACTCCTCTTCCAGCTCCTGCCTGATTGAAAAACATACCAGGGTTTGATGCTGGAGTCCCTAAATTAGGGTGGAATCTTGGGCCTGAAGGTCCAGGAGGGATAGGAGATAAAGAAGGTGGAGCAACAAGTAAATTCATGTCAACTCCACGAGAACCTGGCCAAACAAGAGGTGGTGAAAAGGATGGGATAAAAACTCCAGGGGGGATCGGAGCGCCTGGAGCTGGTGACATACCAGGTCCAAGCGGCTGCAATGCACCAGGAGGTGGAGGCCCAAGTCCAAAAGGAGAGGCCATTATGGGCAATGGAAGTCCAACCTGTTGATTGTCTCTCCCACTAGGTCTCCCTCTTCCTCCTCTGCCCAGCCTATTTCCTTTTACACCCTGTGGAAGAGCTCTGCCAAAGGAACCATGATCCTGGTTTCCATATGGAGGTTGTGAACCACCACGACCAGAGAAAGTGCCCTTCTGGCCTCTTCCTTTTCCTCCTTGGCTTTCATTGTCTTCTCTCCATGAAGTAGCATCCTGCATTGATGTAGGATCATCCCCATATCTCTCTCTAGAATCCTCAGCTGCAGATCCAGACCCATATGAATCATGCCTTCTACCCTCAACATTGGTTGCTGATTTTGTGTCATGACTAGTCTCACTTCTCCTAGCAAAGTTGGAAGCAGAATCTGGCCGTCCATAATCGAGAGGCTTGGTTTGGATCTCTATAACATCATAATTCTCGTTTGAGATACCAAAATTCGATGAGGTTTTTACAGCTTCACCTCTGTTTCGACCATGGGGCCTTTCATTGTCAATCCTTTCCCGACCATGTCTTGGCTGCTCCCAGTCTCTCCCACGATCATACATAACATCTCCATCTTTTGAATCTCTGTCATTACTAATTGGTTGCCTTCTTTTCCAGTTGTCTTTTGAAGATTCCCGCTCTCTATTCCGGTCACTCCAGTTGTCATCCCTGGCTTTTATTCTATCATCCCTGTGATTATCTTTCTCATTGTCTCGTCGTCTGACATCAGCATTTCTTTCATTCCTCTCAGGCGTCCGAGACCTGTTAGAACGGGGTACTTCTCTTGAACCCTTCTCTCTTGTCCATATATTTCCATCTTCCTCTAAATGGGAGGATCTCTCGCGATTTTCAGTAACATCCTTACCAGAAGAAGACCTCTGCTGTCTATGCTTCTCAGTTTTCTCACGACTCGACCTGTCCTCACGACTGGCAGGACTACCTTTATTATCTTCCTCTACAGCTTCTGATCTGTTTTTGCTCTTACTTCTTTCACCATCCACTCTTTTATCATCTTTGCTAATGCTTATCAACATTTTCTCACCACTCACATCCACATTTCTGCCTTTGGTTTCACTTTGTTCAGCTTTCGCAGAAGCACTTTTCTCTTTGGGGTTCTCATGATTGTAATCAGAAGACTTGCCCGCTCTCGTGTCAGCATTTTCATTATCTTCAGCTTTCCTATCAGGATCTGATTCATCCAATTTCTTCCTTGAGGTTTTCCCCTGTTCAGAAGAGCCATGACCCTTCTCTCGACTGCTCTCTCTCCTCTCAGAATGCTTTGCTTCTTTATCCAGTGCCTTCTCATGTTCTCCATCCACCGATCTTTCATCTTTGCTTTTACTTCCACCCTTAGAACTTTCATGTTCAGAAACCTTTGAAGTCGACTTCCTTCTGTCGCTTTCATCAGCACGAGGCCCGTGTGCTTTACCTCCAGACTTATCTCCCTTAGTTTCTAACTCTCCATCTTGGTACCAGCTACTCAACTTCTCCAAGCTACTCTCTTCTTGTTTCTTCTTCGCTTGTTTAGACCTCACATCTTTCCGAGCCTCATAATCATCCTCGTCACTCTCAACCTTGCTAGAGCTTCCACCACCTGACCTCTTACGGTTCTCGCTTCTGTCCCCACCACCACTTCTCCGCCTCCCACTGCCATCCAATCCATCACCTTCATCCCCATTGCTCAACTTTCTAGACTTGCTTGACCTATACTTCCTTTTATCACTTCCCTCCATATCTTCATCATCTCCTGCCCTATCACTCTTTATGTCCGAACTATCACCTACATCTCGCTTCGAATCGCTTCTGCCACGTTCGGGTGAATCCATTAAATCCTGCAAATAACTGCACCACTACTTTCAGTTAAAACAACATACATACACCCCTTCCGACTTTCAATTAATATATCCCTATTCAAGAGTGCAACTACGTATACAACGAGATCTAAATCGAAATCAACATCCTTTAACTGTTCACTGGCATCTAGAAAGTCAATAATATTATAGAAATTGCTACCCTTTAACCTAAAGAAAACCCACTAGGATCAAGCACTTCTAATTCTTACCCTGCATCTACACCATTATGAAAAAATGTTGAATAACTACAGAAAATTCCAAGATTGCATTCTCGCGAAACAGGAATGAGCACCGATAGTGAATCCCAACTACCGCGAGGATGCAGATTGACTGATAGAAAGCTCCACACCCCTAGCCCCTACTTACTTCTGACGGCTTCAATGAAGGAAGCTACAATCGAACAAGGAGAAGGATGGCTACACGGCGAGAGATTCATCGGGAGACCGAATGGAAGTGAGGGAAGTGGAGATAGATGAAGTTATAGAGGGGAAGCGTACCTGAGATATGCGAATTGGAGAAGAAGGGGGGGAAGTGGAGAAACCCTAGAGTAGGCGCCGAAGCAGAGGGCTTATTCAGCAGGTCTATAGCAAGTTTGCAGAGTTTTCTTGCTCTCCCACCCAACAGCCAACGGGGAGATGGGAGATTGCCTCGCACAGTCGCACTCGGCAAATAAAATTTTCTGGGATCAGTTAGCGTGACTACCCCTAAAGGGTAGTGATTTTTGACACCCCCTTTATGATTGGCCAATTTTATTTCCAATCATTGGCGTATTAATTAAACTGATTTTTTATTTTTTTTAATCTTGTAATTTGGGGTCTCTCACCACATTGGAAAAGAGAAAGAATCTGGGGAAAAACGAAATCACCCCCATTAATTACATAATTAATTTCTCTCACTGGTACATTAATTACACGTACCACTCCACTGGTACACGTACCACTCCACTGGTACACGTACCACTCCAATGGTACACGTACCACTCCACTGGTGCGAGCAATCCACAAGGTAGGTTAGAGTGAGAACAATACCAGTGCAATGATATTTTTCATAACAATGATAAACAATAATAGGGAAAAAATAGGAACTTTCCATTAGTAGCCAAAAACTGTGTTCCAAAATGGGTTGCAAAATTAGGGAAATGCCAACAACAATGCCAAAAGCAATAAATTATCCTTCGAATGTGAATAAACATAAAGTCTTCACAATTTTTTAAGCCTAAACAGGACATATGGTTACACGTACCACTCCACTGGTACACCAGTGGAGTGGTACGTGTACCAGTGGAGTGGTACGTGTACCAGTGGAGTGGTACGTGTAATTAATGTACCAGTGAGAGAAATTAATTATGTAATTAATGGGGGTGATTTCGTTTTTCCCCAGATCCTTCCCCATTCATAATTACCAACGTTTTTCTCCTTCCCCATTCATAATTATTATCACAATTAAGGCTTTCCCAATTTACAAGATTACAATAAATAAAGTAAAAAGCTTAAATGGAAAAGTGACCAATCAAGAGGAGGGTGTCAAAAACCACTACCCCTTTAGGGGTTAGCATAGTATCCGACCCCAATTTTCCTTCCTTTGTTTATTGTCTCGCCGTCGCCGACGAGAATTCGAATTTCTTTTTTATCGAAACTCAAAATAAAAACACAGAATAATTTTATTTCATAGTTCATACCAATAAAGAAAAAAATATATTTGTTTTCTCCAATATTCTAATAAGGGTTTCATTATTTTATTTTATTTTTACAAACGGAAGAGTCTAGATTCTAATAATGTCAAAGTACAGCGAATATGAAAACACACTCGAGGTTAGGTAAAAACATGAACTCTAATAGGAAGAGAGTGGTCTAAAGATGCAAGATAATTTGTAACATAATTTGTCTCACGATAGAGATGTCCTATCCTGACTTGCCAGGACTTGGGTAAATAGCGTCTGATCTTTGCCACACATCCGTAGTGAGGATGAGAGTAAGTGGTTATTTCGATGAGTCATTGCAGAATCTGTCTGTAGAAGAACTTTTCTAGCCCCCAATTCTAAGTGAGTTTCAAACCGTGAAGAATCCAATCAAGCTTTGCACGAGTGATAGAAACCCAAACTCACAAAATTTATGGGGAATCAGAAAATGCTTTGATAAAGCGGTCATTTTCTCCACTCACAAGTCACAATGTTGCTAGTCATTATGCTCGAAGGAGAGTGAACAACCGAGTCGTTGGTGTTCAAACATATCCAACATTGTCTCCACTCACAATGCTTGCCCCCCTCCTCCAAATACTTGATTCTCATTCTCAAAAACAACACATATCTGCTCCTTTAGCTGTTAAGGATGATAGAGACAAGGTTCATGTGTTGTTAACTTCATATGCAAATCCATGAGGTGCCTATGTTGTATGGATAATTATCTTTGTGAAATTTCTCGCAAAACTTCATATTTGTCTACCCATATTGAAATATCTCATTTATCTTATGAATAATGTCTCGTCTAATTTGTGGTCCTTATAGACTAAGTCTTAGTACGATTAATTAACATATATTGATTTGTCTATGTGACATGTTCACCCTTTCAATTTGAATTTCGTTGAAAGCATCCTTTCACTTGTTAAAACTTGTGATTGCTCAAATGAAACTCTTTAAAATATTTATAAAAAGGAAGCACTTTTTTCTTTGTAAGAGAATTACGTCCACTTTGAAATACTTGAAAACAATTTTTAAATTGTTTATGCATGGTCTAGACTCTAGAATATATCCAATTTGTTACACGGTTATTAAATAGGAAACCAGTCACTAGCATTGAGTTGTGGCAATTTCTTATAATGTGATCGTCACACGGAACATAACAAGGTAATTAGCTATTTAAATATTTTGTAGGTGATAAATAGATTCCATTATATTTCCACACCTCAGGTGGCACGCTCTTAAGTTTTTTTCGTTAGCTTAACTATTAGCAGGTCAAATATATTTTTTGACGTGTCTTTTTCTTTAATGTAAAATAATTGTTTCTCCTATTCTCAAATTTCCAACAAAATCACATCTCCTTGTTGTCCTTCTTTTAAGAGAAGAACAAGTTCACCCTAGACAACCATCTCCCACAAACTACCCACTTTATTTATAGGATTGAAATTACAAAGTTTGTCATACAACATAAACATTACCATTACCAAAGACGGACTAGAAAGAAAGAAAAGAAAAGAAACCAAAATAAAAGCTTGAACATTACCAAAAGGAAAGAAAAGAAAAAGACACACACCTCTCTCTCTCACTCCCCCAAACTTTCCTTTTTGAAAGACTCACTCCTCAAACTTATTTTTGGTACACTTCAGTCCCCTGGATAAAATGGTATAATAAGTGTCACAAATTATACCCGCGTTATCCAAGCACTAAACAGTAAACACACAACCGAGGCTTTAATCAACGGTAATCAGCACCTCGCGATCATCAGTCCATTAATCATTAATTAATTACCATTAACGGCAATCCCTTCCTGGAGAAGAAACTCCCCATCCTTCTCCAGCTTCTCCATGGCCCCACTCTCCAAGCTAATCTCCACATCAATCCCGCCTTCCTTTCCCCGATACAAAAACACCATCCCATCGAACCGGTTATTCGACCCGCTCCGCACGCTCTCGGGTTTCCCGAACCCGAAATCCACGTCGTAGACCCGGAACCTCGGCGAGCTCCCGACGGCCACGCAGTTCACCCCGGCGTCCTTGTACTGGAACACCTTCGGCGCCGCCTCCCACTCCTCGTTCCTCCCGTCGATCGCTTTGGCGTCGTGCTTCTCGATCGCCCCCTGGATCATCGCCGCCCCGAACTCCGGCGGGTTGCCCGACAGCATCCCGGCGGGCAGGACGGTGAAGATCGCCTGGATCAGGTTGCCGAAGTAGCTGTCGGGCATCGCCGGGTCGACCCGCTTCCTGCAGTCGACGAAGATCGTGAACACCGTGTAGTCCTCGGGCTTCAGATCCCGCGCCCGGCTGACGTGGCGCCAGATGTGGACACCCAGCGACTGGAAAGTCGAGAACGGCTTCGATCCGCCGTCCGATTGCGGGGTCGAGTTGACCGTTGACTTGATCTTGGCGATGGCCGATTCGGGGAACTTGAACACCTTCTCTCTGAGGATCTTGGCTGGAGCTCCGGAATCGGTGTTGGGCTTGGTGAGCGGGTCCGGCGGGGAGAGGTCCAGCTTGACCCGGGTGTTGCGGGCCTTGGTCCGCTCCAGGAACGGAGGGATGGAGATGGAGCTGGACCCGTTGCAGATCTCGGCCCGGGTGTTTAGACCTCAAATCTTTCCGAGCCTCATAATCATCCTCATCACTCTCAACCTTGCTAGAGCTTCCACCACCTGACCTCTTACGGCTCTCGCTTCTGTCCCCACCACCACTTCTCCGCCTCCCACTGCCATCCAATCCATCACCTTCATCCCCATTGCTCAACTTTCTAGACTTGCTTGACCTATGTTTCCTTTTATCACTTCCCTCCATATCTTCATCATCCCCTGCCCTATCACTCTTTATGTCCGAACTATCACCTACATCTCGCTTCGAATCGCTTCTGCCACGTTCGGGTGAATCCATTAAATCCTGCAAATAGCTGCACCACTACTTTCAGTTAAAACAACATACATACACCCTTCCGACTTTCAATTAATATATCCCTATTCAAGAGTGCAACTCCGTATACAACGAGATCTAAATCGAAATCAACATCCTTTTACTGTTCACTGGCATCTAGAAAGTCAATAATATTATAGAAATTGCTAACCTTTAACCTAAAGAAAACCCACTAGGATCAAGCACTTCTAATTCTTACCCTGCATCTACACCATTATGAAAAAATGTTGAATAACTAGAATGGCAATAGAAAATTCCAAGATTACATTCTCGCGAAACAGGAATGAGCACCGCTAGTGAATCCCAACTACGCGAGGATGCAGATTGAATGAAAGAAAGCTCTACAGCCCTAGCCCCTACTTACTTCTGACGGCTTCAATGAAGGAAGCTACAATTGAACAAGGAGAAGGATGGCTACACGGCGAGAGATTCATCGGGAGACCGAATGGAAGTGGAGATAGATGAAGTTATAGAAGGGAAGCGTACCTGAGATATGCGAATTGGAGAAGAAGGGGGGAAGTGGAGAAACCCTAGAGTAGGCGCCGAAGTAGAGGGCTTATTCAGCAGGTCTATAGCAAGTTTGCAGAGTTTTCTTGCTCTCCCAACAGCCAAAGGGGAGATGGGAGATTGCCTCGCGCTCGGGAAATTATTTTTTCCTTCCTTTGTTTATGTTGTCTCGCCGACGGGAGACGAAAAATAGATTTTTTTTTTTTTCGAAAGTCGAAACTCAAAATAAAAACACTAAAACAGTGAATAAATTGTATCATCAAAGAAAATATATTCGTTTTTCCCCCCAATATTCGATTTAAGATTTAAGGGTTTCAATTTTTTTAATAAATGAGGGGTGTGGATTCTAATAATGTCAAAATTGAAAATACAAACAATTACAACAATTTATTCGGAGGTTCGGGAAACATGGGCTCCAATAGAAAGAGAGTGGTCTAAAAACGCAAAAGAATACGTAACATAGTTTGCCTCGCGATAGATATTTTCATCCCGACTTGCCAAGGCTTTGCTAAACAGCGTCTGATCCATTATACGTGCAGAGTTGGCTGGGGTTGCCCATGGCCTCAAGATTGCGTGGGAGATGGGGATCAGAAAGGTTGTTCTGCAGCGTAATAGATGAAGCTCGCAAAACACCATTCAGTTGATACAGGAAGCGACGCCGAGCAATCCACACTTTTACGTTAGTCGCTGAGTGATCTTCGCCATGCATCTATAGTGGTTTTCTCGACGAGAGTCGTTGCAGAGTGTGTTTCCCGAGTGGTTTCAAACCATGCATAATCCCATAAAGCTCTCCACGAGTAATAGAAACTCAAACCTCAAGATTCATGAAAAAATATTTTGAGAAAGCGGCTATTGTCTCCACTCACAATGCCACCATATGTTGTGCTTGAAGGGGAATGAACAATCGTGTCGTTAGTGTTCAAACAGACCCGATCTTGTTATAATAGTCGCTAGTAACCGATATGTCTCGCGACTCTTGCCGGAAGTCCCTTGCCTCCATATACTTGCTTCTTCTTCTCAAAATCAATGCATATATGCTCCTTTCATATATTCTCCTTTAGTTGTTAACCGTGACAGAAACAAAGGTGTCTATGTTGTTAACTTCATATGCAAATCCATAAGATGTCTACGTTGTATGTAGAATTGTGTTTTTGAAGTTTGTCTAAGAACTCCATATCTATGGAGTCCATGTATCTCATTTATCTTATGAACAATGTCTCGTCTAATTTATAGTCCTTTTATGAATTAGATTGTAGCACAACTAATTAACATATTGATTTGTCTCTATGAAGTCTTTGCTTACCATTCATCCTTTCAATTTGAATTTTGTTGAAAGCATCCTTTCACTTGTCAACAAAAGTTCACCCTAATCAACCATCTCTCACAAACTACCCATTTTATTTATAGGATTATTAAAGTTACAGAGTTTGTCATACAACATAAACATTACCATTACCAAAGACGAACTAGAAAGAAAGAAAAGAAGCCAAAATAAAAGCTTGAACATTGCCAAAAGGAAAGGAAAGAAAAGAAAAGACACACACCTCTCTCTCTCACTCCCCCCCCCCCCCCAACTTTCCTTTTTGAAAGACTCACTCCTCAAACTTATTTTTGGTACACTTCAGTCCCCTGGATAAAATGGTATAATAAGTATCACAAATTATACCCGCGTTATCCAAGCACTAAACAGAGTAAACACACAACCAAGGCTTAATCAACGGTAATCAGCACCTCGCGATCATCAGTCCATTAATCATTAATTAATTACCATTAACGGCAATCCCCTCCTCGATTAGAAACTCCCCGTCCTTCTCCAGCTTCTCCATGGCCCCACTCTCCAAGCTAATCTCCACATCAATCCCGCCTTCCTTTCCCCGGTACAAAAACACCATCCCATCGAACCGGTTATTCGACCCGCTCCGCACGCTCTCGGGCTTCCCGAACCCGAAATCCACATCGTAGACCCGGAACCGCGGCGAGCTCCCGACGGCCACGCAGTTCACACCGGCGTCCTTGTACTGGAACACCTTCGGCGCCGCCTCCCACTCCTCGTTCCTCCCGTCGATCGCTTTGGCGTCGTGCTTCTCGATCGCACCCTGGATCATCGCCGCCCCGAACTCCGGCGGGTTGCCCGACAGCATCCCGGCGGGCAGGACCGTGAAGATCGCCTGGATCAGGTTGCCGAAGTAGCTGTCGGGCATCGCCGGGTCGACCCGCTTCCTGCAGTCGACGAAGATCGTGAACACCGTGTAGTCCTCGGGCTTCAGATCCCTCGCCCGGCTGACGTGGCGCCAGATGTGGACCCCCAGCGACTGGAAAGTCGAGAACGGCTTCGATCCGCCGTCCGATTGCGGGGTCGAGTTGACCGTTGACTTGATCTTGGCGATGGCCGATTCGGGGAATTTGAACACCTTCTCTCTGAGGATCTTGGCTGGAGCCCCGGAGTCGGTGTTGGGCTTGGTGAGCGGGTCCGGCGGGGAGAGGTCCAGCTTGACCCGGGTGTTGCGGGCCTTGGTCCGCTCCAGGAACGGAGGGACCGAGATGGAGCTGGACCCGTTGCAGATCTCGGCCCATGAGCCCATGAAGTGCCATGTCGATGTCCCGTCCAGGATCGCGTGGTTGAACGCCAGGCCCATCGCCAGCCCATCTCTCAGCTTCGTCAGCTGCACGAACGACAAAAAAAAAAGAGAGGGTAAATACACTATTAGACAACGTAAATTTTATTGCACTGGAAATGGGCCCCCACACAATTTACTACCAATCAGAGTCCCGGTGGGTTCCACCAAACGGGTGATTAAATGAGGCAGTAATGACGGAATACGACCCATGCAGAGAGTTTCCACATTTACCACAGATCGGCGGTCAAAACTCAAGTCAAACACACGGTAATTTTTGTTTTTTTTTCCTACTACGAAACAAGGTTATACCGGAAAAGTTAGTATACGAGATATTTTATACTAAAAATTCAATCGTTATTCAAATTTCCGATCCGATCAGACGGTAGGATACGGTTTCTAAAACATTGTTTTTTTTTTACCTGAACGGCGAGCAAGGGGCGGTGGAGGCCTTCGACGTTGAGGACGCCGGTGTACGGAATCAAGTCCTTGAACGACGAGGTACCGTCGTCGGCGATCAGGTCGGCGACGGAGATCCCGTCGGCGGCGGCCTCGGAGAATTCCACGCCGGCGCCGTCCATGTCGTCGTCGTACTCGACCCTGAAGACACCTTCGTCGTCCTTCCCCAGGCGGCCGGCGAGCTGGTAGAAGTCGTCGAGGACGGCGGCGAGGCCGTCCTTGAGCTTGGCCGCCGCGTCGGCGAAAACGGCGTCGGATTGGTAGATGAGGAGCTTCTGGTTGTAGTAGAAGGCGAGGTAAGGGAGGTCGAAGGTGACCAGCTGGCACTCGGTCCTCCCGATTTTCTTGGCCGGCTTGACGAGGGCTTTGGACGCGATCTTGACGGCGGCCATGTTTGGCTATAAGGGAATATAGGTGGGAAACGGAGAAAGGGGAAGTGAAGTGTGTTTGGAAGCTAAAACAGTGATAAGAATGGTGGTTTTATAGTTGGGAATGGAGGGGAAGATGTGGTTGAGGGGATTGAGAGAAGGAGTTGGGCATTTATGGATTTCATGAGAGCGGTTGTGAGAGCCATTAATGTCTGGTTTTTCCCTTCATTGAGTGATTGAGATTTTGAGGGGAAGCTGGTGAGGAAGGAAGAGAGAGCCTTTGGGGAGTGAGAAAATTTTGGGCGGTTACGATTAACTTCTTTTTTTCCCTTTTCACGCCAAAACAAAATAAAAAGGAACTTGTTTTTTACTTCAGAGGAAGGTTGTTAAACCGCGAGTTGATCCGGACCCAGTCGAACTAGTAGGTCAAGGGTTAATGGGTCAACCGGTTTGGCCCGAAAATATAGAAAGAGTCATTATATTGTACTTATCCTCATAAATTATATCAAATCTTATCTAACATATGAGTTATAACATATAATATTACACCAAAATAACATATTGTACTTAGATCCAACATATAGTGAAAATTCACACACACTTATATAACATAAATATTCAAATGTTCAACTTAGTATTCCAAAGATTGAGTTAGGCAAAAAGAAAAATTGGAAAATAGGCGCATTTAGCAAACTAAAGAAAAAATGACACAATTTGACCTCCAACCCGGTACCTTATAGCGGTCGGCCTGGCGGGTGCGTGCAGCCCGTTTTTCTTACCGGGTCAGGGTCAAATTGGGTCGACCCGTGGGTCAACCCGCGGGTTGACAACCTTGCTTCAGAGTTTCTTTCATTTTTCCTGATCAACAATTACAAAAAAAGGAGAAAAAACCAGAAATTATTTCCAGTCATTGTCTTTGATTCATTGAGAAGTTGGAAGAATTTTATGTTTAGAGTTCGAAATAGATTATAGGCGTAAGTATATGAAGTCTATGTATATTCTTCCGAAATTGAAATTTGGGTTTAAATTACCGGAACAAAACAGCTTAATATATTGTTGCTATCACTTGTAGACATATTATTGCCAATCAAGTGAAAGTCATGTGGTCTTGGTTTCTGATCAACGAGTCGGGTTTCGGGAGCGAAACGACTGAACTGTCTCCGATTTACGGTTGGATTAGATTAAGCCATCTGGAGAAGGGACTATATATATACCTTCTCAATCTCTGTAATATGTATCTCCTTAACTATAGTGAAAATGACTCTCTCATTGCCGTGGACTAGCTAACACATATTATGTTAGTGAATTGCACGTCAGCCTCTGTGTTCTTTACTTTCTTGCATTGTCGATTTTCAAATCCGTTCTAACACATAGTTTCATGTGATTGGGTTGTGTTATATCTTTTGTTCCGAACAGATTTTCAAATTTGCTCAAGAATAAGTTCATCTCGATAATTAGAACTATTGGGAGATATATAGATCTATTATTGTTCCGAACTTTAAACGGTGAAGATTTGGGTGCAAGAATTTCAATCATGACCTCCCGTACCATATCGGGGAAAAAAATTTGCCCATCTCAATAACTCGTACCCAATTAGACCCAAATCTTAATACCATCATTATCATTTGGTTGAGCCTCCTAGATTTTACATCTTTCAATCAAAGCCCAGTTTTACCTAAGTAGCGGCATCATCCATCAATAAATTACTCACCTAAACTAGCTGCTGCCGGTTCATATTTTGAGCTGGCGAAGTAAATGCAATGCCCCATAAACCACCTCAAAAGTAGTGTTTGTTTTCCCAACGGACCAAAGCAAACCCTTTTCAGTTAATGTCTTATGTGCGGCAAATATTGCTGGTCCTTCAATTCTCTGGTACCGTGGAGTCAAAATTTGTTAGGCAAAAGATGCTTGTGGCTAATACTACGATCTTAATCGACCGATAAATGTTCGTCGATGATAACCAGATAACGTCTATGATACGTCGTCCATCTTGATAAAAAAACGGATAATATGGTAAAAACCAAGGGGATAAAAAAGAACAGACCATGTAGTTTGCGCCTAATTTCGGGTAAGATATACCAGATCGAAGAACATACCACATTGCAAAAAGGTTGACAATTTGCCACCATAAGCAGTGCAGAAGATAAGCCCTGAGACGACCCCAAAGCAAATAATTCAAGCGCTGTGAATCATGGAGTGGGGTTGCTTGTTCCCTCAAATTAAGTGCGCCCGCGCGCCATTTATTGTACTCGCTGCCTGGTTACCAAATTGGTTGAATTGTCCGCACTCAGTAGTTCAAAAGAGCAGTATATAGCGTTGTAATAATTTCAATCTCAATGGACAACAAATTGACCCAAAATTAAAGTGCCGATTTGTGGTTGGAACCTGAAAGAAAAGAAACCCTCTCACTTCCACTCAGCGTAGTGATGCAACGGACCAGGTTGTTCGCGGATAGTGCATATCCATTACACTATCAAAACTAGTTAAGATTTTACCCACATTCATATCCATACAAGAATTGAGTATGAAATCGAAATCATGCTCATACTCGTTCGGATTTCGGGAATTCATAATTAATATAATTGGGCGGGTTCGAGTTGGATAGTAAAAAAATCATACCAATCAATTACACGCAATATTCGGATTTGAGTTTTACCCATACCCACAAAACATCTTTCGAAATTTGAGTTTCAACTTACCTGATTAGGTCTGATTCAGACAGATATATCCACGGGTATTAATACTTTTGCCATCTCACGCGCATGTAGGCCATCTGCATACTAAATACTTTTTTTGGGTGTTTAACTATCGTTGATATTAGTGATTAGCACCTCATCACAATCGATCTTACAAAATAATAGCTAAATAGTCACACAATAAACTTCATTTTCATGATTCATAGAGATCAATTTACTGATTTTTCATAATAAGATGAGGAGGCAATCAATCACCACATTATTGCCTTATAATTGAAATAAGCATGTAAGACATTGTTGGATTTTGGAATGGGCTTGCTTCCAGGCCCAACAACTCATCAAAGCTCTATGGATCGAGCAACGCCAACCCAATAAACGACCAATTTCATTTTCTTCTTTTTGGAGAAACACCAATTTCATATTTCATTATCGAGAAACTAGAGATTACAATTCTAGTATCCCTAATCCCTATGAACACTAAATTGTTCTCTATAGAGAGGACAAATGGTATAGGATCTAATCGTCACTCTTTAAGTTTTATTTCTGATGTCACTGCTTTGAAATGTCAAGAAAAGGTAAATGTATTTATTTATGTTTATAGCAAAAGAAGAAGGTAAAAAGAAGAAAAAAGCACTACTTTGTTAGAATGTTCGGTGCTGATGATCGGTTGGGTTGAACCGGACCCAAAATCTCCTTCACAACAAGGTTTCTAGCTCGGTTAATAGTCATGAAGCACAAATACAAATGCTCCTCTAGCTCATCAAGCTGCTGGCTGAAGCCACACTCGCTCTTCTTGAGCTCCCGCCACACCTCCCCCTTGGCGGCTCGAACCCAGGTCTCTCCTCCTCGCTCGAGCCAGAACTCCACCGTCCCGTGCATGTGCTCCAGCTCGTCGCTCAGACGGGCGACGAGCTGGCATATGGTCTCCAGATCCCGGCTTACTATGTACGTCCCCTTCGCGGCCACGTCCAGCTGGGACGCCACCTTGTCGAGCTTCCCGGTCGAGACCAGCTCGATCGAGGCGGTGGCGACCATGAGGCTCGGAGCGGCCACGAGCAGAGCGAGCGCGTGGGTGGCCACTATGACCGTCAGCGAAGCCGTGAGAGCCACGAGGAACATGGCCGAGCCGTGCTTCAGCCTGGATCGAAGCTGCAGGCTGGCTTGAGCCCTGTCGCGAACCGACTCGATCGGCTTGAGAAGCGCTGAACAGTTGGCCCGAGCGGTCCGGACCCGGGTCGAGGACGGGGCGGACCGGTCGAAAGGGTTTTCGGAGCCGACGAATTCGGTCAGTTGGGTCAGCATCGCCCGGAACTGCTTCTCGGGCGGGGCGGTGGAACCGGTCTGATTGAGAGCGGATCTCAGGGTCCGAATCCCGGTTCGCACCCGGTTGATGTCCTTGAGCAGCGCCCCGCAAGCGCGTGAGGCATCGGCCGTCTCGGCGAAGAATTGGGCCAGGAGTGATTGGGCCGAGGAGGGGATTTGGGCCGAGGTCAGGACCCGAGTGACCGTGGGCTGGTCCGGGTCCAACAGGTGTTCGACGAAAAGCCTGTAGGAAGAAAGCCGAGCAGCGGCGGTGGAGGTGGAGTCGACGGGTCCGCCGCCGCCGTCGGAGACTGTGAAGACACGGGTCCAGAACTCGAGGTAGGACTCGGTTCTGAAGGCGTTGGCGTATTCTTCGCGGACGTCGACGTCGGAAGCCGCCGCCGGCGGCCGGTTGGGAGGCCGTCCGACTCCAAATGCTGTAACTAAATCGTATCAAAATATGCCAAGCAGCAGTATTCATGAAATTTGGAACATTTTTTTTTTGGGTGGAAATGGAAATTTACCGTCGAGCGAAAAGAAGTTGGTCAAGCGGGAGCTGTGCTTTTGTTTCATCGCAAGCGTATGATCTCTGTTAGCATGCAGCCCAAAATGACGAGTTTGTAATGTAGTGAAATGATCGAAAAGACAACTGGAAATGGAAATGGAAATGGAAATGCAATTACCTGATTGTTGAAGGCCGGCGAGAAAATGATTTCGAGGGAGGAAGAAGAAGAGAGGGCAGGGGATGTTTTATACTGTAAAATTCAAGTGGCATAAGCTTGGGAGGGACGACGGATCACTTTGCTTGTAAGAAATTGGAGAAGAGAAAAGAAAGTAATGAATTTGCGGCGGACTGATGAAGACATATGCTTAGAAGATATGTCATATATATGAAACATTTCTTCGACTCGACTCAATAACGAGTGGTTTAAGACAATTTGTATGCAATTTTGTAATGTTTACCACTTTGTTACAACGGATAGAGAATTCGAAAATATAATGGAAGAAAGTAATGAACACATCCACGGAAGTAATGAATACAGGAGAGCAATTTCATTATATTTGAAAATAATACGGATTATAAATAGAGATCGAGAAAAAAAAATATATAGTACATTCTCCACGCGCGGCCTAACCTAAACCAACATGAAAAAGAGAAGGTTACAGATCATACCCAAAACAGTAAATTAAAACAAAAGTGTATAAGCCTGTACAGCGTGGGTTGGGGCGCGTTGCCTCTGAACCCCCCATCAGGCCTACCTTGCGTCCCCAAACGACCACCAAACCAGACGCCCCCCGTGATTATCTGTCGTCGACAGATAACATATCTTCAAGTCATAACAACACTCTTGATTAACCAAAATGTCAAATAAATTGTGGATTTTTTTTTGTGGAATAAGTTGTGGATTTTGGACAATGGTAAAGAGATTTTTTTTTTATGTTTGATGAAGAAACTATTGGGTATATGCACATACGAGGGTTGAAGTACGATGACATGAAACCAGGAGATCAGGACTGTGATAGAGTCGTGTACGTGTTTTTATGCAGCGACACTCTCTATTGGTAATCCGACACACAATGTAGAAAAGACTCTACCCACTCTCGGGCGAGGCGGGCCATCTTTGAAGAAAATATGCTTCTCTTCCTTTTTTTTAATAGTTAATATCTTCTTGTTTCGATCCTATCGCGTATTTACTTACGAAACTATCGTATTTGGTTGGAGACGGTCTTATCTTTATGTTACGATAAGTCATTACGCTACATGGATCAGACAGGCCCAGAGACTAACAAAACGACACTTGCAAACTTTTTATTAATCAATTGGCAACTCAGCATTGCTACCAATCAAATACACAACACACACATATAGATAGATTCAGCAATCAGCACGCATGGGATACGTACATTCATACATTACAGACACACAAGATTCAGAGGAAGAGCTTGAGAGCATCCCTGAGAGCAGCGATCATCTTATCCTTCCCGCCGCCGCCGCCGCCTTTCTTCAGCTCACGGATCTCCACGTCCTTCTCGTCCCGAAGCGCCTGGTTCTCTTCCTCCAGCTCCGCCACGACTCCCGGCAGCTGGGCCAGCCCCGACACCTCCGCCATCAGCTCCCCGGTTCCCAGCTGGTACCGGTCCCACTCCGTCTTCACCGGAGCGGGGACCTTCACGCCGTGGACGGACCAGTCGAAGAGGTCGTTCAGGCGGCGGTAGAGGCTGCCCTCCTTTGCCGCCTTCTCATCGCCGCCGCTGAGGTTGAGCCACTGGACCGCGAATCCTTCCCTGTTGACCGTCACCTGGTGGTCGTACAGATTCTTCCGCAGCTCCTCCAGCGTCTGGCCGCTGAACACGACGCCGAAGAGTTCCAGTGAACGGTGGGTGGTGGTGGTGGTGGTCCCGATGCGAGCCGACTCCGCCCACTTGCTGACGTCGCCGGTGACGTCGCGGGTGTTGAGGTACGCCACGTCGGGGCCGCCGAGCACGGCGATCGTGCCGTCGGGGTTGCCGACCAGCCACAGGTTGTTGGAGTCCAGCACGAAGGGAGCGTCAGGCGCCGACGTCATTATTGTTTTTTTTTTAATCTGCTTTGGTTGTGGGTGAAGAATTAACTGTTAATGTTTGGTTTTGAAGCCCATACTGTGAGTCGCAATTTATAGTAGAAGAATCATTCACACCCGCGCCAGCTGGCATTTTCCTTTATCGTTGTTGTTGTTATTATTAATAATTATTACCATTTGGCAGGGGAATGTAATTATGTAAATCATTGTGTTATTAACCACGTGAAATGTGCATATCAATAACTCTATATAATCATAACTACCATGCACAATCAAGTACTTGTGGAACTGATAATGTTGCCACCGATCATTAGGAAAAAGGAAAAAAGGCTGTGATCATGTAAATAATGCATTGTTATCCACGTGAATATATAATAATAAGTGATTATGCACGGGACCCGAGGACAACTAGTTATAGCTCGTAATCAAGATCTTGGAAAAAGAAGAAAAAGGATGTATTTTTTATATTGTTAACCACGTGAATATATGAAACTATGGATGTGGTGTGCGCAGTGGCGTAGCCAGGATTTTGGGTAAGGGGGTGCCAATTTAAAAAAAAATTAAAATGAGTAAATGACTATCAATTTTTTATAGTGACCCACGACGGGTTCTCATATTTTGAAAAGTCTGTAAAATACATTCATTCATCATCCACGACGGGTTCGTTTACTTCTTGAATAAGCATATGTAATTATGAGATTTTTTAATTTAATTTACTTATTATTTGTAAACGGTAAATTATATATATGCAATAAAACGTATTAGTGTATCATGTAAGTAATTGTGGTTTAGTGGAAAATGTCAAAGCTAATAGTAAGGGGGTTCCACGTTCAAATCCTAGCTATAGCATAAACTAATACCCCTATTTTTTGATGTTCTAGCTCCGATCCAAGGGTGTGCCGTGGCACACCCTTCTAAGACACTGTCTCCGCCCCTGGGTGTGCGGTGTTATGAGCCGAGCTGCTCGCGAGTGGCTCGGTGTTCGACTCGAGAAAAGCTCGTTCGAAACTCGGCTCGTTAATAAACGAGCCGAACAGGAGCTAAAGTTTGTTCAGCTCGTGAAGCTCGCGAGCTAGCTCGACTCGGTGGCTTGTTGAGCTAAACTTGTGACTTGTCTCGTTTAGAGCTCATGATATGTCTCAACATGTGGCTAGAGAGCCAACTTGATTACCGACTTATGGATGAATCAATCTATATCTTATGGTTTTAATTCATATGGTTGTTAAATTATATATCTCACAATATATAAAGCTTAACACGTTGAGTATGTGAGCAAATATATCTTATTTTCTACTTTAAAAAGAATAATGTATTATAGATTGCTTCGATACTATGAAATAACATGAGTTGGAGTAGTTAAATTTATTAACTAAATGATATATGATACCAACAAAGTATAATATGAGATTAGCTAACAAAATAAATCATATGTATCATGATATACAAAATGAAGAACCAAATAAAAGTCAAGATTTTTGTAAACAAGCTAGCTCGAACTCGACTCGGCTCGACTCGTTAATAAACGAGCTAAGCTCGAGCTCGAATCGTTTATTAACGAGCAGAGCTCAAGCTGGGTGAAACTCGACTCGGCTCCGCTCATTTGCAGCCCTAGCGATGTATACACCAACTCAAAAATAATGTTTAAGACTTAGAGTTTTGTATTTTAATTGAAAAACATTTGTACAATATGATGATATAGTATAGTATCACCAACTAATAAATACATTGCCTAAGCCCTATTCCTTCAATTCTATACCCTAACCATAAACTCCAAACCGTAAACTAATTAAACACTAATTCTAAATCTCTAAATCCTCAATTCTCCAAAAAAATAAAAAAATAGTAAAATTTGAATGATTTTTGGTGTAATTTATGAGGAATAGAATGAAAGAGCGACGAGCTGTGTGAATATAAAAATCGATTAATAATTATTAACTCCATGGCAGTGGTACCAGAATCCATGTAACATACCGTCAAAACGATGATTTGGGAAATGGCTACAAAAGGTGGGTGGTTTGAGCTCTGCTACAAAATCCTTGCCAAATGTATCTTTTATAGTAATATCTTATTTGTTTTAACTCGAAATTTCAAAATATTAGCCTAAAAAAGTTTTTGAACCCATATGTCATTATCATATTAGAGATGGGCAAAGTGCCACGATGAGAGCAAGTGCATCATATATCATAATTCACTAACCACCTGGTACTAATTATTATGTTCCTTATCATAAGTGTTGTGCAGTTCTAGAAGTAGAAGCACTTTTCATTCCATATCCTGCCTTTTTTGGCTCTCCGCGTATCAGTTACAATCATCATCCAGTCAGATTTGCAAACTTTTATGCACATGTATCACGACGCCAAATCTACTAAGTACGCGACAAGCTGGATCACATGCACACTAGTTATTACTTATTTCGTAACTAAGCAAACTACTAAGAAAGGGAAGCGCAATGTTTTATTTTATTTTATTTTTTTGTTGCTATAAATAGTAGTCACTAACCTTCAAATCCAAACACATCAATTACTACTCTGGTCGAGAAAGAAATAAAGAGAGCAAAAAAATAAAAAAAAATGTCTCGGTTCGTGATGGACTCCAACAATCTCTGGCTGCTTGCACTCGTCGACCACACGATCAGGGTCAATACGGGGCCGTTTTCCCCCGACCTCAACACGCAGAACCTCCCCGACGACGTGGCCGCCTGGAAACAAGTGGCTCGAATCGGGAGCAACAAGTACTGCAGCCACCGCGAGCTGGAAGTGTTCGGTTCCCAGCTCAACCCGCAGAAAGTGGAGCAGCTGTGGCAGAACCTCTACGGCCGCCAGCTCAGCATCAACCGGGAAGGCTTCACGTTCACGTGGCACAACCGCGGCACCGACAACGGCCGGTTCAAGCCGGGCGGGATCCTGTACCGGCTCAACGACCTCTACGAGTGGTCCAACCACGGGGTCACCGTACCCGTCCCGGTCGGGACCGGGTGGGACCGGTTCGAGCGGACCACGGGGAAGCTGATGGTCGGGGCCGGTGGTGGTTCGGCCGAGGTGAAGAAGGAGTTGGAGGAGAAGGAGAAGGAGAACAAGAGACTGCAGGAAGAGGCGGCGGAGCGGGAGAAGCGGGCCAAGGAGAGGGAAGATGCGGCTCAGAAGGAGATCCAGGAGCTGAAAGAGCAGGCCCAAGCCAGGGAGGACGCGGCGAAGAAGGAGAGCGAGGAGATGAAGAAGCAGGCCAAGGAGAAAGACGATCAGCTCGCGGCGAAAGATAAGCAGATCGCTAACCTCAGGGCCGCTCTCGCAGCCTTCACCTAAATTCCTAATGCTTCTCTAACTACGTACTCTACGTGGTCTCAACCCTTTTCCTTTTTATTTCCCTGTTCTTACCGTTATCTATTCTGTTTTCTTCCATGCACGTGTTCCATGCATGCATGCATGTACGTACACCGGTACGTGTCTGTGTTATGTTGTTGTGTATTTGAATTGGTGCCTACCCATGTTCAGTTGCCAATCAACCAATAAGAAATAATATTGTCGTTGTGTTTCTGTTATAAATTCCGCATACATTTCCATACATTAAAAAAGAGCAAAGATTAGAGGTCTCGCATCATCAATTTGCAAGCGAGGAACCATTGACTACTTATAGAAAATGCCTTTGTAAACAAACTGGCCAATTGAAACTCCAATCGCTACAAAAAAGGGAGGTTTAGGGAAACTCCAATCGCTACAACAAAACAATGATATTCAATGAGAAATCAATGTTTCCTACTAAAACATTATGTTTTTCTTATAGCATTCCATTGATTCTCGTAGGGACATTAAGAAAATGATAGCGTTTCTGATGTGGAAGATCAGGATTGGCCGCAACCGCAGAGCATAATAAGGAACCCTTGACTTGTGGAGGATGGATGAAGAAGAGAGGAAAGAGAGAGTAGATGGTGGTGTGGGTTGAAATGAGAGAGGGGTGGGGTATTTATTGTGAAATGGGGCGAGAGAAAAACGTTGCAAGATAAAACTATTTACTCCAAACAAAATGCTCCACCCAATAGCTATCTGCGTCCAGTAAAACGAACCAACCAGGGCGGAACACGTGGAGGCCTTCACATAAAATGCTGACGGTGGGAGCGCTTTACATAAAGCGCTATCCAACAGTGTGCTTTTGGCCACATCACTTAAAGTGCACCACCCTGCAACGATCCGTGTGCAAAGAATAGGACCAATCAGAGCGAAGGACATCGATCGCTGAGTTGGAAAACCTTTTAGATAAAGTGCTTTGAGGTGCTTTATGTTCTTTAAAGGCTAAATTGCAAGTTTGGTCACTTGAATTACTAGTAAATTTCACGTTAGCCACTAGAATTACTTTATTCCATCCATAGTCACTTAAATTAGGTTAATAGTTCAAGTTTATTCACTGGCCGTTAGTCTCCGTTAACTTTTGCTGATGTGGTGGTCAACTCTTATAGTTGACCGTTAAATGAGTGACGAGTCAATTAAAAAAATAAAAAATTTAATTTTTTAATAATTTCTAGGAACAAGCCTCACCGCTGTAGGAATTAGAACTCCAGCTGGACAAAACTTTGTTGGGATCAGAATCATTAGAGCTCTGCTTGAAAGTCAACAGACCAGAAACATCATCGGAATGGGACGGCGGGATGAGCAACATTAGGAATATAAAGAAAAGGAAATCGACAACTCCATTACTGAATCTCCACCATCTTCTTCCTCCCTCCTTCGTCCTTTTTCTCCCCCTCTCTTTCTCTGCACAATCAAAATTACTTCTTTATGCATAAACAAAAAGCTCCCACCTTTTTCCTTCACCCCTATTTCTTCCTGGGTCCAATTTCAATCTCCACCCACAAGAGAACAAAATGATGAGCTCACGAATCACTCAACTCGGCCCAATCAATGTTCAGTTCGAGAGCCACAACCCAATTCACGCTACCAGATTGGTGTAGCCCAACCATCGCCCAAGATTGCCGTTGTAGACGTAGGAGTAGCTTCTGGGATTTGTTATGTGAGTTTGTTATGTTGAATGAGTCCTGCCACTGGATTAGGAGCAGTCATTAGTTCAGTCAATAAGGCAGTCCCCCCCCCCCCAAAGTGGAGCACAATTTGGCAGTAGTTAGAGAGGGGAAGATAGTTCCACCTTAATAGGATTTTAAGTTTCATCCTTGATGTATTTAAATGGGAGTAAATGGAACGCTGTCCCACTCTTGCCCAGAAAAGGGAGATATCTCGCAATACAATTTCTCACCTTATCATTTGGTATCAGAGCCGTTGATCCGGATTCCGATCACGATGCGCTCAGAGAGATCATCAAATGAGGAGGAACTCATCAATCGGGCAATCCAAATGCTAGATCGTGCCATTGCTTCCTGCGGCATGATGATTGTATCGTATGACAAATATGATGATCAAACATATATGATGATCAAACATTCCCCTACGTCATCCTAACTAGTAAGTAGTAACTAACCACCGAGAAGGATTCATCCATGGCGAACTAGTAACAAGTACGTGGGCTCTTAATTGTGCACTTCAACTATCCTAGCTAGTCTGAGTTATATATACGTCAGCATTTAACCTGGTTAATTCTACGTTACTCAAGATGAAATTCGGGGTACCGCATACCGCATATCTTGAGTATGAAAATGCTATCCAGACCTTGAATTGACTGATATTTCGGACACCATACTATACTCTAACCTCTTTTTTTTTGGATAAGGGTGGTATAGATTTCATTTTGTTATCATTAAGGTACTACCAATAATCTAACCCTTAAATATCAAAATCTAGGTCTTAATTCTCTAAATCTTATACTCTAAGATAAGTTTGAATAGAAATAATAATCGATGATTATGATTTCTCCAAATATAGGCAAAAAAATGAATGCACCATCTTAGTGTTTATAGTTTATGATTTGTATAATTAGGACCTAGGATTCACTCATTAAGGGTTAGGGTATAGTATCGAGCCTAAAAATCCTGCTAATTCGAGGACGTGATTCAAAATTGAGGGACTTGTGCACTTCAACTACCCTAGCTTGTCTGAGTAATTTATATGACATTTCTACACCGGTGTCTGGCTTGTTGGGCCGTCTAACTCTTCTCCATCTTTGACTCCGCCGATAAGAACCCACGATTTCGACAGCCTCTCTACGTCTCAGCCTCCCCCTTCGACCTCCTCGATCTGTTCAATCTCCGGTCGGTTAGCGTTGATGTTGAGGATCTTTAGGTTGCTGCCACGTCATTGATTGTCAAACATAACTATTATTTTTTTTTAAATTATCACATCACCATTTTAATAGTCAAGCATAACTGTTGACGGCCAAGTAGGACAGACTGAACTATTCTAGAAAGCAAGTGACCAAGGATGGCATAAACTTGTATCATCAGTGGCTAAATTGAAGGGAAAGTGATTCGAGTGACTAACGTATTACAAGTAGGCAATATAGATGAGCAAAGTAGCAATTCCCGTATAATTTAAACTAAAATTATATAAAAATGGCAAGACAGATCTCACATCAACACCATTCATGTGAGTACATATTAGCTCGGGGGTAAAATTCTCACATGCAATCCACCACCGTTGAATTTGTGCAATCCAACTACCCAAATAAATATGAGCTGCATGAGGAATTTGAGTATATATAAGTGCATGACACATAATTAACAAGACTTTGAGCCAACACCATTTTGAAAATTTTGAAGAGTTGAAGATCCGCAATGGCTGCGAACAACGCCGACGCTGCTGCTGCTCATCCTCCTCCAGAAGTGTTTAAGTGTGCCGGCTGCCCTAGGGAGTTTCCTACTGATTGGGACCGTACCATGCACGAGAGGGACGACCACCATCAAGGGTGGTATGATGTGTCGACTTGGTGCAACTTGTGCGGCGGTATTTTTGGGGATGGCCATGGGGTTGTTCCCCACCAACAAAATGGCGACCACAGCTGCCAAAAGAAGCACGAGGCGAACTTCACCTGTGTCTATTGCAAGCGTGCCTTTCGTGTCCTGGACGAGCTGTATCAACATTATCGTCGCCGTCACCCCTGGCAGTACGCTAGGAGGAGGTTATAGTAGTATTTTGGTATGATGTGGCGGTTCAATATATTTCACCTACGAATTCACTTCGTTTTTTCCCCAGCTGGGACCCTACGATATGGGAGTGTTCAGCGGGAAGACCTGCATTAGCATTTGGTTCATTGCCAACTTGGGAAGACGCGATTGTAGCTAGCTAGGATGTTTAAATGGTTTGTTTAGTTATATATGTTTTCTTAGTTTGAATCCTGGGTTTAGGAAAAGAAAAAAAGTTTGCTGAAGTCTAACAAGATTATACATAAAAAAAATCTTAATCTTTACTCTTTATCTTTTTGCTCATATTTCTTTGCAGCAACGTGCATTTGACTACATCGCGTGTGAACGAACGTCATGCAAATTTGAGACTTGTGCACTTCAACTACATAGTTGTCTTATTTAAATTAAATTATAAATGTGGCAACACTGATCATCATCGAAATCATTCACATAATGTGTGTGAGTGCATATTATCTAGGATGTCAAATTCTCATATTATATTCAAAAATTAAAATGCAACTCACTCTCATATTATATACATATAGCGTGTGTGACTTTTGTGCACTCATAAATGAGAACATATTATGCACCCAACTCTAAAATTAGTTTTAAAATATCAAATTTTAAATTTTAATTGGTAGCATTAGTCTAATATGATGATATAACATATATGATCACAACTAATGATGCATTAACCTAAACTCTAAATATTCAATTTTGAAAATATAAGCATATACTGAAGCTTTACACCATCTCACACCTCCAAATACTTGAATTTGTGCTTACATTTCAATTAATTGTTCAAGAGATAGCCAAAGCTAGCTAGCTAGGAGATCATGGCGGAAGGTCAAGCTCAACAGCCAAGAACAATCATGAGTGGCATCACCATCAAGGTTTCTTCAACATGGGTATTTGGTGGGTATTTGGTGCAACTTACGTTACGTCCACATAGAGTAATGCTTGTCTAAAACAAGTAATTATGATTTACTCAATTGTTGTCTAGTTGTGCATGCACACTAAGTGTTTGTGTCTATTAGGTTATTAGATTTTATTTTTGAACCCTAGTCACCGAATAAGATTGATTCAAAGGATGATAAATCTGTGGGTTCTTTTTTTTTTTTTGTTAGACAAAAGAGTATCCCTCATGATTTTTTGGGTACGGTTAATGTGATTTGTGGATTTAGTTTTTATTTATGTGTTACTAAAGATTTTTAGACCACTAATATGATTGTCTAAGAAGTA